AGTACCAGCTGGTGAAATCTGCGCTGGTTATTACGGAATTGGTGGCAAGGATGCTTGCATAGGTGATTCTGGTGGCCCACTTACCATCAATGGTCGTCTTGCCGGTATTATCTCGTGGGGTTTTGAATGCGGTAGCGCTGACTACCCCGGAGTATACACGGAGATCGCTTACTACCACGATTGGATTAAGAAACATATTCAGCCCTAAGTTACTATATCAAAAAATTTTAGCTGAATGCTGAATGGAATATTATTCTTAAAACATTTCTGACATTCGGAGAAAATATAGTATTTGTATATACAATTTTTTGTATGTAAATTATTCACGACCTTTCAAAATTTGTGAATAATTATCACGTTGGAAAAAAAAAAATTGAATAAATATAATTGTCTTATAAGATGTTCTTTTTTAACTGTGCTTGGCGAATGGAAAGTTACGAACGAGTGTACGGTTTTCCTTCATCGAAAAATGGATAAACGACTTGCTTTTAGAATTTATTGCCTTTTCTCTGGGAAGATTATTAATCATCATTACCCTTATGTCGACGGCATCTCTGTGAACCAGCTAAATGAAACAACGACGAACACTACTCTGAACTGAGATACCGAACAAACAAGTTCGCCTCTTATGCCGTCGATATTAAACTACATACGCCTTAAAACTTTGCGCATTTGTTTGCATTTGTTAACTTTGCTGTTCAAATAAGAATTATGTTAAGGAGATTCCAGAGCACACGCTATCAATACATCCAATCATTATAAGTGTGGTGACAACTTCCCATCTCATAGCATCTAATTTTCTGCCGAAAAAGGTAAACTTTAAAGTGATTGCCATTTGTTCGGGAATTCCATACATCGAAGTAGTATCGTGTACCATATAGACAAATGTTTCGTCTCGAGCAACGTCATAAATAGACTAATACCGTTGTAATAGCTAACATTGTCCAATCATTATTATTTGACGAATCTGGTCTCTTTCCAATACTGATAAGACTATAGTCTCGAGAATTATGGAAATTGTAACTGTTTGAGATAAGACAATAAACAAGAATCGGAATGGACTTTTGCAATGACTTCGTCATAATTGCGAATATAAAGCAAACTTTTATATTTATATGTTGTATCAATGAGTTTGAGGTGTTGCGTGTTAATTTTATATTTTTTAGTTTTGTCATTAATTCATAGTCTTATTAACAGTATACTTTACGGTTAAGTCGTTTTTATAAGATCAATGATAAAATTTGAAGTCACGTTAAAGTTTTCAAGATCATCACTTTTATGAATTCTAACTACAAACTCAACAATGATGTGCATAGGCGAAAACTTAAACGCTGAAATCTGATAGAAAGTAAAGAAACAAAAAAAGAAAGGTTGATTAAGACTATAAGAGAAAGCGTAATAGCCCCTGAAGCTGAGTGTCTTCCTATATTCATCGGGGATATACCTCACAAAAACTATGCAACGCTATGTAAAATTTCCTGTTGAATCCGAATTCGAATCCGAATCGAATCTTGATCAGAAATCACGAAAAGTGGTACATTTTTCGAAAATTCGATTGTCCAATGTGTTATAAAAAACTGAGTTTTCCGGTGTGGAGTCATTTTTACTGGAAAATATAGCTCAAAAGAAGAAAAAAAGTATTTATATATGTTATACAAGAAGTCAATAGGTTTATAATTTAAGGTATCAACATTTTTCGTAAAGCGTGCGTGTATTTATAGCGAAAAACGTAATAGGTTTATTTGGAAAATAAACGATTTACAAATGAAATCATTATGAAAATTATATATTGCTAGAAAGATAAAGGTTTAACGAATCCAAACTTTTTTTAATTTTTCAAAAATAATGGTTTTCACTAGAGTAATTAACTCCGGAAAATCAGTCAAATAAGCCGTTTTCCAACATTTCATCGCGTACAATTTTAAAACTTAATTTTTTATATAATTTCTATACATACTTTTTTTCTTCTTTTGAGTTATATTTCCCGATAAAAATGAGTTCGCACTGGAGAATTATGTTTTTCATGATACATCCGTAAAACGAATTTTCCGAAAAATATATAACTTTTCGTGATTTCTGACCACGATATTCGGATTTAGCAGAAAATTTTACATAGAGTTGCATAGTTTTTGTGAGTTTCATCCCCAGTGCATACGGGAAGACACGGGAAGCTTGCGGATTATGAAGTGGGAGTGAAAGGTGCAGTGAAGAGAGAATCAAATGGGAAAAACGGACGGTCGATTGCCCTTTTAATGAATACTTGAGCAAGCTTTCTATTTGACATTATTACAGTTTTCTTTGACACTATTAATTAATGCTTTTAATTTCTCTTTAAAATGTGAATTATCCTCTCCGGGAACTCCTCGTACATTTGTCTCCGCCTTGCAACAGCACGCGTCGAGAACACACGCGAGTCGTAACTTTTCTTGGTCGCGGTAGTTGCTAAGCGAGATGACTTGGATGCGCGGCGCAGAGTTTTGTTTACGTTTGTGTCCGTCTCTCTCTCTCTCTCTCTCTGTCTTTCTATCTCTATCTCTGATAGATATATTAATCAGTGACGAGTAAAATATCATTTATTTCGGTCAACCTTTATAGCACATCTAAAACAATATAAAGTGATTGTTAATTTATTTGAACGGACCATGGAAGAATACTTATCTACATGTATCTAACTATCCGACTGTTTGCGGCATCTGTTTGTGTTTGGCGTTCACAAAAAGGGAAACTTTCTCTTTCGCGTCTAGACACGTTTGGGAAATCTCCGAATGACGCCCATGTGGTTCGAGACAGCCTCGTTCGAGCCAGAAAAAAGGCACTTGGCGACAACTCAGCTAGCCAAGTCTGTGCCCAAGGAAAAGGTGACGTTAACCCCCAGCCCCTTTTTTGTTTGATGGAAATTATAAAAAAACTGAGTTCAGTTGAGCATGGGCACCGGAAGCGAGCGCTTCGACATCTTCAGCATCTTTTTCTCGCTTTTTCTCGCTTTTTCTGTCGATGCGAGTGCTCTGCGCCAAGCAGAACTGGGGCCTTGCTCCCGCGCGGGTGTGTAGCGTGTGTTGTCCTGCCCGCGACTTCTTGCGTTCCCCGGGGCTGAGGACAGGTGCGCCGTCTTCTCAGTCAACGATAGGCTGTGCCCTTCGAGGTGCCTCCAACTTCGCGGCATTCTCTGCCCATATATAGCCCAGGCACGACGCAGCAAGCGCTGTACCCGTGTCCGAGACATCGGAGCTGCGCCGTGCCTTCTCTATTAGGAGGCACCGTCCTTACAACAGGACTTTGAGGTGCGCCCGACTGGTGGACAGTGTAATATCAAGTGGCCACTCGTTGATAACTCGGGCGAATTTGTAATCCGTCAATTAGTTGTTATTATGCGTTCATTTTACCTTCTTCTTTACCTTTTTAGCTATTGTTGTACATTTCTCTTTTCGTTCGCTTTCTTGTGCACTGCGTGTTTTATTTCTTGTGCTTCTATTTTTTAGGCAAGTGGAGGATACGATACTTAAATAGCTTTTCCCCCCGTACGGCTGGGGTTTTTTATGCCGGCTAGGTATTAAATCCCTTGCCTGGTATATCTACTAATAATAGCTGTTATAATAAATAAAATTAAATAGGATTAGGAAGTTCTTGTTCATTTTTTTTAACAGCCCCCTCCCTTCTTATATTCGGACTTGTTATATATATATATATATATATATATATATATATATATATATATATATATATATATATATTTCACAACTCCATTCGCTGCTAAAACCAATTTTACCATAAATTTCAAATTCCTAGTAGCAATTTTTTTGCAGAATTACTCCTCTATAGTTGTCTCTTATTAGAAACAGCATGAAAAACTATAAAATAACATAGTAAAAGTCATCATTCACTAACTTTAAAGATAAGTCTACTAACTATCAGCTTTGCTAATTAATCTACATTTAATCTACATGTTAAATACAATGATGAATAAGTTACCGTTTGAAAAAAGTTCATTTGGATGCTAGTCCGCGAAAATGATTTTAGCCTCATGTGAAAGTTTGAGAGGCTTCACACTGAAATAACTTTCTTGCGCATGTAACTTAATTTTTCGAAACGACGTATGTAGGATAAGATTTTAAGAACGCCAGATTTCTCAGCCTAAAGCCGAAAAAATATTGTTGAACTTTATGCGTGCGGCAACTTGACTTTCCGCATGCTCGAGCATACTTAAAATCTCGTCCCACACACGTCCTATCGAAAAAAAAAATTTATTGTACTAGTGTCGTTATGTACTATTTGAAATGTGATCTAATTCATACATTTTACTACAATACAATTAATGAAACAAAGCAAATTATGAAACCTTAAATGTCCAATAACTCAAAAGATTGAAACTTTTATATAACCCATAACTTATCACTTTATGTCGCAGTCATTTAATGTAAAAGAAATGTGGCTAACATTGTTTGAATTTTAAAAATGTTATATCTCAATTGAGAACTGAAATTATATGACATTAAATCATTACAAAAGCTTATCTGTATTATACACAAGACTACGAAAACGATTCAGCAACAAACAACATTAAGTAAATAAATAATAAAATGCAGAGACATATTTTCCTGATTTTTAGTTTTCATACTTCCGTAAAAGGACAAGTAGAGACATTTGATGCAAAGTATGTCAGTTCCTAGAAAGAACAAAGACCTTATAGCCATTAGTTTATTTTATTACAATAATAAATTGTACGGATCAAAAGATTCATTCATTTAGATTTCAAAGAAGGCAGGACACCGAATCGCAAAGATAATCAAATTAATGCAAATATCATCAATGCAGTCGTAAAAATCAGTAAGAAAATCAAATCTTATCAGCGAAGATTACTAAAATTATCTGGAATCTTTCTGGCAAATTGAATATTTTGTTATAATCAGATCGCTCCCCCCTTGCACAACCGCATTAATCGTATAAATAGGCAGTCTTCTACCTAACAGTTACACAGTCTATTAAGCGTTGATCTGGTTAAGATGTTCTCTTACGTGCTCCTCCTCGCTATCATTAGCTTTGCCAGTGGTAAGTTAATATTTCAATGCTTTTTTTAAACTCAATTGAAATCATAAATCGAATTGGAAAATCTTACTTTTTTATCACGTAGGCAAGCCAACCTTTCCTCACGGTAGGATCTATGGTGGTGAAAATGCTATGATCGAGACTTTTCCTCACCAAGTGTCACTGGAGTTTCTTGGAGTGCACAGTTGTGGTGGTTCTATCATCTCCAAATACTACGTCCTAACGGCAGCCCACTGTGTCTCATACGTGCCATATACGACGGTTCGGTCTGGTTCATCCTACACTGAGGAAGGTGGCGTAGTTCACGAAGTAGAAAAGTTTTTCGGCCATGAAAATTATTACCAGAATGAATATGGTCAACCAGTCAACGACATTGCACTCGTCAAAGTCAAGCAACCATTTGAATTCGATGACACACGTAGCGCCATCGAACTGTTTAACAAAGGTGAACAGTCATTTGCTGGAGTTAACTCAATTATTTCTGGATGGGGTGCAACCGAATATGAAGCGCCCAATCAACTTCAAACTGTCACCATTCCAATAATCAGCAAGGACCTCTGCAAACAAGCTTACAATGAAAGACTGCCAGTTGGTCAAATCTGTGCTGCTTACTATGGAATTGGTGGTAAGGACGCATGCCAAGGTGACTCTGGTGGCCCACTTACCATAGATGGACGTCTTGCTGGTGTTGTCTCATGGGGTAACGGATGTGCTGAAGCTTATTTCCCTGGAGCTTACACTGAAATCGCTTATTACCGCGAATGGATCGACAAACACGTTCAATATTAAATCTCATTTTTTTATTTATTAATTATCACTCATCACTGAATAACTGTATAATAATGCGATACTATCTTCAGAGATAATGACGTCACTTGCATTGTGATGTCATCATAGAATGTGTTTGTTATTAGAATAAATTTCATTTTTTATCGAAAAAAACAGACGTTTTTTCAAAACCAATACCTATAATGTTAAGCCTTTTTAATAATAATTTTCTACATCTAACAGTATTAATACACTCATGAAACTAAGTTTTTTTTTTAAATATTTCCTTTTTATAATTTATATGGTTAGACGCTTTTATGTGAGCATGGTAATAGTTTACACAATGTTATTGCACTTCAAATTTACATTGTAAAAACGGTTTCTAAATATTTGAAGCATTGCCCTTCTTTATCAAGAGCTTTGACAATTGTTTCATCAGTCCTAATTTTATACATAAAAGAATTATGCTAAGATCCATAAGAGGTTGATTGATGGTATTGTTAGAAGCTGAAGTGATGGCCTTGCTAGCCACACTTTTATATTATAGTATTCTGCTCTATTTTGACTGTCAAACATGCATAAATAACATGGGTACTTGGTAAAACATGATTGTTGACCTAGTTTATGGTCAATATTTTCAGGTCTCCACAAATTAACTAGTGGTGCTCACTATACTTTATTTTATTTAAAACTTTTTCGATGTTATAGTATTATTCTATGAGTTCAGATGAATGGGCCAATAACAACGGAGCTTATGCGTTCATATTGTGAAGAACTGCCTTTAGGCTTCGCTTGGATGAATCGATGAATTCTTCTGACTTATACAAATTTTGTTGTAACTCATTAATAAAACCTTGTACATTGATGCAGTACACTAGATCAGATTCACGAATGAAGTCTTTCCGTTTCGATAAAATGTGACATTTACGCCCTTTTCTAATAAGTTATAAGACTTCATTTGTGAGGTCATTAATTCAGCTGCATCTTTTGCTAATCTATGTATCTATGTTTAGTATTCCTAAATCTGTCATTCAGTTGAGCTTGTGAGATCTTTCTTTAATTTCTCTGTATCGACGAGAACGTACTTATCATGACTGCCCGAAGACTGTTCTTCACTCTCGACGGATTCTCTTTCTGCTTTCATCAATGATTCATTTTTATCAGTATCATCTTTTCTGTGGTCATTGAGATTTACTACTTCTTCTTCTATACTACCATCAAAATTCATACCATCTGTTCCTTGTATAAAACTGTCTCGTGAAGTCTCATTTATCAAACTTTTGACTAATTGCTTCTCTGGACGAATGACACTAGTTGCATACAATATTTTTTACTTATCCTAGTTACATTTGTCATGAAAAAGTAAGAGTTACTTTTATCTAGTAGTTTTTTCAAATAACGGGTTTTAGAGACTTTAATTTACTTTTATAAACTTTAATAAACGGCAATTACAGTCGAGATAGAGCAAAATACTATAATGTATAAGTATGGCCAGCAAAGCCGTCACTTACTTCAGGTTCCAGCTATGTCATCGATCGTTCTCTTATGGATCCTCGCAAAATTCATTTACCTCCTTTACGTATAAAATTAGGACTGATGAAACAATTTGTTAGAAACCATCTTTACGAATGTAACTTTGGTTAAATTGAAGGAAGCTATCTTTGATAAACTTCAAATTCGCAAAATATTCAGGGACGAAGAATTTGTCGAAAGTATAAATGTTATCCTATTTTTAACGACGGATTCGGATTCAGCGGGAAAAAATACAAAAGGAAAGTATAGTCTATATCCTAGAACCACCACCTTTTTTTTTGTGGGTTTGCGTTAGCAAAGGATATTAACTGCCCTGCTAGCAGTTTTTCTTACGACTATCAATAATCTCAAAGCAGTAAATTATTATAATTATATACACGAAATTGCCACAGGGATTGTAGCTATTTAACTTCACGTTGCCATCAGCAAACAGTATTTTTGTTGAGAAGTAATTTACCTAGCGAACACACTTGCAGTGTGATCACTGATGGCATCGCTGTCAAAGGGTATCAATTTAATGTTGACAATTGACATGCTGAATTATTTCCTTCTGAAGTTTGCACAGAAATAGCATAGCAAATTTAGCACCGTGACTAAATTGATAAACTCATCGAATTTTTATGCTAGAAAGCTTCAATTTGATTTAATTAGATCTTTCAACTTGCATCGAATTATTTATGTCCGTATTTATTAGAGAGTTTGATACGACTAATTTCAAAAACTCAATTGTTAGCAAAAGTATAATTATACATAGAATTAAAAACTCACTTAAAAGGTACAAGTAATAATTATTTTAGTAAGAAAAAGTAAATTTACGATATGATTGAACAATCAGAAGATTAAATAAATAATTTTGAAACAATATGCGGCATTGAAAGAATAAACTTACTAATTTTTGTGGATAAGGAGAATTAAATAACGTTATTACGTCGGTAGAATATTTACTAATCCAATTGCATAAATTAATAATCTCGAATACACTTATGATTGTAAACCCAGCGCCTGCCTAATGTAAATCTCAATATAACATGCATTTGATAAAGCTCTCCGCTAACATTCCCTCACCATTACGACGTTCATAAAAGCACATCCGGTTGTTAGTACTCAGGCGCTTTCTCATAAGCATATGTGCTCGTTCACTTTGATCTCAGATTAATGATTCCAGTTGAATCTCGAATAATAAAAAAATGATACGAATATCATCTACATTTAATCTATCTATATTAATTTAGCAACATTAATAATAATTCGTTTGTAAAACACAATTACGTCAGTTTTGAAAAATCACAATTTTAATTATGTATGCGTAAACGAAATACAGGAGTAAATTTTATTTTCTTGTGAATTTTTTTTCAGTTTAAATTGGTTTCTCTTTTAGTAATTAACTATGAATTATTGACTCGTGTTAAGCGTAATAAATATGATTCACACTATACATTAAGTTTTATTTTCAATTCAGTCAAATCAAACTTGCCGATCAACTTCAAGCTGTAGACTTCACTACTGTCAGCAAATGAATATTGTAAATATGTTACCAAAGTTTTTCTAAAACTCAAATATTTTTCACTTTACAAACTTTCTTTACTTTACTTTACATTTACTCAGCTCGTGCATAACTGACTGGGGTGGTCCGGTTGGGTCATCAGTGGTCTTCTAATTAGAATCGTTTCGATTGGTGTAAAATGGCACAGTTGGTTTACACAGATTCAAAAACACGCTGAGTTTTTATGAAATGTTGAGTACCAATTCTAATTTATGATAACATGACTTTTTCCCTTTAAATATTCTGATTGTTGATTGTTCAAAATTTTTATTTTCGGTATATTCATTTTTTTTTTAAATGTTGTATAAAATTCAAAATAAACTTTTGAAAATGAATCTTTAATTGTTTGAATTCATGGAAAATCTGATGGATCGACTTTTTAGTTGTATCAGGTTGCGCATAGATAGCGTTTACGAAATAAGGGAGAAACGGTTTTTCTAGTTGTATAAGTTAGATACATGTAGAATGAACCGGCTGTCATAGCAAAGGCGCCTGTTGGACATTTGTAGTTTGCTGCCTTTCCAATGATTCCCTTTTTATCCTTTTTATCTAGTATCTGTCTTTTTCTATGTTAATGAAGACATTAAGCGTCTGTAAGTAGTACAAGCTCAAGTGTGGGCTGTCTGTCTAGTAAGTACGCTATGCAAAACTTCCTTCAATAAATTCCAATCCCCCAGCACAATTAGTGAAAACGTGCTATTAGATAAGCAAAAAGTAATAATCTAATACAATATCAAAGTCTATAAGAAGCGCAAGCATGGAAAAATCGACTGCTAAAAATAGCCACGTCAACCCTCCAAGCAGTAGCTAAACAACGATGACGCTCAAGGGAGTGATCAGCAGTCAGCATCGTAGTTGTCCTCTCTTGGCGAAAACTGGGTCGCCAGTTCTTGCGTTTGCATGCAGATTAACTGTGCCCGATGCAATTTTCCACGCGATCCTCCAACTTACTGTTGAATCTATATAAGCATTTATTCGAAAAAAAAGACGTGATGGTGAACGTCGTACGTTAAATGAGCCATGAAAAAATTTTTCAATTTGGTAGAAAATTTAACAGCAATTAAATATTCTAATTTTAGCGTAAATTGAGAATATTTCTTTCATTATGAAATTGCAGATAAGAATCACGTGAAACCCATTTGCTGGGAACTTTATTACTTTAGATCTAATATTAATTAATTCATTTTTGTCTCCTGTTGAGCTTAGATGGTGTTTTTGGTTTAATTAGTATTCTGGGTTGTGCTAAAACTGAATATCCTGATGTCTATGCTAACACTGCCTGTTTGAAAATTTGCATAAATGAGATTACTGATTTGTAAGAAGTTTCAGGACATGATTCCATTTTTAGTATTTTTATTACATAATTTGGAGTAATATGATGTAATCGTTCGAGCAATGTAACAATTTGATATATTTTAACAGATGTCGAAATGGATTAATGAGCGTCTATTTTTTTAACCTTAATTTTAAATATGGCGTACATTAACAAGTGTATTAGATTATGTGACGTTTGTTTAGTAATTGCCGTACTGTACTGTAGATATAGATTCATCAAAACTCTTAGCTTCGATTGAGAAAAATTAAGCTAATCATTTCGCGTGACTACTTTGAACTTAGAAACATGGCTATTGCTTATCAATTGAATAGGTATATAAATCTTGGATACAAATTCATGAACGGAAAATCAGTTTGTCAAAAATGATGTGCTGCAGTCTACTAGTGATCAGTCTTATTTACGCCATTGACATTAAATAAATAAATAGAGATTCGTACGGATTTTCATGTGCTTTAATTTTGTTACTCTAATGTAAAAATGTAAGTCTTTCAACATTGGCTTCTATCCGCGATCGTAGCAGCAGTGGAATTAGATGGATAAAATACCGAAATTGAAGATTTCAAATAAATTTTCGTACTGGCGATCTTCAATGGTGTGATGGCAGCATAATTTCTGAAAATAACTCTCTGACCGCAGCTCTCTACCTTGAACTTCCAAATGATCTGTATACTGTGATAGGCAAGTCATCCTATTATGCAGAGAAGACATTCACAACATCATCAAAAAAAATTTTTACAATAGCACGATTGATCTTGCTGTTATAAAAGGTTACCAGCCATTCAAATTGGAAGAAAACTCAATAATCTATTTAGGAAGCTTCCATTTTATTTCTGATACAGGCAGAAAAGAGCTACAAGTAGACTCCTCTTGTAACAAGAAATTTCCTTTACTGGCTATTTCAATATAAAGTTATTCTATAATCGAGCAACATTTGAAGGTACAAATTATTACGCAGAGATTACGTAGATTTGAAAATATCGTGTCTCAAAGTGCACTGTAATGGACGAGTATTTTGTTTGTTAAAAATAAATAATTTAGATAAAAGAAAAATTAGACCTTTTTTCTCGGGACCATAATAAAAGAAATCAACTAAAAAAATGCCGAAATTTTGGCTGACTTCAATTCAAGGCCGACAGCGCTTTATTGAATAATAACGTTGTTTGGTAAGCCCGCATGCATATTACTTCACGAAAGCGATTCTCAGGTGTATGGAGGTCTGATAAGACTACTGTAGGATCCACGTGCGCTCAAATGTTTACAGCCTTTCGCAAATTTCTTATTTCCAAGTTTGATTTCACTATATAGAGTATTATTCATGCATAAGGCTATTCACACATTTATAAGTTTCCTTTTAGTTTGTTTGCGAGAAAGACGATTGTTTTCTAGTAGATGATTTCACGCTTCGATTTTAATCGGATTTCCATAGAAGTAAAATCGGTCGACGAGATAATAAATGAACTACAATTAGTTGTCAATTATCACTTTTATCGCATAGCATCTCAATTTAGTTATTAATGCTAGGAAATAATTTTATCATGTACATCCTTATCGAATATTACTTCATACCTCTATGTGTATAAATGTAGTCTACTTGAACAAGCGTGGCTCATGAGTGCAAGAACAGTCAATTGGAAATGATGCTGCTGGCGTTCCTCTCTCTATTCATTATTTTTGCGAACGGTGAGTATCTCTTATTAATTTACACGTTCGCGAATAAATTGCCCAGTGAATAAGGAACTTCTGTGCGCTTTCTGAATTTTCTAAATTGCAACGCAAAGGTGACGATTGTAGTATCAGTCGCTACATTATTACGGAAAAATACCTGGCTATGTCATGTTTGCTGATTGACTGATTAATTGTTGAAACATTTGCTAAGCACTTTTTGATGAATGCGCGGCAATTATTGTATATCATCTGATTTGAAGCGTATCATTATTGTCAGGCAACAGTCAATCGATGTTTTTCTAGGTAATCTTTTTGCATTTTCGAAAATAAAACGTAATTACGAGTGACATACAAAGAATTTGGCATACTTTTTACATCGCCTCGATTTACCCAACATTTACAAACGCAATATAGAACTGCGCAACCCAAGTGTTGCACTATCGGATAATCAGCCAACCCACATTTTAACACTCACTTGTTCGTTCAATAGCATCGTTACAACGTCGTTTCGGCGGTCGTATAGTCGGCGGTACCGACACTAACATCGAAGATCACCCATACCAGGTGAGCGTGCAAACAGCGACTACTCACTTCTGCGGCGGTAGTATCATCTCCAATCGTCATGTTCTCACTGCCGCTCACTGTGTGTACTTTGCGCCATCTGAAATTTTCATTCGCAGTGGTACGACATATAGAATGAAAGGTGGCCAGATTCACAATGTCGTGAAGAGCGTCACACAAAAGCGCTGGAAGTTCGGACAAGATGTTGCCGTTCTTACCGTCGATCCGCCATTCGATTTCGATAAAACGCGAATGCCGATAAGGTATGTTTATCCATTTGTAAAATGTCTGTTATGGATGTATCTTGATCTTATGTGATGAAAATATCGGACAGATTAGCTGCGGAGAGGCCAGCCATCGGCACAATGGGAAACGTAACGGGCTGGGGACGATTAAAAGAAGAACAAACGGAAGGCTCCAAGCACCTACAATTGGTGCAAGTTCCTATACTAGAAAATGACATTTGCACCGAAGCTTACAAAAACACTGCAGTCGGTGGGATTGCTGATACTGAATTATGCGCGGGTTACATCGGCATTGGCGGGAAAGACTCTTGTCAAGGTGATTCGGGTGGTCCCCTAGTGATTGGTAACGTACAAGTCGGTATTATTTCCCTTGGTAAGGGATGTGCCGATCCTAAGTATCCAGGGATTTATATCGACGTTGCGTATTTCAAGAAGTGGATCGAGGAGCAAGCATACTTGAACTTCTAAGATAGATAAACGTGTGATGTTGGGCGACGTAAAACTTGTATATTAAACATTTTTTATTCAATTTATTATTTTAAACGTCTCGACCTTTTTCATACTATAGCTTGTTCAAATAGGTTTAAACCATTCATTTGTGGAGCAAGTATTATACAGTGAATAAGAGACCTTATATTTGTATCAAAAACTTACCTTTCATCGACGTTCAATTTTTTACGTAGCTGAAGGTATAAGACAGGATCCAATATTCAATCTGCAAATTAAAAGAAAACAATACCATTTAAAAATTAAATCATTTGAAACTTTGACGTGCAGACGACACTATTTTAATTCAAATACTATAAGGAAAATTAGAAGATACGATCAATTCGTTATTAAGAAACAAAAATGAAAGTAGACATAACAAATAAGTTCTAGAATTTTTATTTAAATATTTTTTATTTATACTTTCATACAAAAACCCAAATTACATATCCATATTATCAAATTATACAGCAGCATGTTTAGCGATCCAATCACGCATAGCAGCGATTTCAGTGTAGACACCTGGATAACCCTTCCTGGCACATCCATTACCCCACGAGACAATGCCAGCTTGGCGACCAGCAATGACAAGAGGACCGCCAGAGTCACCTTGGCAGGTATCCTTTCCTCCTTGCGGATAAGCAGCGCAGATTTGACCTTCGGGAATACCACCCCAATTTTGATATGCTCGACCACACACGGTTTTAGTGACGATGGGGACGTCGACGGTACGAAGTGACGCGGGAGCATTGCCACCTTCTACTGTTGCACCCCAGCCTGAGATGGTAGCAAGGGAACCTTCAATCGCTTCCTCAGCCAAATCGAAGAGTGGAATGGGTTGGGTGGTTTTTCCAAGCGTAACGGGCGTTTTGAGTTTTAAGATAGCAACGTCGTTCTCGGGGATACCAAACATGTTGATCTTGAAGTTTTCGTGACGGACAATCTCGTCAACTTGGAGCAGTGCACCACCTTCGGCAGTCCTGGAGCTACCAACTCTCACAGTCATCATCTTGGCGGGGTAACTCTGAGTGCAGTGTCCGGCAGTGAGAATGACCTTCTCCGAAATGATACTACCGCCGCAGAAATGGAATCCGTAGGCCTGCAGCGACACCTGCCAGGGGTGCTCCTCGATCGACGTTTCCCGACCGCCCACTATGCGGCCCTGAGGTGTGAAAGGGTTTATTCCTACTAAGCATGGGACACTCGGTTTCACAAGACGGTCACCTGCAGCATATAATCAAGACGAGATTGAAGTGTATTTAAATGCGAAAAAGCATGTAATAATACGTACCATTAGTCGAAGCTAGCAGAAGCACCGTTAACAGAAATGGCAACATGTTGCTAAGAGATTGACTGGTGAAGCTGGGTTCACTGCATTACCGAAAACCGCATCGGTTTATATACGAAGTCGATCGCAAGTTTCAAGCCAAAGATAAGCTCAGCACTCGAAATCTATAATCCATTAATCCATTCGCAGCGAAGAGCAGCACTCGATAACGAAATGACTCGCAAACTTACTGCCGAAAATTTCAATGGCTATAGGGTTATTCAAATAAACCACCGAAGATTGATCATACGGTTATCTCTGCCAAATCCTACTCGTGAAATAACTTTGAGTTTTTACATAAGCTATTTTATTCCATGACAAACATGGTACGTAATATCGCCTCTAATCACCATAAAACAGCATAATTTCTAGATTTTCATCGTCACACGACGAATATTACAATTGCTGTAGCGTTCGCCCCCTTCACAAAGAGATAACGCGAAGGCACTGGTTTCCCGCGACGTCGTCGTAAATCGTAGGAAACATTACTACTATCCGTCAGACGACTCTCTCTCTCTCTCTCTCTCTCTCTCTCTCTCTCTCTCTCTCTCTCTCTCTCTCTCTCTCTCTCCAGGACTGCGGATCGATGAGTCGCAAGATGCAAACTAATGCGCGCCGAGTTTATATGTGACAGCGTTAGAATAATACGTGGTTTTATGGGTGACGTCCTGATGATTTATTTGTTGAATTATGTATATTCTAATTTAACCGTGCTTGATCGATGTGTTGAGTATTCCAATACTCTCGCATGAAAAGCCAATTAATTTATGCAGTAATGACAGTGAATTGACGTTGATGGGATGATAATTCAAATATGCCGATGATTCGCATGTGCGCTTTGAAGTGACATATTTCTAGGTTTATTTATATGAGCATTATAATGACATTCAAAATAATTAAGTACTCTGGATTTCTAATACTCTGAACGGATTAATGAAAGGAATTTTGATTGTTATCCAATAAGCACTTGAATAAAATGAAATTTGTGTAAAATTGATCACCGTGAAGATGATTATTAAACGATATAGTAATGAAACCTTGATTTATTTACAATTTAAGCTAATATTCGTGACAATTCGTTGTCATAAATAAATAAACAAATACATAAATAATTTATATCAATGAGTATAGTAGGCATTTTTTTTTAATATTAGGAGATGATTGACTATCAGTTAATAATCCGCGTATAATGATAAGGTGATTATTTATTTACAATCAATTAAAAATAGGCTGATAATCGATCAAATCTTGAATATATAATTCCGTACGAAAATTCGCCCTACGAATTCACTCATATATGAACCTTATTTTCTTATCGTACTCTCCAGCAGACATGAAATTCTCCCAAAATCATTTGCAAGTCGGCTCTGGCTTATCAGCTATTCAGAGCTGCGCATCGTATAAATAATTCGGCACAACTCCAAGTAATATCTAGTCGTCCGGAGTCTAGTATAGACAATATGTATCGACTCGTCATTCTTACTTTTGGATTTGCCCTAGTCGCTGGTGAGTGAATAATCATAATAATATTTACAAGTCACAAAAAATATACTATATAAAAGTTTGAATGAATCAATATAGGGGATCCCATTATTCCCCGCCGGACTATCAATGGCTTGAATCCGGTATCGCCCCAAGGCCGCATAGTGGGCGGTCGGGAAACGTCGATCGAGGAGCACCCCTGGCAGGTGTCGCTGCAGGCCTACGGATTCCATTTCTGCGGCGGTAGTATCATTTCGGAGAAGGTCATTCTCACTGCCGGACACTGCACTCAGAGTTACCCCGCCAAGATGATGACTGTGAGAGTTGGTAGCTCCAGGACTGCCGAAGGTGGTGCACTGCTCCAAGTTGACGAGATTGTCCGTCACGAAAACTTCAAGATCAACATGTTTGGTATCCCCGAGAACGACGTTGCTATCTTAAAACTCAAAACGCCCGTTACGCTTGGAAAAACCACCCAACCCATTCCACTCTTCGATTTGGCTGAGGAAGCGATTGAAGGTTCCCTTGCTACCATCTCAGGCTGGGGTGCAACAGTAGAAGGTGGCAATGCTCCCGCGTCACTTCGTACCGTCGACGTCCCCATCGTCACTAAAACCGTGTGTGGTCGAGCATATCAAAATTGGGGTGGTATTCCCGAAGGTCAAATCTGCGCTGCTTATCCGCAAGGAGGAAAGGATACCTGCCAAGGTGACTCTGGCGGTCCTCTTGTCATTGCTGGTCGCCAAGCTGGCATTGTCTCGTGGGGTAATGGATGTGCCAGGAAGGGTTATCCAGGTGTCTACACTGAAATCGCTGCTGTCCGCGACTGGATTACCAAACATGCCGATGTTTAGTTAATTATTTACGCCTTTTTATTGAATGTCTTACTCTATATACTTGAAATAATAATATGAAATCAATTATAAATATATTTTCCAATTTTTAAATAACTTTTTCCTTTCTCATTAAGTAGCATGCGTGAATTCTATTTATATGGAGTATAATATTATAAAAAATTATGATGTTACAAAAATAAAAATCTTATCTAAAAAATTATATATATCGATATATAGAGCAAATCATTTAGTTAGTTACCTAGTCTGAATGTTAACCTTAAGTCAATAAAACCATATATCCGATCGCATTTTACTAACGACAAGCTTTTATTCAACTAATTGAAAAAATATAAATTTGGAAAAAGTTTTCGACTTTTTGACAAATAGGAATTGACCAATGCCATAAAAATTTTATGTTTGGTGTTGTCATTACAGTTACTTCCAGTTTTACAGTAGCACTGATAAGATATTGATTCAATTTATATGTGGTCTGAAATTTAATAAAACCTGATTTCCATGATCATTTTTTATAGTCAGTTCCGTGCTACTTCTTCAACTTTCCACAATTATCGATTCAATGGTATAGTGACGGCATCAATCTCAATCTGCTAGACTGCCTATGTATATAAATATAATGTAAAATCGATATCGTTAGTGGCAGTTTGTCTAAAACGAGAGTTTCTTTTACACGAAGTTACAGATGTTGCTCTTTGTAAAAGTTAAAAATTAACCATTTTCGTTGCTTAATTTTTTTGTCGATCGCAAGTAAATAATATGCCGATAATTCGCCCAACCTGGTTAATTGGTAACTACTACTGATTCGGTTGAAACAGAACATTATGATTTACTGATTAGTCTCATAGTTAACAATGTTAACATTATTACTAAAAAAATTATATTGAAATATACAAAGTTTGCCTGTCAATCCAATTAGTAAATAAGGGGTAATGATGATTCCACTGGTCCTTTTGTCATTGATGTTTTCAAGTTAGTATTTTTTTTCTTTTTTAAAGAAAGCTGTACTGAGAGAAGTATTCACAGTCTTCAATAAATGAAAATTAAACGATGCGACCAAATCATCTTTGATAGCTGTACAATTACAGAATTTGTCTATAAAATCAATTGTAAAATATAGTTTAATCTATAAAGTATAAATGTACCTCACGACAATTCTACATTCGAGGAAATAAGAGACAAAACAGCGTTCAAAAGTATCTTCAACAGCCAGCGGTGTTAGAGACAAGCGATACTGATAAAATGGGACCTTCGGCAGAGTGTCATTCTCTTAAAAACAACTCTCAAGGATCAATTAAAAAAGAACAAAAAAGTGAATTATTTGCAAAGTAACATAAATAAGTAGATTAGCAAACTGATATCGATCTGGCTTGTACACGCATTTTCAAGTTCCCAAGAAAGATTATCGCTGGTTAACTCGATTAAAGCATTAGTTTGTCACGTTAGAGCAAACGATGAATTAGCTGAACTAGATTATATACCTATTCTCGCGTTCGTATTTTTTATATAAAACGCAGCATCGCTCTAAGATTTAACTAGCATTTTAAATCATCAATCAAAGAAACAATGACGCTTTACATCATCTTAATGGTGCTCTGCCCTGTTATGATTTTAGGTAAGCGGATATTACATGGAATTTCATCGATATACATATTTTTTGTATTTGCGTAAAAAATATGAAAATAATAAATTTTCATTTTGACGGGAAACTCGTTATTCTATTCAATTATCTCTAATAAGTATTATTTTTATCAAAATGATATTCACTTGCATGGTTTCAGAATTGATGTGTTTATTATTAAAACTTTTAGGGGACATCATTTCATGGATTTCTATAGTCGAACTATTGAAGCCCAGCCTATTCATTCCACATGGTCGTATAGTCGGAGGCACACCAACATCGATTGAAGAGCATCCATGGCAAGTATCAATCCAAATGTTAGGCTTTCACATGTGTGGCGGTAGTATCGTCTCCCAAAATTTCATCCTAACAGCTGGCCATTGCGCGAGTTACCTATCAGGATGGCTTAGTGTCCGAGTAAATAGTTCGATAAAGCACAAAGACGGCGCGGTGCACCGAGTCGACCAAATAATCCGTCACGAGGATTATAGCATAAACGAACTCGGTGTGAGCGTCAACGACGTGGCGGTATTAAAACTTCGCACGTGCATAGTACTTGGCCAAGGCAGTCAACCTGTAGACTTATTTAATAGCAATGAGAACGCACCAAATGGTGTCTTAGCTACAATTTCCGGTTGGGGTGCATTAACCGAAGGTGGAAGTTCACCAGAAATACTTCACATCGCACATGTGCCGATCGTCGACAAAAAGGTTTGCCACAAAGCTTACGAATTTCAAGGTGGATTATCCCATGGGCAAATATGCGCTGCTTATCCACAAGGTGGAAAGGATACTTGTCAAGGTGATTCTGGCGGTCCTATGGTTGTCGATGGTCGACAAGCTGGTATTGTCAGTTGGGGAAATGGATGCGCCAGGAAGGGATATCCTGGAGTTTACACGGAAATTGCTTATTTCCGAAAATGGATTTCGAAAAATACTGGAGTCTAGGTATATTTTTCCTCAAGTTCATGGAATTACGTTTAATAAAAAATGTTTCCACGAATTCTTGCATCCGTTTTTATCTGTGATTATTTCATATAAAATTAATGAAATAAGAAGTTCGTTAATATAGATTTACTATATATGCAAACGTGAAGATTAACCTTGGAACTGAAAAAGATAATCTTGATCGATTGATTGATATCTCCGTGATGAAATCATCAGCATTATCTCCAACAGCTAATAGCAGAATTAAAATTTATTTTATTTTCGACGGATTCTCGTCCACAAGGCAGTGTTACTACTTTTGAGACTAACTTTCTTATTAAATAAAATGTTTATAAAATTTCTATCTAGAAAATTATTTCACATTATCATATCAATTATAAATTAGCATCCTTAACAATTCAATCGTGAACAACAGCAATTCCAGTGTAAACATCCGGGTATCCTTTCCTGGTACGTTCATTAACCCCATAAGATAATACCGGCTTGGTGATCAGTGATGACAACAGGATCATCAGAGTTGCCTTAGAGGGTCCTATTCTCCTTACCGATAAACGGAGCAGATTAGACCCCCGGAAATACCATCTCAACATTGACATGCTTTGCCGCACACGACTTTGGTGAAGTTGCCATCGCGTCTTCTTGAGCTTCTTAACTTTGGGCAATCAATCGTACTAGTTGAACGGTCTTTTCAACGTAATATCGTTTTTGGAGGTGCCAAACATGTTGATTTTGAAGTGTTCGTGGCACATCACCACGACGACGTCTTACAAGGTGCCTTCACTTGTAGTTTGGAGCTACCAACTCTTAATGTATCCAAGACGATAATTCTAAGTACAATAGCCAGCGGCGAGAATGATGTCATTAGAGATGATGTTACCGCCGCATAAGTGGAAACACAGTGACTACACAAACACTTACCAAAGGTGTTCGATCGATGTTTCCCGACCACCTATTATATAACCTTGAAGAGTGAATGAATTGATACCTACCATATACCAAGGACAGCAGCTTGGCACGGAATTCCCTTTAAATTTGTTTTTTTCTAAATTTTATTTACTGTATTTCTAGGTTGAAAATGAAGTTGCAATGCAAGTGAAAATGTAATAAATTATTTTTCATTTTAAAAGAAAATTTTTAAATTGTTTATTTTTAGCAAAAAATTTAACTAACTACATCTTTAACATTCTTATATGTTTCCATAGCAAGCACAAGTACTAAAGTAATTAGTTGTAACGTCATGCTGGCATTGTAGCGACTTGGAGCTTTTGCCAAAAATCGACAGTCCAGTGGTTTTTATACCCGATTCTGCTTGATTTTAAGGTAATCAATTGCTTAAATCTCCAGTTGTTCAAGCGTGTCTCTGTTAAAATCCCTGATAAAATCTGGTGGGCCGGGGTCAATTTTTAAATTTTAATCGGTCGATTACCTTTTCATTGCAAGATGAATTGATATATATTATCGATCAGAATATTACGAAATGCGAGTCATCTTCGCAAACTATGTAGACTTTCATAAATCAGTAAGAGAAAGTACACAAGAACGTTGGTTTCGTAATATTGCGCATGATTTTGTTTATTTCACATCGCAAAATTTTACAAAAAATTAGATGCCCGACTTCTCGCTAATCCAGTCGCGATAGTAAGCGACTTCGGTGTAAGCACCAGGGTAACCCTTTCTAGCACAACCGTTACCCCAGCTGACAATACCAGCCTGACGACCATCGATGACTAAAGGTCCACCAGAGTCACCTTGGCAAGTGTCCTTTCCCCCTTGCGGGTAAGCAGCACAAATTTGCCCTACGGGAATTCCACCCCAGCTTTCGTATGCTTCGTTGCACGCAGATTTACTAACGATCGGCACGTCTACGGTGTGCAACACTTCCGGCATATCGCCATTCTCGATGGTAGTGCCCCATCCAGAAATCGTAGCTATCGTGCCGACGTCACATTTCTCGTTCTGCTCGAACAGTGCCACGGGTTGGGTTCGCTCGTTAAAGTCGATCTTGGTCTTGAGTTTCATAAGTGCGATGTCGTGGTGGGGAATGCCTTTCGCGCTTTTCGTAAAGTTTTCGTGGCGAATCACTCTTTCCAACGCGTGTACCGCGCCACCCTCTTCCATCACCGAGCTACCGACGCGCACGGTCGTCAGATCGGGCGAGTATCCGGCACAGTGGCCAGCCGTCAAAATCCATTGGTCGGCGACGATACTGGCACCGCAGAAGTGGAAACCGTAGGCTTGAAGCGACACTTGCCAGGGATGAGTTTCGATCGTTGTCGGTTTGCCGCCGATTATGCGACCGTGGGGCGTGTACAATTCGGCAGTCGGCCGTTCCGCGCGCCGATGCCAAGGCTTCCCTGAAATGGCCATTCCTTTTTTTACAATCGTCTGCTTTCCCGTTAAATGTTCCAAACGACGCCTTACCATTGACCAATGCCAAGAGGACGCAGCTAACGGCGACTCGATACATCTTGACTGGAGTTTTGTCGAGAGCAACTACTTATAACTGTGAAAAGGCTGCGAAATTTATATGAAAAAAGCGGCATAGATCATTAGCAACGATAAGTCGTCGTTGCGCAAGCCTCGCGAGTTCGTCGCTCGCCATAGTGCACGATAAAGCATCGAGGCTATATAATCTCCGGAAGATGTGTAGTGAAGTTTTGCGGAAAAGATAATGAAAGGAGAAACTGCGCGAGGCTAGCGCCTTGGCGACTTCTACGTAGGTAAACCAGTCGCGCGTCTGAGTGAGCTTCCGGGGGAAAAATGCTCGCTCGCTGACAAGTCCCTTTTCAGCTATTGACTTTTGGCGAGGCGATCTCTCGCGAGCTGGTCCCCGTTTCTTCAGCAGCATACTGCTGTCGATTGTTCCGAGAGCATACGAAAACTCGAGGACGGATGAATAACCGGACAGAAATGTCAACACGAAATCATTGTTATCGGTCGTCTGGCGCAACGACCTAAAAACTTTCCCGTCGATGCAACGATAACGGCCGACAAAAATACAACTCATCGAGCCTAGAAGCAAGAGAAAGCGACGATTCCGGCGTGGCGCAGCGCTCGAAGTGTCAGCGCACGCGTGAGTTTTTTTTATCGCTCGGCCGAATTTTCAGGTGACGCCGCGAGAGCGATAAAAGCCGGATTATAAGAGGCCGCGGGGGATGAACCGCGGGGATCAGTGCTTTTTTTCGTGCAGTGGCAATGCAACGGCTGTTGTCGGTGACGCTTATCTCGCTCGCCATTGTGGCAGGTACGTCTCGTTCTCGTCTCTTTTCGAAGTGAATGGGGTATTATCCGCCTCTTTGCATTGCATTCCAACTCACGCGCCATCCCATTGTGCCAACGAGATGCGGCGGCGTGGCTGCTTTTTGAACACGGTTATTAGAATGCACTTTGGCGCGCTTTCGCTTCGAGGGCTTTTCGGGCTGGAGCGGTCGTACGTGGCTTTGGCCTTGCTATGCTATCCTGCCGAGAACGCAAATGGAATTACGTTTCATTTTTCCGTCGGCGAGACAGCGGAGGTAACCGGTCCTCGATGGACTTCACCGTATCGCGTGCGTTGGTGGCTCACACTGCCAAGGAACGAGATTGGCGAAAGAAAGATCGATGAAAAAGCAGTTGGGATATTTCAGCCGCATTTCTTCCTTGATGGATGTAGCCATTTCTGGCGTAAAGATGTTCTCGCGCCCGGAAACCTGCGAGCGCGAACTCTGGAGAAGCAGCATCGCCGCGTACATCTAGCCAACGTAAATAGCTTAAAGCTTTTCTTACGCTGAACGAAACTTTCTTCGGCACGTTTAACGGTGATGCACTCCTGTGAAAATACTTTTAATTTGTACTTTGCACGACGAAACCAAGTTCTGAATTTCTTCGAAAAGCCTTAAATTAAAAAGTTGCATCGAAGGAATGTTCTTATATTGCAGTAGGAAAGGTCGTGCTTAGGTTAAGAACTTTATTTTCATTAGAAGCGTTTCTTTTTGCATTGCGGTCAGCGCGCGAGATCAACAAGTTTATCGAACAGCGGAACATTGAAATTTGCAGCCGAACCTCACATCGCCCACAGACTAAGCCCAGCAACCCCGCAAGGTCGCCTAGTGGGTGGTCGCGAGGCACCGATCGAGCGCTATCCCCACCAAGTGCTGCTGGAAGCACGTGGCCAAGGATTCTGCGGTGGCAGTATAATATCGAAGCGTCACGTGCTCACGGCTGCCCATTGTCTCGTGTATCCCGCCGAATGGGTGCACGTGCGCGCCGGCACTGCCAATCGAAGCCTCGGCGGCAGCGTTCACCGAGTCGTCAGGTGGTTCGAGCACGAGCAGTACGAAGTCGACGAGCGCGGCGTTCCGAGCAACGACATCGCCGTTTTCGAGGTAGTTACTTCTTTGTGCCGAACGAGCGTCGAAAGATAAGCGATTCTAATTAATCACGCGATTGGACGCAGGTGTGTGGACCATTTAGCATCGACGGCTCGCGCAAGCCGATAGCCCTGTTCTCGGCCAACGAGACGTCGAGCGTTGGCTCGCCGGCCACCATCACAGGCTGGGGAAGTCTGCTGAGCGAATTTGGCCGCGTATCTCAAGCATTGCGAGCAGCTACGATTCCATTGATCGACGTGAACGTCTGTCGGGAAGCTTACAAGACCTTCGGTGGTTTACCCGAGGGTCAGATCTGCGCTGCTTATTACGGTGAGAGCAGCAGGGACGCTTGCCAAGGCGATTCCGGTGGCCCGTTGGTTATTGGCGGCAGACAAGCTGGCATCGTGAGCTGGGGCAATGGTTGCGCCAAGCAAGGTTACCCGGGAGTTTATACCGAAGTTGCTCGGTACAGGGACTGGATCGAGTCGAAAATTGGAAGACTCGATAGTTTGATTTAAAGCAAGTTTAGCCGCAGCGTGTATCGATGAATCTTTCGTTGGTTGTTTTAATACGAATACGAATGAATGTTATTTCGAAAGTGTGTTATATTTTGCATTTACGTCGACAGGCAGCATCCAGTATAAACCTTTATAATTATGCATTATATCAAATAAATAAAGGACAATAGGAATCCCCAAGCATTTTCACGATCGATAAGTCGCAACAGACAAGTTTTGGTCTGTGCAATTTAAATCAAATAGAACTTGTCTCGCTGGCTGCCACAAATCCGAATAGCTATACAAGGATAGCTCGACTAAACCCAACCCTCCCTCTGGTGGCATTATCGATTTGGTTGTCATCGCGAGCAACTCTCTTCGGCAACGAAAATGCTCGAAAAGAACCACGAGGCGAGCAATCGAATCTAGATCCGAGAAAAGACCGCTTACAGCAAGGTTTCCGGAAAAAGCGCATTTGCGCGTCAACGTCGCTTCCCAAATGAAGAGTGCGGGGGGGGGGGGGCGCAATTCTGCTCCGACGAGTCGTAAACGAGAGGTCGGCACCTTGCCCTTTGTCCCGCGCCGAGGCACTCCATTGTTCGTCGGCGAGACGGACGGAGCCCGAGAATCCATGCGCCGAAGAATTCAATCGACACGTCCGATTGAGTTGCGTTTAGTCCCTTGCCGCGTGAAATTGGGCCGGAACCCGAGAGCGGATAAGCTCGTAGGAGACGAGGCACACGCTGAGAGCCAAACGACGCGGCGGAAGAGGGATACGACGAGACGAAGATTTTCCGCGCGCAACTTTTTCCCGCGGTGCTTCGCGTATCGATTACCGTCCGCTCCACTCTCGTTGCGGTCTCTGTGTCTTCCTCTCAATTGTCGGCCGAGACCGCGAGATTTGTCGCGTTCAGCGCGCGGAAGTGAAATTCGACGATCGAGTTCGCGAGAATGGCCGACACTTCGCCTTTGCCGAAAGTCGTCTCGCGACCGAGCCTCCGCTTCTCTCTCGCTTTCCCGTCGACCAGTCAATCACTCGCGTGCCAAGAAAAAGTTGTTGGCTTGCCACCGCGTCTCCATCGATGAACGATAGAATTGCCTTCGAGCGTTCCGGTGACAAGTCCTGGCGGTTCTTCTCCTGATCGACAAGCTCGACGCGTTCGTTATTTATTCGGGGCGTCTTCAGCCGACCGTGCGCCCCGCGTAAGCTCGCGATTTCACTGCGGCGCGCGTAAAAGGCGCAACTCGTTGCGCGGCGAGCGCGCAAAGTGCCGAATTGCCGAGCGCAAGGAGTTCGCTCTCGTCGTATTGGCGAGAGTGCGCGTCGGATTAGCGTATCGCACGACAGAGAGCAATCGGGCGCCGGCGAGTCGGTAGCTGCCGATGGGGGCACTGGTACAGCTTCTTCCTGCGTAATCGCGGAAGCGCGCAGCCTTCGCGTATAAGGCGAGCTCGGCATCGAGGATCGCTTCCGCGCAGGCAGTTGACCTTTCCGTACATTCGCACACGTGCGCGCGATCTATGATATATATGCATATATCGCGGGCACACACACACACGTACGTAGCAGCGCGTGAGCTTCTATGCATGTAATGCCGTACAGCCTTGCCACGCGATCACGATTGATCGAGCTTTCCTCGGTAATGCACTTGGGTTACTGTGTCAATGACGATTATGCGTTTTTTTTTCTTTTCTTCTTCTATTCTCTTTTCACCACGTGCTTTCGACAGTTTTTTTTTTTCTTTCGCTCGATCTTTTACTTAGCAAACGCGTACGTGCTCGCGTGACACGAGCGTTTCGGAAAATTACGCGAGAATTTGGTCGCCCGTTGCGTGTGGATCGTTGGACGTAACCGAAACTTGGAGTTTTCTAATTGGCGAAAAGTAAAATAAACAAACAAATAAAGAACGAATTCAACACCCTGACGCTTTGAAAATTAGTGCCGAGCTCGATATTTATGCCGCGGAAGTAAACCCGACTGCTGAAGCACGAATAATAAATCTCGCACACACGAAGTGAATAATTTTGATGATATCCGCGAGAAGGCCGTTTAGCGAAATATCAGGGGTGAAAATCTGGCTTCGAAACTTTAACGTAGCGAAATATGCTTTAGAAAAGTGTAACGACAATTCGAAATGCGACTCGAGTGAAACGCAAAAAACGTCAAACACTCGTTAAAGGGCAACGGTACGAAAATAAAATAAAATATATGTTTTATTCATTGAAAGAATTACGACGCACCTCGGCATTCGCGATAAACGCGAGTGAATGCGAAAAATTGCTGATACCAAAATCAATGGGAAAGTGAACGGAATAGCCGCTAGGACAACCAATGTATTGAAAAAACAAGCAAACAAAACACAAAAGAAAAGTAGGCGTAGAGCAACTCGAATGGAGGTGAAAAAAAAAAGAAAAGAAAAAAAAAACAGAAACAGCGGCAGGTAGAAATCGATGATAACTGGCGTCCCGTTATCGACCAGCGAGCATCGCGTTTCATTCCCGACGCGTGCGTTCGCCGCCAGCCGTCGACTACGCGATTACGCGGCTCTATAGCGCGCTCACCTTGAAAACTATTAAATCGTTTCGACGCGCGTGCGGTCTATTTTCTTTTTACGCGCGAGGGTGTCGACGGGGAAAGGGAGCGCGAGTGAAAACGCGCGGCCGAACGAGGACGTGGGAACGCACGGTTTATTTTTAGCCCGGCAAGGCGACAGGTGCAGGAGAATTAACGATCGGAAAGAGCGAGGTCGATCGATTTGTCTCTCTCGCTTTTGATCAGTCGCTGCCGGGAATTCCGAGAAAGCTCTCTCTCTCTCTCTCTCTCTCTCTCTCTCTCTCTCTCTCTCGAACGACCCTTCGCCCGATCGCTCGAGATCGTGAATCTCCTCGGCGGAGATTTAAAAGAACGCCGTGAAGGATCCTCCTGTCTTCTCTTCTTCTTTTTTACTCTCTCCTACCCTCCTTTTCTCTTCGACGCTGGAGTGCGATGTTACGTAAAGGGTGGAAAAATACAGAGAAATCGCGTCACGAGTGAGGATTACGTTCGAGAATCCATATGCCAGGACGCGTTAGTTTCGAATATAAACATTATCTCATCCCATTATTGCGTAACGATGGTTTATTTAGCTGTTGAAAAACAAAGAGACGCAGGCAAAGTTTTTTTTATTTTTTTTCAATAACAACATCGCTATTATTGAACGATTAACGCCGGGTGTCGAGGACGAAAAGAGGCGAAGTGCCGAGAAGAGCGACGGTCAAATCCCATCGGAACGCCGGCGGACGCTAATTCGAGCGCGGCGAGCGATTGCACACGCGAGCGCTCTTACGTGCTGCTCTGCGCGTCGCCGCTCCAGGCGTGCTGCACATGCCGTCGAGGCTCGTCGTCGAACGCGGAGAGCTGATTGTTTCCCCGCCGCGAGATACGAACGCTCCGCAATATTATTGGACGTGTCTATTGCGCGATCATCGCGCCGATCGCTTGTGCAATGGCTTTCAGAGCCAACAAAATACGCGATATCAACAAATCGTGAGTTCACGGCGCGGTCGGCTTTGCAAATAACTTACATCATTGACTTTCAATTGCTACGAGTAACTATCTATATGCTCAGCACTTCAAAGCTACGCTCGTCAAGTCTGTATATCTCAGTGCTTCGATTCAGATTTACGATGGTACCGCTGTTGTCCATTCGAATCTTCCTCGTGTTCCTCCTGATTGTCAGCGTGACCCTAGAATCTTGGATGCCACCTATAGACGTTTCTATTCCAATGCGACTGGTGACTAAGTTCAAACAACGTCGTGCCATCGTTCAGTTCGGCAGGTACAATCAGCTTGCGATCCATCCTACAAAAGTCAGGCTGACATTGCATCGATTAACTTGGGTCTGACCGACCAAAGTGAATAAAGAAATCGCCGATCGCAAGGTTTCTCTCTTTCAGGCCAATCCGCGTTCCACAAGGTGTTCGTTGGTGGAGCGTGCCAATAAAAAGACAGATGTAGTCAAGGTATTATACGCGAATGAGTCGAGAGTTCCTGGTATCTGACCATACGAGGCAAAAATGACGAATGGTACAATAACCGAAGGTTACCGGTATGCACAATTCTCCTCGACGAGGCAAATCCAGATACGTTTCCAAATAGCACGACCAAAAATGGGAGAGCGTTCCAAAAGATTGCTCTGTCTATCAAAACTGCTGTGTGCCGAAGGAAAACGAGATAACACGTTACTAAAGATTATGGAACGGCACGATGTGCGTGAACTATACGAAATTCGTTACCGAAGATCGTTGATTGATTTGATATGCATAATCTTTGAAGCGAGGCTGGAGATTGCCGGGCGAACGATTACCAGAGTTTTGCAATGAGATCACTCGAGGAACCTTTGGTAGAGATTTTCTCGAGTACCAGATTTGATCATTGTCAAAATACGTGCACGAGTCTAAGGAATGCGTGGACAATAAAAATCATCTATACGAAATCCATCCTTTTCTGTGTCTGAATTTTTCATTCATCATTCGGTTTTTATTCATCTGCTCAACAAGTAAATGACTATAATGAACGTCAATAAGCGACGAGGACACTACGATCGATGTCATTCTGTTTTCCCTGAGCAACCATCGCTTTCAATCAAATTTCAACCATTTCAATTACACGACATTGAATAGCGCGCTGGTAAAACTGGAAACGGACGAAAATGTGAGACTCGTTTAAATTTGTCGTCGGTATAAATACAACTTTGAACATCGATGGCACGTCGAGCCACAGAAGCGCAATTAATAAACGCCCTGAATTCAGCGCCGAGAGGCATTGTCTGTCCACCTTGGCGGATGAAAATAATGAAACTCGTGAGGCGGCGGAGTTTCAGGTTAATTCATTGCGTTGGATTGAGTCGCTTCAATGGCACCTCTGCCTGGGATTATTTCTGCGGTGGGTACGATTTCACGTGTCGGCGGCGCGCGGCCTTCGTCGTGCCTGCGGGCCACGAAACGGCCGATCGTCGAGTCCACCCCGGCCACGGAAAGGGGAAAAAGAAGGGAAGAGAAGGCCGGAAAAAAAGAGACGGCGTCATTCGTCGCTCTGCCCCGGCGTCAAGCTCACCCGCCGCGCTTCGCGTCAATTCCGCGCGAGTGCGATTGGATATTCCGCGAGAGAGCCGACGAGCAGAGCCGAAGAATGGGAGCGTATCTAATCAGCGAAATTGGCAGCGTACGAGTATGGAATTGGCCTACTGGCATTCGTATGTTTTCCATCCAAGTAGCCGCGCTCGAATTGGTACGCGCGGGACGCTGTCCTCTTATCGTACGTCTCTGCTAGAGTTCTTTCGAGGCAACGACGTTAGTACAGGCTGTTTTACAGCATTCGATGACAGTCCTATCTTATTATTCCCATTTCACAAGCAATGCATCACCTTCAACGTGAATTTTTATCGAGGTCTGTGTCAAAACAATGTTATCCGCATATAAAAGCGTTTACTGCTTTTTCGTTTATGTGTTCTAGGCTATTTTGTCTCTCAGAAAATATACGTTTGGCAGAGATTCATCTCACGGCAAGAATTTATTTGACTTGAAATCTTTGCTAAGTTGCTGGGAACTAAATCGACACTTGGGCAGAGAATACAATCAAAACGGCTGTCCCGGGAATTCGCAAAGACTCGTTTGCATTATATTTCAGTATTGAAAATCGATTTCAGTTTATTTAAAATTCATTTTATTACGTAAATCCGTACGCTGCAACGGAGAAGTTGATTGAAATATTTTCATCTTCGCATGCTCACGAGTGACGTTATTTCCGATGACTCGCACACGTTGTACTTTGAAGTCCCGCTTCGTTATATCCACACGCTCGGCTCAAAATAATTTGCCTACGCACACTTCACATAGATAAGACGGTATAAGTGGCGTGTTATAGCTTGTCGCAACAAAGTACCGAGTTTTTAAAACAAAAGATAAAGGTAAATGTGCGCCACGCCGACGGTAAGCGACGTAACAAACGGCGAAGTTTGCAAGCAACGTTAATGTTGAATTATCGAAAAAAGCCGTCTGCCTAATGACCATTCCAAATTACTTTTCCGTACAAATAGTCGGATACACAACGCTGAACTATTCATTTCCTTTATCCCGAATGTCGGACTCTGCGGCATTTACGAATACTGCTAATTCCGAGCTTGGATCCATTAGGCGTAAGAAAATTGATAAATCGCAAGTGGCGCGCGAGCTTTTTCCCTCATTAGCTGATTGGCCCGTAGCCCCGTAGCCGCGGCGAGTGCGGATTCCGGAAGAGCGATCAGCCAACTGGAAATCTTGGCCGAGCGAATTCCCACGAGAGAGTCGGACCTGCTAATAGTCTGTAAAACTAAAAGAAAGTGAGAGAGAGAGAGAGAGAGGTGGAAAGCTAACGAAACGAGACGGCTTGACACTGTTTTCCGCGCCGGCGACCGAATCAGTTGGAAAACAAGAGCGCAAACGTTTACTCGGCGCGGAAAAAATCGATGACTTGCGTGAGCTTGCTCGCCAACCCTCGATCGATCTACCATCGCCAATCACTGCGCGCGGCACCACCACGCGACGAATCCCCAAAACCATACGCGTCCCCGAGGCGCTTGTCGCTTCGCTCGTTTTCGCGAGGCACAAATAAGCGGCACTGCGAACGAAGAGGAATGCACGGAGCAATTACGGTAATTCCACCGCTAGAAATTTTTTCAAGCGGGATCGTAATCACCCGTCGAGGGTTGCACGTAAGACACTCGCTCTCTCGCGGAATGATACGAGTGCCGTACGCTAAGAATAGAAATGACCTTTTCTTCGCGAGGTGATGGTGTATAATAGTTGCAGACGGGGGGTACAGCTCGCTCGCTATTTTCGCCCGCGGCGTTTCCGCGATGTTCTCGTTTTTCTTTCTTTTTTTCTTTTTTACTTTTTTTTCTTTTTGTCGAGCGAATTAGCTTTTTCAAGAATACACAACTTCTTTTCAAGCCGAGTACGCGCAGTTATTGACGAATCCCAGAGATCACGCGTCGACCCAGTTCGCATTTCTATTTTCCCTTTCCCCTTTCGTTTTTTCAACCGTTCGCAAAATTTATTTAATCGCGCTCAGTTCGAAAGGCGCCGCAGCGCGAGATTCGATTAGAGGCCGTCGGGCGCACGCGGATCGCCGTAGTGTGACGAGAGAGCGGCGAAACGATAAACGCGCGCGCGCCAGCCAAAGGGAAATACGCACAGAAGCTGCCCCGACGTCAAATGCATCGGCGCAACCTGCGAAGCGTACGACGCGGCGCACATGCGCGCGACGGCTGCGTGCAGGCGAGCGCAGCGCGTTCCGTCCGCCGACTTGTGTTGCGGGCGTCGAAAAAGAGAGCCGGATGACGTAGAGCGCCTCGGCGCTCAACCTATTTTCAGCCGCGGCGGCAGCTTCCCGCGAAATCCCACTCGACGCGTTCGATGCCGTCGATGTGGCGCGGATGCGAAATCGATACCCCGCGGGGCGACTCGCGACCGCGCGGACTTTCCCTCTTTGTTCGCCGTGGAAAGCGCGAGCCTCTTCCTCCTCGCGCGCACGGTCGTCCTCGTCGAGCGCGCCACGCCTAAAAATTAGGGACTCGACCGCTTCTTACGCGCCTGTTACTGCCGCCCCCCCCCCACCCCCCTCGAACGGTCGCAGCGAACGGAAGAAAATCGAATGTCGTGATCGGAATGTAGGTCGAAGCGCAAAAACCTTCCGCCGAAAATGAAGCGTCGGAGAGGCCCGCGTGCGCGGTAGAAGGTGCAAGTTCAAGCCCGGGGAACGTCGGCGACGGTCGGCGCGTGGCTATTACGGTAATCGGTGTCACGGGCGTCGCACGCCCAAAAAACCGCCCGTCGGCCGACTACACACCTGGCAGTCGCTCAAACTTTTACTGGCTTTCATATTCGTTAAAAACGAGCATTTCGAGCGGGAATAACGCGAACGTTTATCGAGCAAGCTGCGCAGGTTTGCACTCTCTTTTTTCATCGGTGGCAAACATTTGCAGCATTGCGTCATCGTTACGAGAGCAATTTTCCCTCTTTATTTATTAAGAAAGAGTAGGGAGGGGGTCAAGGTGTGTGTGTGTGTGTGTGTGTGTGACAATTCAAGCATTATATATAAGACGAAATCTCCTACTTCAAAGACTTCGTTATATAACTTTATTATAAATCTATAAAAAGCCAATAACGCATCGTGCCTATTTATATAACGAAAAGAGTTTCACGGTAAATCCGCGCTAAAAGTCAAAGAAAGGGAGCGCCGGGACTCGGCGAGAAACCGTTGACCGCGCAAAAGAAAAAATCGCGCTCCCCCCCGAGTTTCGGCCTGAAAAAACGGACAGCGACAATTAGCGGAACTGAAAAATCGATGATCGCGCACTCACCAAAGGCTCGCAGTCCGAAATGTCCTCTCCTCCGTCCGTACGGTCGTCGGCAGGCGCGGGTGTTCCACCACCCCGAGCGACAATCACATGACACACAAAAACACACGAGGCAGCACACACGCGCACGTCGAACTGGCGTCGCGTTCACAGGCACATCGAACGCGGAGGAGACGAGCAGGCAAGCCGAGTCCGGGCTCGCGGCGTAGGAGCGGGCGGTGCGGGTCTCGGTCGGGCGGCGCTGGCCCCGGGTGTGGCGCGCACCGGCGGTCAACCGGTCGCGGCCCGTCGCGCGCCTGGCCCTCGCGTGTGCGTGGGTGCGCTCGAGCAATCGAATGGTCATTCGCGCGGAGAGTCCAGCGCGGGCGCGCGCGGGCGGTGCTCCTCGTCGCGCTGGCGGGACACTGTCTCGGGCATCACGAGCGCTCGCGCTGCGAATCGGCACGGCCGGGCGAGCGAAGGGAGGCAAGGCGCACGGAGAAAGCCCTGGTCGCGGCGCGGCCTGCTACTGGTGGCGCGGTCACACGGTGCGACGGCGTCCGCGGCGGCTCTCGCACTGAGGGGTTGCCGAGGCCTCCGTGCGCCGTCGCTGCTGCTGCTGCTGCTGTGCTGCTGTGCTGCTGTGCTGCTGCTGCTGCTGCTGCTGCTGCTGCTGCTGCTGCTGCCGCGTGAGACGCGCGCACACGTGCGCGAGCACTCGGGTTATCGGGGGAGGAGAGAGAGAGAGAGAGAGAGAGAGAGAGAGAGGGAGCGGCGCGCCACCCTTCGTCGAGCTCTCTGCACTAGGCGAGGCGCCCGGCGAGCTTGCGGAGCAAGCGATTCTCGTCTCGTTCCGGCCTCGGCGTCTCTTCGTCGACTCGTCGTGGCATTCCTCTATGCGTTCCAACGCCGCGCCTGTACTTCTTCTTTTTTCGATCTAGGAATTACGTCTCGTCCGCGCGAAACTTCGATGAAGCTTGCCGAATCCATTGAACGTTGTACGTTCTCGCTATTTATTCGACGAATCGACGACAAAGAGCTTTTGCCTCGTTCGCATATTTCACTCGAACTTGCGTGATATAAAAGCGCATTTGTTCGCAAATGGTGATTGAAAAAACTGTAAATAGTATTTAATCGACTGCGCGAACGGTAGATTATGAACCAAGCAACACGACGACCAGAAGCAAGTTTGTCAATCATCAATGTTCGTCGTTTAAAGCCATGTGATGTCGACGACTGTAAGATTGACTTGAAAAACATTAGGCAAGAGGTTAGAGTAGATTACAATTAACTAGACGATACTCCGCAATGCCGCAATGGAAATAATGCAGCATCGCGTAAAAATGGAAATCGCCCGATGCACGCGAAATAGCTTTGCTTTCAGGTTTTTCAGTGTTTTTTTCGCGCCGCCTTCGCGAGCACTCTCGCACCGGGGGCTTGCCCGCTAAGTCGATAAAGCGCGACTAATTATAGCCGCGGCAATAAAGAGATTCGCAGCGCGGCGGCATTGTCGAGCGATCTCTCATTCGCGCGCTGTCAGACGTGATCCATAATACCGAGCCCTCGCGTTCCTGCGATGCGCGCGATCCGCGGAATTCCGCACAGCTGGCACGCGGACCTCGCCTCTTGCGTTTTATAACAGCCGCCCTTTGCCGCTCGCGGATCGTTCGGTCAATGATGGTATTCCTGTCGCACAAGTGTTTCAATGAGAAATCGCTTCTTAATTTCTTTCCTTTCTTTCCTCGTCGTCGAATTTTTATTGCGGATAATTATGCCGAATTAGCGGGGGCTTAAGTCTCTAAATTGTACTAGATAAGCCAACGACACGATACTCGGCGCTGCTGTTCGTCATGGGTTTCCCGGGTGTAAAGCTCGCGCTCTATCTTTGCGGCATGTTTTTTCTCGGTAAAGGAGGAAATCAGTCGATCGCGAGTGGCGATTTAACGGTCGAGATTTCAGTTGCAGGTCGGAGTCATCAGAAACGGGCCAAGCGCATCATCGGTGGTACGAGTGTCGATATCGAATTGGTTCCGTATATGGTAAGCGTCGCATGAAATTCTCAAGAATTTTTCCAGACGCTTTGTTCACGCCAATCTCTCGTTTCAGTTATCGTTGAGGCTCCACGGCAAACACATCTGCGGCGCGGTGATCATCGGCAAAGAGTGGTGTTTAACCGCAGCGCACTGTTGCGTCGCGTAAATATAATCGGATGTTTCCTAGTCGCGCAAAGACGTATTTTCGCAAATACGGGCTGGGAATAATGCAACAAAATAAATTCGGCGAAATTCCGAAGTTCAAGAGCAAAATTACGTCCTTCGCTCTTAACCGAATAATTGTCACTTTTAACAAACGTTATCGCTCAGCCGCAACGCCGTCAATTAAGCCTTCGTAGTAGATAACAGAACGTAAAAGTTGTATTCATTCCCGATAAAATTTCCACGATCCCGTCCGCAGTGGCAAGCTGACAGTTCGAAGCGGCACGTCAAATCTGCACGAGGGTGGCGATTCCCGTCGAGTGACGCAGGCGACGCGTCACGAGCTTTATCGCGACGGCGACGACGATTACGACTTGTGCGCGTTGCGCGTCGAGACGGCCTTTGAGTATTCCAACGTGACTGCGCCCGTCAAGTTACCGAAACTTGAAAAACAGAGCACGCACCTGATTGATGGGTCCGTGGCTGGTTGGGGATACACTGCGGTATCGTGTCACTCCTTTGTCCGATTGTAAGCGACGTTTTCCTTCGGATTCTGACTCGCTGCCTCACTTTCAGGCTGATGGAACCGTGCTTTCTCCGCGACTGCAACTGTTGAACGTATCGAGGGTCGATTTGAAGGATTGCAAGCACGCCTATCGGAATTCGTACACGATTCACGACGACGACGTATGCTACGGTTCCGACAACGGGTGGGACGGCGCTTGTCAAGTAAGATGCTTGAAATGCCCACGCAAGCCTGCTTCAAATTGCCGGCTTTGATTTTTCAGGGAGACTCGGGTGGTCCTCTCGTCAATCGCGACTTCGTACTCGTCGGAATAGTGTCGTTTGGCGCCGAGTGCGGATACAGCAAATTACCCGATGTCTACGTTGACGTTACGCAATTCCTCGAGTGGATCGAACGAACGACGAGACTGCACGCCGAATAACTTCCAAAATAATGCTCGGAATTTTGTCGAGCAATTGTTTATGCTCGCTCGCGAAAGAAGCTTCGACGTGCTGGATAAGCGTGTGCTTTCCTTCGAACAATCATATCTGCAATAGTTGTCGAGTTATATTTGCGACTAACTCTTCGACGAAACGTTGTAGCTTGGAGCTTGTCCCCGTCGATTAGTCATTCGCTTCATTCGACCACCGCTGGATTTCAGAAGCCGATCTCTCCAGGAAAAGACAGTCGGAGTCCCTGCCGAAAGTCTACCGGCGCAATCAAATGAAAAACGGAACGCGTACAGAATCGCTGATGTGTCGGAGCTACAGGGAATAGCGATTGGATTATTCCCGATGATAGCATTGAAATGGTAAATCCTGAGAGGGATGCGTCAAGTATTCGATTTTTCAGCAAAAGCTTTTCCCATTGATACCATGATTTCGATCGAAGCTCGAATTTAGCTCACCTTATTTCACCAATCTTTGTAGAATATTAATTGAGGTAATACTTTGAAATGCAGAGGCTAATAAATAAGCTTTTCAAGAATTATATAGTGCTATTTTTCAATGCTCCGCTTTCATAAATTTTTATCATTGATTAGCCAAATATTATTTAAGTTATACAAACGATTTCATTCTACTTAGCTTGATTTCTGTAAAACACTGATTTTGCTCATTTTCAGAATTTACGTTTATTCGAATAAGTCACTCGTACTTCATCAGTATTTCAGCTCCAAATAAATATTTGATTATGTAAAGCAGACAGTACATCAGTTTTGCTTAATTTTATTTCAAACTGTCGATTACATCGTTTGTTCCTGAGCAGGGGGAGTAGGGGCAGCAATTGGAGACTGGTAAAACCATTTTTTGTGTCGATCAATGGAACGAAGTCTTTCAGAGCCATTTGTTCGTAAGATCTTACATCGAAAATGTGAAACCTCAGCGTTTCGCTCACTCTCCGAAGTACAATTGAAAAACTCGTAGTTGGCCCCCTGCTCGCGGCGTTTTCGGTATGTATAAGACGATGCTGTTGTTTATTATCGCATTGCACTTATCGCTCGTTGGTGATTGAATACACGTAGCCTGTCTAGCTTTCTGCTAGGGTGCAGCGTTCGCGATTGCGAGTACGCATATAATTAGACTAGCAATCATTGTTTGATTCAGTGTTGGCAGTATTAGTAAAATGTGAGTATTGATCGCATCGTCGCTTTTCGCAACTGCGCCGTATTTATCGCGAATCTTTGCCTCTCAAGGCGTTGCTGCAAAGCGATTTTGCGTGCGTAATCGGCGCCGATGCGTCGAGTCTGGTCTCACTGAATCCATTCGGTGACCACGAGCCCATCGCATTCGAGAAGATTTCGGACGTAGCTGGGCTCTGGATCTACACAGACAGCACGACGCTGAACGACGTGCACAGCAACATGTACAAGTACTCGTACTTCGGGTGAACGATGACGATTTGCGCGCAATGCAGTGAGGCAGCGAGAACTCGCGAGCTTCGCGAGCGTGCAGTACAATTTTTCTGGAGATCATGGCGCTTTTAGACTATCGACAATTCCATGGAGAGGATTACAGCTGCGTCACTCACGGTACGATCTTGCAGTACTTGAACCGACCACTGCCTACATTCAGATGGTCTCCGACAAAATATCAAACATTAGCGGACTTTTTACAAAATGCTGCTCTGACATTTTAATCTCAAGACTCTGGTAGATAAAGTCACTCCATGGCGACGGTGACTGATGGACGACCCGATACACCGTGAAAACTCGCAATCTCAATATCAACGAAAATGCGGTGACAACGTGCGACGTCGTCAGCGTGTGTAACGGGTAACTTTGGATATCCAGTGGCCGCGTGCGCCGCGTGCGCCGCGTGCCGTCCGTGCACTTGTTCGCAATTTCGCAGGCCCTACTTCAAAGACTTCTGGAAAACTCCAATCTTGAGAATTTTCCTGGGCGCGTGATGCACAGTCACGTCTACAGTCAGCCAGAAGATTTCATTGGTCAGGCGGTCGTCGTGTTGGGCGCTTCGAGATCGCCCCCCATGCCAAGACCATTTGTCTAAGTCACAGCAAACCAAAGTAGGTACTATCAGCGTATTTCACTTGGCGTCGAATGTATGTGTGCTCGTTCGGAGGTCGACCTATTTAACGTCGCGTAAATTCGTTATTTGTCACGCGTGATAATCACGAGTCGCCACTATCAATTCGCAGAATCACCGGAATCCCCTACCGAAAAACATCGTCAGCTGACGCTGAAGCACGGATCGACGCATTGATTCTGGGCACGAGGTACGAGTTTAGCTAGCCCTTCCTCGACGAGAACGGTGGCATCGGGGTGCTTCACAATCACGTCCGCCCGCTGTACAAGCAGTTCATGAACGTCGAGCATCCGCGTATGGCTTTCATGGGATTGCCACTTCTCGACGCGTTCGGGTCGATGGAATTTCGTCCTCTTCTTTCCGTAACGCGATAGTCGAGCGAGAAAATCCGAGTTTCCAGAAGCCAGAGGCGCTTATCGATCAAAGTCTTTGTGGATATTTCGGTGACCTTTGATTTATTCAAGCGCCCGTTCTGAATTCGTAGCGTCCCTGCGAAACTCCGAGGAGACGATGCGCGAGGACTCGAAGCATTTACCACCGAGCAAACGCGAAAGATACGCTCAGTGAGCTTACAACGACAACCTCGCCAAAGAGGCAAAATTCAAGCCTCTGCCGAAACTCTACGAACAAAGCAGCAAGAAATAGAACGCCTACATTACAAGAAAAGTGACTTGGTCATTCACGACGACGGAAACATTGAGATTGTACATCCCGGTGGAAGGGACAAGTAGTCAATGCCTTTTACCAAAATGACCTTGAAATGGAAGCAACCGTTAATTGAACTGAGATTAGCAATTATGCGAATTTGTTGAACATCAAACGGGGTTTTGAACTTGACGACCAACAAAGTGTTTGTTCATTATAATTTTGATTCATTATAATTTTGGTTCATTATGATTTGTGCGTTATTTACGCTTTCCCATCGAATAATGCCACAGCTTCTCATCGATTATTGAAAAACACATTTCTCTAACAGCCAATTGCAATAAAAACGTAACTTCCGTAATAATAAACTTTGTGCACATTGAACAAGTGCAAAGTTTTTGCAGAGCGCTTCGAATCGCTTGCTCGTGCCGTTGGAGCAAGTTTTTAATTTTTAATAGTCTTTCAAAAGTAGCGAGTATGTATTTTATTTTCTAGAGGGTAACTCTGGTACTCCGTATTTGACGACGAACAAGGGTAATTTTGCCATTTACATAAAGTAACGATCGATTTCCATTGCATAAAAATAATGTTAAATTTATTTTTCAATGTTTCATCATCAATGTTTCTTTTTATCGTAACTATGAGGAAGAGATAAGTGAAATTTGTTGTGCAACGATGTTGTCTCCTATGTAAGAATATATATTCCATTATATAAATTATATAGTGAATCAATATCGTTCGTTTTTTGAACAAAATTAATCGTGACATTCATTTGTTCCAATTTCCAAAGCCATCAAAGAGGGTTCGACATTGCTATCTAATCTTGACTAAAGTTGTTAGCTAAACCCCTACTTCGCCGACTGCAGAGTTTTCAGTATATAAAATGAAGCTGTTGTTTCTCATCGCGAGTATTTATCGCTCGTTAGCGATTGAATTCTCACTCTCTGCGAGTTTAGCTTTCCAGTGGATTTCAGATTTATTGTGTGGTCCAAAATGTGAGCATTGGTATTGCTAAATTATAGAAATCTGTGCAATGAAAAATAATCGTTGATTTCCCTAGGCGGACGCAATTTTTGTTGCTCCTCGCGTTACTTGTTGGTGCGCACGGTGCCAAATTGCCAAAGAAAAAGGTGTGCGTGATAGGTGCAGGTGCGTGTGGTATAATTTCGCTGAAGCAATTCGTCGACCATCCTGATGAGTTTGAAGTCATTGCTTTCGACAAGAACTCGGACGTCGGTGGACTTTGGATCTACACCGACAGCACGACGCTGGACGAGTACGGACTGCCCGTGCACAGTAGCATGTATAAATACCTTAGGTAAGCGATTTCGACTTGTCAAAGGCAGCGAAGAGCGTGACTCGCGAGTTTTACAATTATGCAGAACCAATTTACCGAAGGAGATCATGGCAACTCCCGACTATCGAGAGTTCAATGGCGATCGCAGTTGCGTTACCCACGAGACGGTTTTGCAGTATCTGAGGAATTATACCGACCACTTCCAACTTCGGCGCTACATTCAGGTGGTCACCAACATAATATCGAATGTTAGCGGACTCCTTTCAACGTGCTGATCTGACTTTTTAAGCACAACACTTTGGTGGATAAAGTCACTCCGATCCGCGGCAACAGCGACTGGCGGACGACCAAATACACCGTGGAATCTCATAATCTCATTACCAACGAGAGCGCAGTGACAACGTGCGACGCCGTCAGCGTATGCAACGGGTTCGATGATTAATAAACAACTAAAAATATGCTACGACGTCGACTTTTTTTTTCTGACGCAATGAAATTACTTTTTACAGTCACTACTTCAAACCGCATCTACCGATAATATCGAATCTAGAAAGTTTTCCTGGACGAGTACTGCACAGTCACATTTATCGCAAGCCAGAAGACTTCGCTGGCCAGACTGTGGTTATATTGGGTGCTTCGCTCTCTGGCATTGACCTCAGTATCGAGATAGCCAAATACGCCAAAAAAATTTATCTAAGTCACAACAAACCAAAGTTAGTATTACATCGTAATCAATTTTGACGCATCATATTTTTTATCTGGTGAGGTCATTAGATCTAACACTTTCCTTAATACATTATTTACGATCAAAATATTTGATTGGTTATAAGATGACGTGCAAAACTAAAAATCTACACGTTACTATGAATTTTCAGAATTACAAGCCCATTGCCAGAGAATGTAATCCAAGTTACTGGAGTTGTCGGGGCTAACGGTGACAAATTGATACTCAAAGACGAATCGAATATAACAGCTGAAGTATTAATTTTCTGCACTGGCTACGAATTCGACTACCCCTTCCTTGACAAAAACAGCAGTGGCATCGAGGTCGTTAACAATCATGTCAAACCGTTGTATAAGCAACTGATCAACATTAAGCATCCATCCATGGCGATAGTTGGATTGCCTATACTCGCCTTACACTTTCCAATATTTTACATTCAGGTTAACTATGTTTTTTCCTCTCTTTTGCAATCTTTTGAGAACAAACTTATCGATCAAAATCTCTGTGAATAATTCAATGACGTGTTATTTATTCGCACTATCCGTTTTGAAATGATCCTGTCTCGGCTTCGATATTCTACGAAATCCAATTTAACCTTCTAACTTACGGAATTTTCGAATTTCCAGTCACAATATTTCCTCGCTCTACTACAAGGCAAAGTCAAGCTACCCAGCAGAGAAGAAATGCTCGAGGACTCGGAACGTTTGCCGCCGGGCAAACCCGAGAGATACGCTCACTTCTTAGGCCCCGCTCAGTGGGCTTACAACGACGATCTCGCCAAGTTAGGACAATTCGAATCCCTGCCAAAGTACTACAAGCGCGGTGGTCATATGTGGACCTCCTACAGAGATGCTAACATACTTCACTATAAAGAGAGCGATTTGATCATTCACGATGATGGCAGCGTCGAGATTGTACACGTTGAGGGAAGGCATTAAGTTTTTCAAAAACATACTTTTCCTAATTAATCGACTATAATAATATTTAACTTATTGTTAATTTTAAGAATTAATGTATGTTTTAAGTGAATAATAAATTGAGTTTTGCGACAAACTGATAGATCAGTAGAATTATTATTTTTCGTTAGGGTATTGGAAATGACAATCGTAATTAAAATCTCAAACGTGATCAATGATCCAAACACAAACCTTATTATTTCCGAAATACAATCTATTATGCCTTAAACTATATTTCAATTCAACCAGCTAGGTCTCCCTGAACACTGACGCTCAAAGGGCCACAAGACCTGCTCTCCCCAAAATCTCTGCTTTCTACTATAATGCTGTAGCTACTCGCGTCTCTGTCACTCAAAGATAACCCGACTTTCTCTCTCTCTCTCTCTCTCTATGCCATATTGATACACAACTACAAGCTATACTTGAAACCCTTCTCGCATTATTATTATCTTGTTGTTAAAATATATTATATTTATTGTTACATTAACGCTATTGCATTTTAATATTATCACAGGAAAAAAAACCGGAGCTTTTTTGACATATAAAAAAATTAATTCAATTAGAAACTACAGGGGAAAGTGACGTAATATTGGATTAAATTCTTTTTCAATTTGTTTGAGTACTCGTAAAACCTTTTTTCACCATTTCATAATTAGAGAATTCTTCTTTTGTGAAATTTGTTTAACATTGAACTGTTTTATCTAACGACATTTATTTACGATTGAGATTCAATCGTAAATACACGTTATCAATCAACTATACAAGTAGACAATTTTTTATGCACCGCATAATAAGATAACGGTGGCTGCGATCAGCTAACTCGTCAATTCTGCATGCTCCGTAACTTTTGGATAGATTTTGTTTTTATCTGAAACAGAGAACTCATTTCCTTATAAGTAAAAGCTTTGCATTAATTTAGCTCTATGATTATTGTATTATCATGGCAATACAAAATATTCCGCTACATCAACTTATCGCGGAATCCATCGAAATTTTACAGAAAAATTTTACTTAATAAACAAAATTCATTGTTAAGGGTTAGGTTATTGTGTTATTTTAAAGATTGAATTGAAGTTCAAATTTCATGATAAATATTGTTAATCTAGTCAAAATAAAAGTCTGGTGCTTAATTGTTTTATCTTCAGCTGCGAGTGTTTTAGATCTCCGTCTACTTCTTTTATTCTATAAACACTATCAAAAGAAAAATTTAAGTCTTTTATAAATTCTAATTCTTTTGTTGATAGAAGAAAACAAAAACAATTATTCATAAAATCGGCCAAGAATTTCGGTGGCATATTGTGATAATCGTATCATTTGTTCTCGCCTATCTAAATTTAATGCATTAGATTTGGTGTAAAACGAACAAATACAAAATTCTTACTTACGAAATATTTTAGAATGGTTTAATCTACAAATTACATTATTTACATTACCATTTGAAAATAATTAGTGATTTTCAGAAAAACATACTGTACCCTTTTTTAACCCCTAAATGATCGACTTAGAAAGTCCGGTCTTCGTGGCAATCTATAACCTTAGGCTAAAATGTCCACAAAATTTCAGCTTTTTAAAAAATATTGTCTTTGATCTACGCTGAACAGAACGATTATACTGATATACAGATCTATAAATCGCGTTTAACTTTGCGCATATTGAAGCTACGAGGAAGAGATTAGTAAATTTAATATGCAATGGAAAAAATTCATAAATTACGTAATGCATCGATATCGTTTATTTAACAAGAATTGATTGCGACACTTGTTCCTATGCTTGAAAACAGTATTAAAAATGGCAAGCACTTTTTCTTTCGTTAAGAAATACATTTTGCCAAAGAACTTAACCAGTGCTGTCTAATATTATCTAATATAATTTTTATGCAAAATGTATCAAACTGGCTCGGCTTCGATATTTTAGGAAGCCCAATTTGAACTTCTCACTTGTGATTATTTTTAATTTCTAGTCGCAATATTCCATTGCTCTACTTTTATTTACTTTTGAGTCCTTTTGGTTTGCACTTTTACGTGCCTGAACCGGGCGACTCTATTTGAATTATGCCACTTCTATTTATGTAGAACTACGAATCCTAATAGCAAGCAGGCCTCACGGGGGACTTGCGTTATAGACAAGCGGGGCCTCGAAGGCAATTTGTTTTATAATTAAATGACTGAGTCAAATCTTTCTACCTCACCGGACGAAAAGTTCACTCGGAATTAGGAAAATCTGAGGTTAAAATTTTAAGGATTTAATTGAAATTTAACTTATTTTTTATTTATTTTTCTTTTTTTTTTTTAATTGTGGACAAGACTCCCCACGTACTTGCAAGTAGCTAAAATTAGAGCTTTGCGCGCTCGTGTATATAAGTATATTGTATCTTCACTGGCCTTCCCGCGAACTGGAGATGGACTTCTTTTCTTGAGTCGGTGGTGGCGAAGAACTGACTTTTGACTTTGCCTTTAGCTAACTGCTCACCTCGGAGAGGCGGAGAAAAATAAAAAGAATTCCTTCCTCAGGTTCTGTAGCGTCTTCGTCTTCATGGAGGTATTAGATGAAGAGTTTTATTCTGGAAAATTATGTCTCCTGATTGGCCGAAGGGCGTGGATTTTCCAAAAAGTTAAGAAAGGGACCCCTTTAAACTTGGGCCGTTTTTCTCCGAGATGGCTCTTGATACAATATTTTTTGTACAAGAACAATTATTCATTGTATTATACAATTATAATTATTTAATATAGAAATAAACCAAAGAAGATTACTATTTCAAGATTATGGTTTCGCTTTATTTTGATATATTTACGAATTGGGTTTAATTCAGTTATTGAGACAAGTTTTTATTGTTTTTAGAAATTTGATAACATTTTTATGTGAATGTGCAAATAATTATTTGAATGTGCAAATAATAATATAATAGTAACATATTTTTTAATTATAATTGGATCGCAATATTAATTGAATATTTGTAGATTATTCTAGAATAATTTTTCTAATATACTTCAATCTGGTTATAACGAAATAGTCCGAGTATTATAGATCTCTGTCTGCTTCTTTTCTACTAAATGCTATTTAGTAAAAATTAAAATTCTTTAAAAATTTTGATTCTTCTGTTGATAGAAGATAACAATAAATTATTATATTAAGTGGCTTGTCAAGAAGAATTTCGGTGGCATATATCTTATCGACATTTCAATGACACCTAATTTGTTCACGTACCTGTTTTGGCTACGGATGTACTTAAAAATGACTTATTAAAATTATATGCTGATGACGTTATTCGTTTTTATTTCAAGAAGAAACTTCAAATCTTCAGTTATGTAAGTGACATTTCCAAACACATGTACAATCGAACAAATCTAAAAGATAAGCACACATGTGCAATGACACATACTGAGCTTATTTAATATGATGGCGACATCATAAGTTTGTACCTCCCTGCACCGCTCCCAGCGCTGAAAAATAAAACGACCGATTGGTTTATTTATGACGATGAGAGCATGAAGATGATACATTGTCAATGTTTACAGGGTAACTTTTCAAAAATTGGTTAACTCCTATTGACACATTGTTCAAATTTGTTGAATGGATCTTATGGTAACGTCAAAAAATTATGAATCGCACCACATTAAATAAACTGTAAGTTTTTCATTCTGCCTTTTACATTTAATTGCTTATCCGCCCGACGATACTTTTATTTAGAATAAATAACATTACTTGCAATTTAATTATGGCAAGCACAAGTGATTGCAAAACTTAGGAGTTACAGCGTTGGTTCATAAGCAAATAACAAAGTTTTACAAACATACAAGACTACGTTTCTCTACCCTATTTCTATGATAATCATAAAATATGCCGGAATGCATTCGTAGAAAACGTGAGTATGTAAAATAGACGTGCTTCATAGGAAAAATTACGGAATTATTATATTTCGTAACAATTTGTTTTTTCCATAATCACTCTTCCATAAAATATGCCAGAACAAATTCTTCGAAAAAGAAAAAATTAGCATGTGGAGGTTGGAGGCAGATGTACTACATATAAAACAAATTCGTGTGATGGATTGTCAATCGCTCTTGTGAAATTGGCTAATACGTCTGTTAAAACACCTGGTCCTGTTATTTTCGAAGTACATAAAAATCTTACATTTCGAATTTCGATTCATTAGTACATCGTACAAAAATAAGAATACATCTTCAAGAAAATGTAAGTATGCTGACTGCGTTCAAGCTCGAGATTCTAATTTCTGATATTAAAACTCAAACACTGCTCGAATGAGACAATAAATACAACTCGTCAATTTATTCTTCAACATCCGAATCAAACGTTGCTTTCGAAATGGTATCAGGTGGTCTGCCGTGTGGATCCTCTCACTCCTGGCGTTTACCGTCCAGGGTAACGCGTCGCCGAAAAAAAAGGTTTGCGTTATTGGCACAGGAACCAGCGGACTCAACTCACTCAAGCAACTTGCTGATCACTTGGACGAGTTTGAACCCATAGCATTCGAGAAGATCAGCGTACCCGGTGGACTTTGGGTCTACAATGACGGCGACAAGGATAATCACGGTTTACCTGTTCATAGTAGCATTTACGCGAACCTCAAGTAAATACCAACAATTTTCGAAAACAAAAATTGCAAACGATAATTTTCCCTTTATCCTTCAGGACAAACACTCCCAGGGAACTCATGGCCTTCCCAAATTATCCGCAATTCCATGGGCCTCACAGTATCACGACCCACGAAGGCGTATTGAATTATTTAAGAAACTTCACCCAACATTTCGACCTCCTGAAGTACATCACGGTACCGTAACAAATTTCAAATCGCAAACGACTAATTTTACTCAATTTAATTTTATTGTTTTCGATTTGCAGTTTGACACCCTTGTGGAACACGTATCGCCTATACTCGACCGAAGTAACGACGAAGAAAAAACTAAATGGACCGTCACGACTAAAAACCTGAATACCAACGAAATCAGCAAGACTATATGCGACTCAGTCATTGTGGCCACTGGGTGAATATGACACTTCACGTACCGCAACACACTTAATCAAGAATGATAATGATTAATTTAATTTGTTTTGCAGGAAAAATTCAAAACCATATATTCCTGAAATTAACAATATTGGATCATTCAAAGGGGAGGTCAGCCACGTTCATACGTATAGAAAACCAGAAAAATACGCTGGAAAAACAGTTGTATTGTTAGGTGCTGGTCCCTCGGGTATCGACATCGCTATTGACTTAAGCGCTCATGCGAAGAAAATTTACTTGAGTCACAGGCACGCCGTGTGAGTGTCTGATTAAATAAGAATAATTAATCATTAACTTTCGCGATCGTAAGGCTTCATCACGGTTTGGCGTTTCAGGATTGAGAGCCTCTTCCCGGCGAATATCGAGCAAGTTCCCGGAGTCATAGCAGTCGATGAGAACTACGTCGTACTGTCGAACGGTACCAAATTGGTTGCGGACGTATTCTTCTTTGCCACTGGTTACGCCTTTGATTATTCGTTTCTGGACTCGAGCTGCGGCCTGACGATCCAACCCAAACGCGTATTTCCTTTGTACAAGCAGCTCATCAACGCCAAACATCCAACTATGGCTATCGTTGGAGTGGCAAGTGTTATCAGCCCCTTCTTATTCCCATATTTCCAGGTATACGATTTCGTCAACATTTCCATCGCTTGCTTGGCGAACAGGTCAAAATTTACAAAATTAACTTTTCTTCAAGGCGAAGTACTACGTGGCATATCTTCGAGGCATAGTTAAGTTGCCCTCGAAAGCAGAAAGGATCGAGGAAGCAAATATTTTGCCGCCTGGTGCTAAACGAGGCCATTATCACGATATTGATAACAACCAGTGGAGTTACATTAGAGAATCAGCTACCCAAGCTGGCTTCGAGCCTCTGCCTGATTATTACGAAAAAGCATACAAAAAGTGGGAAGAATACCGACTCGCGCATTTGTCAACTTTTAGAAACACCGACTTCAGTTTTAATAGAAATGGAGCATTCAATTTCCAATATCTTAATAGTCAAATTGCTTAGGATTAGAAATTTTATTAGGATTCGTTCGATGTTGGATGCTCAAACTTTCATTAGTGTACATTGATTAACTTGTTATAAAGTTACTGTTTGAAAGCGCTGTAGATATATTGACCGTGTCATTCTTATTAAAAATGCAATAAACTTGTATATATATGTGCGTATATATACATATATACTTCATATGAATATATATTTACTATATTGAATAAAAAATATATTTAATATATTTTATTAAAAACATTAAAATATAACTAGATATTGCGATGTATTGTCTTTCGTAGTAACCTTCCTATAATACTATAACAAACATGTTAATTATTATTTTATTTATGATCATTATTGTTTTTTTTCAGCATAGTGCATCACGTAAAAATTAAACGTTTTTGCAATAGCTTTTTATATTGTTAAATTGTTCGCAAATATCAAACATGATATTGAACAATTTCTCTTTCCCAATAAATTCTTTTCCATGCCTTAAATTATATGGAATACACTTGATTATGGATATAGTTTTCTTGTAATCAAATCACTTATGTTCAGGGTACTTCATTTCAAAATGGCTCTCAAAATTCATCACTCCAAGCATAGATGTCAAAAATGATTTGATAATATGAGCAGTTTAACTTACTTAAATTATGATGAAATAGGATTTTTAAAAAATCATTGAGTTGATAAGTAATTGTCACATAAGCATGTAATCTATTGACCCAGCTGATAAGACTACTTATACTGGTAGAGAAAATTTTTTTACTTAAAATGAAGATCAATTTCTTATCGTCGTTTCAATACCGAACATTATATTCGATAATAGTAAATAACTCGATTGAGAATATAAATATTGAAGGCTTATTTGAATGCAGATAAATGTTATGATTACACTAATAACTGAAATGAACACGTTCAATTTTTATAGAATTTTACTAAACAATTTGTATTTCAGCGTTGATCGTAACAAGCGTATATAAAAATTTCCCGAATTCCTGGAACGTCTACGTGATATAAGACTCCTGTTCTGTTACGTTTTATCTAAAAAGTTATGATCCATGAAATACGAATTAACAATATTCAAAATGGCAAGATTTGCATTTCATTTATCTTCAATTAAACATTAACCAGACCATTTCCACACTTTTTTAATCTCCCGCGCTCAATCAATCAATTTAGTATTTATATGGCAGAGCAGCAACTTGCTTACTTACTTGTTTATGTATCCGTCGAAAGATAAGTATCAAAATATGTAAGTATGTACGCACTTGTGCATAAACGTGCTAGAATTTTCATCTTTCTATGACAAGATAGCACTTAATGTTACATATTATTTTTCGATCGCGAAACGAAACATTGTAAATTATTTCAGTATTGAAACAATAATAATTAAACAGGTGGCTGAACGTAGTGCTTATCCCGCTACTACTGTCCTCCATTGAGGGAAAAACCGCTGCATCCCGAAAGAAGGTATGCATAATCGGAGCTGGTGTTTCGGGACTAGCCACGGTAAAACGCTTTTCTGAACATACCGACGAGTTCAAGCCAATTGTTTTTGAGAAACAATCGGATGTTGGAGGACTGTGGAGTTACACGGAGAGCACAACGGTCGACGAACACGGACTACCTGTACACAGTAGTGTCTACAAAAATCTGAGGCAAGTATGACCTTACAAGTACGACAATCGTGCGTTCTAATGTGCATGCTTACATTGCAGAACTAACATTCCAAAAGAGCTTATGGCGTGGCCAGACTACAGGAATTTTACGGGCGATGATCGTAGCTCCGTACCTCATCACATGGTTTTAGAATACCTGAGAAACTACACGGCTCACTTCAATCTTCGACAATTCATCGAGGTAAGAAAGAAAACACCTAATATACCGATTGTACTTTGATTTGTGCCTCAGTAGTGATCATTTGAATTACTTTTCAGTTCGACACGCTGGTGGAGCATGTCAGGCCCTTAAACGTCCAGACCGAGGATTGGCAACAAACTAGATGGCTGGTTAAGACGAGGAATCTCAAAACTCAGAAACGCAAGCATACTGTCTGCAATGGCATCGCAATTGCAAACGGGTAGGTACCTTCGTCAGATAGACATTGCTTGAAACGTAATGAGATTCGTGATTCTATTGCGTTTGTTCACAGACACTACACGAAAGGTAACGTTCCGGAAATACCGGGAATCGAAAACTTTCGAGGACCAATAATCCACAGCCACGTTTACCGCCACCCGGAGGACTTCGCCGGCAAAACAGTCACAATTTTAGGCGCTTGGATTTCTGGCGTCGACATCGCCCTCGATATTAGTCCGTACGTCAAGAAAATCTACCTCAGCTCCAGGCACGAAAAGTAAGCAAACGAAGGAATATTAGCTTTCGTTCGCGGCGATCGCCTTGCAGAACGTAAGTTTGAATTTCAGACGCAACAGCAAGCTGCCGTCGAACATCGAGCAAGTACCCAACGTCATTGAAGCTAACGGCAACGAGCTGATCATGTCGAATGGCTCGACGATCACTTCCGACGCATTCATCTTTTGCACGGGCTACCTACCCGAATTCCCTTTCCTCGACGAGAACTGCGGAATCAGGGTCGAAGCAAACCACGTAATCCCGCTTTACAAGCAAATGATCAACGCCGAGCATCCGTCAATGGCCGTCATTGGACTGCCAACTGCCGACAGCATATTTTTGATGCCATACGTTCAGGTAGTCATCAGCTAAAAATTATGGTTTACCTGCAGATCCAAGTAATCGAGTATCACTTGCTCTCAGTCGCAGTTCTTCGTGGCTCTATTGCAAGGAAGAGTAAAGCTACCGACGCACCACGAGATGATCAAGGACGCCTACACTTTGCCACCCGGCGCACCCGAAGACAAGTGGCACGCGGTCAACGCCTATCAATGGACTTACAACGAGGAACTTGCCAAAGCTACAGGCAATATCCAGTTGCCACCTTCTTACTATAAGGATGGCATACATCTGTACGAAGCTTACCGCGACACCCATTTGGCTACGTTTCGAGAGGTTCGCTTCGTATTGAACCCAAACGGTACTTTCCACCTTGAGAATTTGGTGGAAGATTATGAAACAGAATGAAAGCTTCGCTTTGAATTTATCATACGCAATCAGCTGTACATTGTTTTCATGGCTCATTACTTAATTGTTGTATACAATTTTTTCGAATAAATTATTGATTTATCACCGATTGACGTCAAACTATTATAAAATTAACATTTGAAATGCAAATTACTTTCGATGTATTTTTTTCATATTGACGTAATCATGTCTGCAAATACATGATCTGTTTAAACATTGATTTCAATTTTCATTTTAATCAAACAAGTGATTTTCTTTTTCTTTCTTTATTACAACAAATCGCATTTTAATAACCGCATTGTTTTACTTTTCCAACGCATGAAATTTTATCGTGAGCTCGTTATAGCGTTACTTTTACAAATCAAATTTAATAGCCTCGTGATGCCGACCGAGCGTTTATACTCGAATAGAAAACGTTTGAAAGATAAAAAAAGTATGCGTATTTTCATACCACACTGCAGACTTCTCAGCATACTTTAGTTGTAACTTTCATAGTATTCGCTGCGAAGGAATCGTGGAGCTTAAAAATGTAAGTGATTTTCGCACTTTCTACAAAAATCAAACAGCTATCCCAAGATCATCATTTGCTTCACGCTCAGGAGGAGCATTTTATTCGTTTATCTCACTCTGCTACTATCGATGATTGATTATGGGAATGTGAATGCAGATAAAAAGAAGGTATGTATTATCGGCGCAGGTATGTCAGGGTTGGTTTCGGTAAAGCGTTTGGCCGAGCACTCCGACGAGTTCGAGCCGATTGCTTTTGAAAGAAATTCGGACGTCGGTGGATTCTGGATTTACACCGAGAGTACAACGGTTGACGAGCACGGATCACCTGTACACAGCAGCGCCTACAAAAATCTCAGGTAGATTCACCGAAATGTAAAGTCGTCGACGCAGTCAATCGACTTGCACGATGATTTCAGAACCAACGTGCCGAAGGAGCTCATGGCTTGGCCGGACTATCGGAATTTTAGCGGCGACGAGCGCAGTTCCGTGCCTCATTATTTAGTCTTGCAGTATTTGAGAAATTACACCGCTCATTTTAATCTTCGTCGATACATACGGGTTAGCCAATTAACGCATTGCGTCGGTCGATATTTTGCGCTCCTTTACGCCAATTCGTTTGTAGTTCAACGTATTGGTGGAAAGCGTCGCTCCGACGCGCGGCCCACATCGTCATTGGAACGAAACCAAGTGGGTGCTTAAGACGAGAGATTTGAGCACTCGCGAGCACGACCACACTATCTGCAACGCTATCATGGTTTGCAACGGGTACGCACGCGTCCTTTCTTCGTGCAATTATTCATCGATTAACCGCTTCGAGCTTTCGCATTTCAGTCACTTGACTAAAGAATACGTTCCGGTCGTACCGGGAGTCGAAAAGTTCCAAGGCAAGGCAATACACAGCCGCCTTTATCGGAAGCCCGAGGATTTCGCCAACGAGACAGTTGCGATTTTGGGAGCCTCGGATTCCGGCCTCGACATCGCCGTCGACCTTAGCTCGCGGGCCAGGAAGATCTACCTCAGCTCCAGACACGAGAGGCGAGTCGCGCCACGAGCACCGACTACGCTCCTCGATGTCGCGTCCAAGCCGAAGCGCAACAACTCTGAATTTCAGACTGGCGAGCAAGCTGCCCTCGAACATCGAGCAAGTGCCCGGCATAATCAAAGTCAGCGGCGACGAAATGATAATGTCAAACGGCTCGTCGATAACGGCGGACTCGATACTCTTCTGCACCGGCTATGCCTACGACTTCCCATTCCTCGAGGACAGCTGCGGAATCGGAGTCAGCAGAGGCCACGTGTTTCCGCTTTACAAGCAAATGATCAATGCCGAACACCCGTCGATGGCCGTCATTGGGCTGCCGACCGTTGCGAGCATCTATTTGCTACCGTACGTACAGGTGAATCAAGCGCTCTCTCTTGTTCTCCTTCCGTTTGGCCGAGAAACGCGAAAAGCGCGGCCTTCGTTTTCCAGTCGCAGTACTTCGTGGCTCTATTGCGAGGAAAGGTGCGACTGCCAGCGCACGACGAGATGATCAGGGACGCCTACACCTTGACGCCCGGCGCACCCGAAGGCAAGTACCACGCGCTCGGCGCTCACCAGTGGGCTTACCACGCCGAGCTCGCCAAGGCCGCGGGCTTCCAGTTACCGCCATCCTACTACGAGGACGGCTTGAACGCGTACCAGACCTACCGCGACGCCCATCCGGCCACCTTCCGAGAGCTTCGCTTCCTACTGAGTGCGGATGGTACCTTCCGTCTTGAGAATACCGAGCCAGATGCGCGCCATGTGAGCGCAGCTGCGGCTCCGTCCTAGAGGCAAACTCGTTAGCTGTGTAGAACTTCCGATTTGTCGCGCAATAAACGAACAGAGAGCACGAGTACTTGGAAGTCTCGGATTCCTGAAATCGGCGATCGGCTCGGCGCCGATGCTGCTAGCGAGCGCTCACCAGCCTCGGAGGAGTATTATTCATAAATAATCATAGAGTTTACAACGCGCCACAATAAACGAGGCGCAAGCGCGAACGCGCGAATTGCTCAATCGCCGCGTGCGCTCGGACAATCCTACCGATTAGCTTGCATCGCTGACGCGCGCGACTCTCCTCTCGCGAGATTGCAGACAGGAGAGAGGCCGCGCTGGTCTTACGAAATTCTTTGCGAATCGTCACGTGCGCATCGACAATCGCTCGGTGCTATCTCCGGTGCGCCCGTTACGCAAGCGCGCTGGCCCACGCGCGGAATTTTCGCGACTGCTCGCCCTCGGACGCGCCAACGCCCAACGCGTGGGATGATGCCGGGAGCCGCCGAGGCGACGGCCCCTCCGGTCGCGCAGGGTCACCACAGCCGACTCTCGCCTGCGATCGAAAGGATGCAGATCGCAAGGCACGCGACGAGGCTGCCGAGAGAGAGAGCGAACGCGGCGATGCGGTATATTCGCCCTCGCCGCTTCGAGTTCGATCGCTCGATCGGTCGCGCGGAGGCCGAGCAGGAGAGAACGGAGAAACCGGAGGAGAGATAAAACTGAGGAAGGCGCTCTCCGACCCGCGTCAAAAGGCGCCGCGCGCGCGCGCGCGCGCGTCAATCCCCCACCTCGCCGCGCGCGGGGATACACCTTCGACGTGGTCCGGCGGCGACGCGAGTCGTGTTTACGCGGCCGACGCGGCAGCTTGTCTTCGCTGTTGCGCGCCGGACGCGCTTTATTTCTTTTTTTTTCACTTTTCCCACGAGAGTGATGGTGAGACTGTGTGCTTCGTGATCGATCATTTGGATAAAAGGCCGGATCATTTATCTGTCGGCGGCGACGACGAGGACGACGAGGACGACGATGTGAGTATTCGCGGCGCGTCGCTGAAGCCACTGCGAAACTGCATTCGATCGGCCGAGGCGCCGGGACGCGCGGTGTCGCAGTTCGGCTACCCTCGCTGCGCCCGTCAAGCGTCAATCCCTCGGGGGAGGGAAAAATCGATGCTTCGCTCTCGCGGCGAAACTTTGCCGCCGTACGAGGATGACACGCGTAACGTCGCGCCGCCGTTCACCTTGATTATTGCGCGCGCGCGCGCTATTCACTTTCACTTCTGGAAGACGATTTCTCGCCTCGGCGTTCTCGCGTCGCTTTCACGGGCCCCGTTGGCCGCCGTCGCGGATAATAATCGCACGACCGTGCGCCGTCGTCGCGGCGACTGGATTTCCCTCAAGGTGCGCGCGCGCGCTCCGATAATGGAGCTTTTGCAACTCGCGTGTCTTCCACCTCCCCCCGCGCGCGGGAAAGTAATCGCGACGCACGAGCCGCGCTCTCCCTTTTCGTAATCGCGCGCGCGCGATCACGGCGATGCGGGTCGGGGCCGTCATTATTTTTTCTCTTTCATCGCTTCGAGCCGCGACGTGTCCACGTAATCCCGCGCGACGGAGAAAAACAAGCAAACGAACGAGTCAACAAACAGGTGGACGATAATCTGTCTGCTGTGCGCACTGACGCTGCCGATACAAGGCGAGCCGATTCCGTCGAGACGGCGCGTTTGCGTGATCGGCGCCGGTGCCGGTGGGCTGGAGTCGGCCAAGCAGGTCGCCGAGAGAATCGACCAGTTCGAGCCCGTCGTCTTCGAGAAAAACTCGGACGTCGGCGGCTTGTGGATTTACACCGACAGCGAGGACTACGACGAGCATGGACTACCCGTGCACAGCAGTGTCTACAAGAATCTCAGGTTTGCGCACTTGGCAACCGCGTCGCCGACAATGGTCCTCTGATGGGCGTGTGCTTCACAGGGTGAACCTGCCGAAAGACCTAATGGCGCTGCCGGACTATCAGCGATTCGCGGCCAATCGCAGCTGCGTCGCCCACGAGAAGGTTCACGAGTACTTGAGAAACTTTACCGATCACTTTAATCTACGGCAGTTCATCAGAGTAAGACGGAGAAAACCAGAAAGCGAAAGACTTTCGCCTTATCGTCACGCTCGTTTTATCTGCAGTTCAACACGTTGGTGGAAAAAGTCAAACCGCTCGTCGAGGAGGCCGACGACGATCGCAGCGGCGACTTCGACTGGCGCTCGACCAGGTGGCTTATTCGCGCGCGCAATCTGAATACGAACAAGAGCGACGAGACCGTCTGCGACTCGGTCATGATAGCCAATGGGTGTGTATGCCTCCCGTCTTGGGAGACGCTGTCCTCGGCAGCGCGTCATCGACGTTCTCTGTTGCAGTCACTACGCCAAGCCGTACGTGCCACTGATCCCCGGCATGGAGAGTTTCCCGGGCAAAATAATGCACAGCCACACCTATCGGAGACCCGAAAAATTCGCCGGTCAGACCGTGCTGCTGCTCGGCGCTGCGTCCTCGGGCAAGGATTTGGCGCTCGAGCTGAGCTCTCACGCCGAGACCATTTACCTCAGTCACAATAAGAAGAGGTAAGCGGCGGCGGCGGATCAAATCCAAGTTCGTCCGCGTGGAGGCACTCGACGCGCTGACGATCGTCCTCTTGGCGCAGGCTCCAAGGACTACCGGCCAACGTGATCCAGGTGCCGGGAGTGGTGGTGGTGGCCAACGACAGCGAGCTCGTGCTCAAGGACGGCTCGAGGGTCAACGCCGACACGTTCATCTACTGCACCGGCTACGCCTACGAGTTTCCGTTCCTCGACTCGAGCAGCGCGATCACCGCCGAGGACAAGCGCGTGTACCCGCTCTACAAGCACATGATCAACGTCGAGCACCCGACCATGGCGTTCATCGGCTTGCCCTCCGGTGCCATCACCTTCTCCATTTTCAACGTGCAGGTACGAGTACCGTCGAGCCAATAGTCGACCTTGCCGAACCAAATATCAGAGGCCGCGAGGGCCTCGCCGCTGCGCGGCTGCGCGAGAATAAATCTTCTTTTTAATAGCGCTCCGCCAAGAAAAAACGTGGACGAGTTATGTTGATTAACCGACCACGATTTCTGAGTCATCCGCTCGATCTACGAGCTCGCTCGACAGTCTACTTCTGACCTTCCCATTCGTTGGAGATCTGCTTTCCACCGAAGCCAACCGTGAAACCCGATAGGCAACACCTTCGTCGACTCGCAGACGCGAACGATCGATTCCAATAATTGCAGGCCCAGTACTACCTCGCTCTGCTCCAAGGCAAGGCGGAGCTGCCGAGCCGCGAGCAGATGCTGCGCGAGGCCGAGCTGCCGGCCGGCAAATCCAAGAATCTCGCGCACTTCCTCGGCCCGGCCCAGTGGACGTACTTCTCCGACTTGGCGAGAGCCGGCGGCTTCGACGATCTGCCCCAGTTTTACCGGCTAGGCTTCACGCTGTGGGACGCTTACCGCAACGTCTACCTGACGACCTTCAAGGACGCCGATATACGCATCTACGCCGACAATTACGTGGAGATAGTGGAGCCCAACGGCAGGCGAATCATCTTGGGATGAGCGGACGGAGGCACTGTACGCCCGGGTCTGTCTGCCCGTACGCGCGCACTGTGATTTTTTTCTTTTTTTAAGATTCCCGTTGTTCCGTCGCGTGTTTCTGCCTGTATTTTTTTCACTCGTTGCGCGATCCTCATCGAGCAATAAACGAATTCACGATCCTTGTTAAGCCTACACGCAGAGGTGTTCTCATTGCCGACCATCCTCTCGAACCTCCTCTTTTACCTTCCCTTTCGAGTTCGACTCGATCGTCGAACGAAGCGGAATTAGGAATGACTTCGAATTGCTGAGCGGATAACGCTCGGACACCACGAGCTGCGAGGTAGCGAACGACGGGAGATCCGATCTCGTCCTCTCTTGGCAGCGATAAAGCTCGATACGCTCGTGAATGTTCGTCATTGAATCCGAGGAGGCTGCTCGTCGCAAACGACAAAGTGGTTACTACGCAACCCCGACTGATTCGATCGTTCGATATGATTTAGTTTGAACGTCGCCGGCTAACAAATAATGTACAACTGCCTTTTCCGTTCTCGCGGGTCAATCATGAATATTCGACTAGCCACGGTGACTCGGATGGCTAGAGCCGAGTCCGTTCCATCGAACGATAAAAACAGCCGCGCCGGTAAAATCTGCGCCGACGGCATTGGCGAGATCTCGCTCGATTTTGTCGGCGCAGGAAATAAAAAGTATTTCCGCGTGTCGTCGCCGATCCCATGGCGGAGACGCGGCGACGAGCCAGCGAGTGAGTCGATCGCGAACCGCCGCCCGGCATCGCCTCTCGTGCCAAGGATTGTCGGCGCTTTGTTTGCCCCGGCTTCGGAGCATCGCTTGTCGTCGTCCGAAGTGATTTCGTATTAACCGTATCATCGGATGTCGAAACTTTCGTGCCTCTCAAATATTACCAAAGTACCGTTTAAATGCTTATTTACACACAATGCACTCAAATATGTGAAAGTAAAGTGAAGATAACGAGCAGACATTATCGTTATTCAACTTGTCGTAATGAGTCATCCGAAGATGCCATTCCAATAAAGACAATGCATTAAACGTTTAGCGGTATATTCATGTATCACCTTCGAGCATAAAATTACAGCGATTACGTAGAGAAAATCGGCAACGTCAAATGGTACATTTGCCGCTTGTTCAACGTCTTATCTAAATCAGCAACCTTTTATTAACAAGAAGAGAAAAGAAGGAGATTAGGATACATTTAGAAAAAATTATAAGAATGCGTTTGAGTATTCCGGTCGATAAAACAGCGAACGTTCTGTTTTGGCTCCAAAATAATTACGACGCGGCAATTTTGACATGTTGTTTAATCAAGTTCAAAACTGCTGCTTCGTAAAATAATTAAGATACAAAATTAACTTTAGAATAGTCTCTAGGCTAGAGGTATTAGCAGCAGCCTGGTCGCATGTAAGTTTTACTTTTTGAGAAAAGTGTGGTGAGCAGGGATATTCAACAAATAAATTAGATCATTCTTGAAAACAAAAAAACCTTAGCATCATGAGCTCAAGCGGGTTTTCGCATTACGCATGCGCATACTGTTCGAGTTCGATTCGACTCCTAGACAAAATAAAATCGATTCTGTAATAATCGATTTTTCATAAAAGGACGTAGAGAAAAAAAAACGTACTTTTCCCAAAATCGAATAGAATCGCACATCCCCCTAGCTAGGGTAATAAATTCCTGTAAATTTGATTATTTATTTCTAGGAGTTTGCTCAAGTAAAAACTTGATTTTTAATCAAAAAAATGCCGCAAGGTAAGTTGATATAATTGTATCAATATTTAATAAATTTCAGCAAAGTAGTCAGAAAAATAACCGTTTTTAAAGTTAAGGTTAACTGATATTTTTTAAATTAAATACAAAACTGAAAAAATTTTTTCGTTCAATATACTCAACATTTTCATAAATAAAAAGCAATTTTATGTTATTTCATTGTCTGAAAGGTAGTAGCTAACATTAATCAAAACAATTGATCTGTAAATAAATTATACTGTCACTTGCATTATTGTCAACAACTTTGTAATAATTTATAGAACTCAACATCAAACAGCAATTTTACATGATTATAAAAAAGTTTCGCTTTGAAGAGTTGGAAGAATATGTACTCCCTGTTTTATCTGAATTATCTTGGGATATAATCAAATCGAAACTTGTAAAAAATCATGAAAGTCTTACTACAGCTCATGCTGTTCCAATTATTCAAGATGAAATCAATGTATGTATACATTGATATGGTTATGAAATCTTAAATCATATTACAATATATTCTTGTTTTAACAACATTATTTTATTTTATAGAAAGCAAATTTGTCTAGTGCTCTATTAAAAGAATATTTACATACTTTGGAAGTAGTTGGTAAGTTATGAATAAAGCTAATTTTATTTAGATCATCGAATAAAACAATATTATAATGCAAATAATTTTTCATAGAAATAAGTATACATTACAGAAAAAAGTATTGGTTTGCTTATGAATTGAAAGGTGGACAAGAACCAATCAATCTTAAAAGCAGAGAAATAGAGAATAATATTAAGGAAAGTTTTGATAAATACAATATGGATATGGATGTCAAGGCTCTGAAGAATGACAATTTGATTTTTCTATCTATCAAAGAAAAACTCAAAAAAAAGCAGAGAAAAACAATTACACCAACATATTTTGCATTAACCAGGCATTACAATTTTTTCTTCTGCTCAAAAGAGAAATGTATGAAAAATATTTTGGCAGCTGTGATTGATGGCTTGAATTACAAGAGCTGTAAAAAATTGAAACTGACAGGTAGAGATGTTCCTTCATTGGTAAAAATGTTGCTAAACAAAAAAAATGCAGCGCTCCAAGGTGATGTTGTGAAAGATCCTCTACCATACAGATATGCTGCTCCAGTAAAAACGTAAGTAACACAAAAATAAACAAATAGTTTTAATAATTAATAATAATAACGAATACATTTTTCAGTCCTTTCGGTTTAGATTTCACTCAGAATAAGAATCGAGAACAATATGCTGAAAAGTGTTTTGGAGAAAATCCACCAGTATTTGAAAGCTTGAAAGTCAAATGTTTGAATCAAAAGTGGAAACATGAAAAGGCTGCACAAAAATTACCCAATGCTTCGATTTCTACTAAGTAAGATATTTTGTCTATATATTTTAATAAACAATATTTTGGTATATCTACAAATCATAAATTTTTTAGGATCGAATTTCGAAGTATAAATATTCCGAATTTTCTCAAAACTCTTGTAACCAAAGGCATCCTCACAACACCACTTCCTGTTTATGCAGCCAATGTTCTGAATATAGGAAGGAATGATATGGAACTCACCAATGCATAATTTTGACAAAGATTTAAGTTTAGAAAAATTATAAATTTTGATAATAATATTGAGAACAAGATATTTATCTCAATAGCAAAAATAAGTTATAAAATATAAGATATTAATACTTTTTATTCTGTTTTCAAGAAATTATAAATTTTTAGTTAACAAAAGTAGTACGAATGATTAGTAATTGAGTTGTTATAATTGTAATAGATAAAAAATGGTTTATAATTTATTGTATCATTGATGTAATGGAACTGTTTCTTTAATTTTGATTAAATTTAAGCATTTGGAAAAATTCTAAAAAATTTGACATTTGTTGAAATATTATTAATGCAAGTTACAAATATACTTTATTCAAGCTTATGACAATAAAATCTTGGTTATAGTAATATTAAGTAATGATCTTTACTATAAGTAGAAAATATCTGTGACAATGCAGTAATGATCAAGTTCAACACAAAATAAAATACATAGCGATTTAGTACGATAAATTTGTCGGTAATAAAACTAATAATTTTTTTTATTTTTTATCAGACAGAGCATTTTCAAGAATTATTAGTATTGATAATACTAATAACTTATATTATGACCATGAAAAGTGTAGAAAATTTATTTTGATATCTGACGACTATTCAATATTTATAATTAAAATTTGCTCTTTAACATTTAGACAACAGAATTTGTTCTATATATGTGTTGATCTCGTATGTAGCAAGAGCGTACAAAAATAAAATATTTACAGCGTCTTACAAAAAAATAAAAAAAATAAAAACTTCAGATAAAAATTCTTATATTGATAGTAGTGTTATCTATGGATGTACGTACAACCAAAGAAAATAAGTAGACAAGACCATTAGTTATCGTCTTCGACATCGAAATCCTCATCGCTAGTGACATCAGGATCTGCTGCCTGCTGTTGACACTTATCGCACTTGCATATAAACAAGTATAGCGAGCTTAGAGCTTTCTGACGTGAATGTCGACTACGTTCCAAGTGACACTCATCTAGGTAAGCTGTGCAGATTTCCTCATCAGGTCGAATGTCACGGAGTGCACGGATTACCAAGGTGCTGTTTGAATAAGGAAACTCTACACTGGCATTGGGATTGCAACTGTGATTTATGCATGATTGCAAGCTGTAAAGCCCTGAGCCTTCATTATTCAAAAAAGTGCCCACCACTAAAAATATGAAATTTTTATTTAACTCTCTTATATTTAGAGTAGTTCAAACAGAACAAACCTTCATCCATTTCATCATAAATCCTATCAATCAACTTGTCAACTTGGATCCTTTGGTCATTTGGTAAATCTAGAGCAGACACATTTTTAACCCATCTGCTGAATGCACTGGTCCCTATACCTTGTCCATTTGTACCAACTAGAGCTAACAGACTTCTAAAACCATCTGGAGTAAACCACTAAAGATTAAAATAACAATTATTTACAGATTTTACTGTAATAAAAACTACATTATTGAAATTTACCTCTGGCACAAATTCGATATTCAAAGTTTTTTGCATCATTTGCCTCAAAACATCAATTTGCCCTACAAACTTTTCTCCTAAAAGATTGTGAGCTATTTCTTGAACTTCATTTACAGTTCTATGGCAGAATTGTGAAAATGTAGAAAGTATGGCAGCTTTATCTGTTGCTTGATTAACCATTGCTACCATTCGAGCAAGCAACATGACGGTTGCTGTTTCAGGTGGGTAATGCATCTGTTTCCACGTTTCTTTTAACTGAACAATAGGATGATGTTCAGTATTTTGCCTTGATTGGAAACATAACGTTTGATGATACCTAGAATTAAAATAACAATGTTAGTTAAGCATCATACAACTATGAATTGTTAATGATCATACCTTTGCCAAGCTTCATTGAGACACTCACTACTGCAGTATTTGGTTCCACAGCCTATGCATTCAGTAATAAAATCTTTCTTAGTTTCACAGCATTCTGGAAAAGGTAAGATGAGGTCTGGTTTGTTAGTCAGTCGACGAGCGTTTTCTTCTGCTGTTTCTAATGGTTTCAAGCAGTAATCGCAAGCCAAGTACTTGTAGTCTGCATTCCATGCAAACTGACAACACACAGAGGGCTTTTCTTCTAAAATTACGTCTCCTTCTTTGTAGGAATTGACAGCAAATAGTCCTTTACCCTATAATTATAAAAAATATATGAATGATGTACTTTGTGAATGTACTTTATTCAAAATAAACATTTTTAATCATCGGCATTGTTAATGGCAACATTAATTGGTATATAATATATAGTAGGTATAAAACAAACAATCACCTTTTCTTCATTCAGAATTCTGACTTCAAAACCGCTGCATTCCATGACGATTTATAAAAAAAATATAGGTATCAACGGCGGCAGTTTATCAGTAGTAAAATCTAACCTGTAAAATAAAAGCAAACACATGCTTTTTCGTTATGTCAATGAATAATACGTGAATCATAATATTTACTATTTGTGACCGTCTCGCTATCTCATAAATTATTAATTTATTTTTTTAATTTTTCAAGTATATAAATATTTACAGGCATACAACTTTATTATGCTTATTTAATCCAATATTATACTCATCAATAAAATATAAATAACAGAGCCAGTATAATTACTAAAACAATTTAAACTTAATTAAAGTTTTACGACTGTCGTCACCAGAAGTTTAATGAAACATCCGCCAAACTACGTGAATCAAATCCCCGACGATTTTAGTTAGTCAACATTCGGCAGCGCCTAGCACTGATGCCGCTGATCAGTCGTTCATCGGATTCGACAGTGAGTGCAGTTGGTGCGTCGCCTTTTCTGTACGTTTCGCGTTATCGCCTCTACGTTTTTACGTATTTCATTCGCTTTCTCGCTTACGCTTGTTACGGAGCAGAAGTACAATCATGAATGGAGTTATGTCTATGGTAAACAAGATATAATTTACAAATTTTCGTTATTATTCTCGTAAAAATTTTTATGAACAGAAACCATCATGGCGGCTATTTCTCTTTCGCATGTGTCTGCTTGCGCGTGAGTAAGGAGTTTTAACGCCGTTATGGTTTTCAGAATTTTCTCTCGAAGGTTACGCTAATATTTTCGCTTTAATGAAATGTTTTTATGTAATTACGTGTATGTTAGTTTTATTTTTTCTTTCGACGGAATGTTTTTTTTTTCATAATAATTATGAATAGACATTTAAATGACTTGTTTACTGTCAACTTAGAGGCTATTACTGAAGCTATTGCCATGTATTGATTGTTTTGGTTTTTGCAAAAATGCTATTCTCATAAACAGAGCATACTGGTTATCTCAAGCATATTTCATGATATGAAATTATTCTTATTTTTTTATTCCTTTCATTATTTGTGTATGTAAAAACGATAAGATAAGAACGTTAACACTGACAATAAATATTTTGACATAGTGTAACTCGCAAATGTCAAGTTGTTAAGTGTGAAGTTCTTTTTGTTCTTTATAAAACATAGAACTGATAGTCATATTAGCTTAATAATCGTTTATTTAATTTTTTAATGTTATACTAGATAAAATATAGTATTTTTGTAAATATTGAGAATTATTTATAGATAGTAGACTGAAATGGGAACATCATTTGACTATCTAGTTAAAAAGACTGAATACTTATTACATGTTTTATCAGAAACATAAAACATCATAAATACTGCAGCTTAGTTGACTATATATTACTAATTATTTCATAGCTTAGATAATAACAGTATTGTGATTTAGGATATTACATACAGCACAGCCTTTTTAAATATTTAAAAGATTTAAAATAAATGAATTAAAGGCAATATCTAGTTAATCTAACAATATCACATATTCTTTGTCTGTAAAAGGAATTTATATACTCGAAGAAAATGGAGAACTTTGCATATAGAGTGTTAGAAAATAAAGATAGATACATATAAGGAAAAATGATTTCACTTTTGCTTGGCTTCTTCACTCTTGCTTCACTTGGTTTCAAATATCTATACAATGTTCAAATCTTTTTCTCGTACTAGTAACAAAAAGTACTATATTGTCTAAGATCAAAAATTTTTTATTTCTAAAATTGTCATGCTAGAAGCAAATAAAAAATGTCTATCCATGGAGTGCATAAATATAATTATAATTCTTAATAGTTTTTAACAAAAAAATGAATTAACAAATTGTTTTCTTTATTTTTTAGCCAGCCGCAGTGATACAGCAAAACAGCATGGAGCCACCCGGGAAAAAGTTAAAACTTGAAGGTATATTGCTAAAGCAAACCAGATATGCAGATTACCCATGTAAAAAATATTACAAACTGGACTTTGGTTTTTCTTAAAAATCGCAATAATATAGCAGAAACACCATCCCTAATTTGATTGCGATTTAAGAGGAAAAACAGGATAAACAAAAATACTCAAAGTTGTATATGTCGCTTCAGTTGTACATAATCGCACTTGGGCCATTTGGCTTCTCATCATTTTTTAATGTTGAATTGCAAAAATAACAAAGAACAAAAAAAGAACTTAAAAGTCACGCGAGGATAGGTCGATAGTTAGGAGCGCGTCGGGTACTAAATACAGTAAAAAAATCAACTAATGTATCGTTGTCCTTTTGTTCTGAGATGTTACAGCGGGGAGACAGTACAGAATCTGTGGCCTTCGACTCAGCTGTGATCATGAGACACGCGCACCAAAGAACGAAAGAGAACAAATCTGAGTTTTTGCTAAAACTCTCCCACTGACTCATGGCAACTAAATAACTCGAGTGCTAAAACGTTCTCATGAAAAACGAAAACTGAAAGAAATTACTCTTTAGCTAGGTCAGCATTTTAGGCTAGCTTTCAAATTAATTGTGCTTTCTTGCTAAGTATGAGTCTCCCTCTAAGAGAATTTTTTCATTATTCATATCTTGTGTTTTTGCCTGTCCTGATAATACCAGAGAACTTTATATTGTTTTATTTTGTCGTGCCGCATAACCATGTAAATTAATCAAATGATTTATTGTGGAATCTAGAGGCTTGAGGCTTGTATTTAGTCGAGGCAATGGCGATCATTTATGAATCTCTGTTAATGCAATGGTGCACTTATTGTGCAAAATCAGGTAAGTTATGTGTGTCATCCGGAAATCGCCATTGCTTGCAAGAGATGTTATCGTAGGTAAATTTTATTAGCTGTGTGGTTAGGTTGGAATGAGGCAAACTTATTCACAGGAACTGACGCAAAAGAAACAATTGCACTGAGAGTATTCTCCTTTGCTTTGTGCTTACAGATGTAACTCTTCGTCGCCTCACAAGTCTCTGTCGGATAGTTTGTGTGCGCGAACAACCACCAATTGACACACGGTTAGACCAATTAATCGAATGATCAGAACCTTTTCAATCTAGTCTCACGTGTTTGAAAATTTCTTACTTATAAATCTCTTGGTAACTAGTTGGACTCTTGTCTTACTTAACAAATTCCATATTGCATCCTGTACAATTGTTGGTAATTATACAAGATGCATTATAGCTGGTAAGTTAAGTACGACTGGCACAATTGTTTACAAGAGTGAGTGTAAAAATCGAGAATTCGTAAATGACAGTTTTGAAAGAAAAGATTAACATTTTTTTGCTTTGTGAGAGAGTATAAAGCACCTTATCAATGCGTCACGTTTTTTTGTTTCTGTTTCAGAACATGACTAGCCCAGCCAAATTGGTAGAGAATAAAAAGCAAATTATATGCTCTCTTGCTTTTTCGGTCGAATGCGATTGTGTGTTACGTTGCGTCCGTAACTCTCTGTCTCTATCTATCTATCTCTGTCTGTGTATAGATCAGGGTTGACGAACCGGATGATTATGGTTCTATTGACAAAGTAAAGAGAACATGTAGACGTTGTTAGGACTGATTAGTCGATTGTGTGCTCGATTTACCAGCTCAATTGTTTGATTGCCCTTCCCTTTTCTCTCGTCGACAGTCGAGTTACGTTTGCTTTATACGTACATTGGTATTTTTGAAATATCTGGTCGATCGTCGATTTATATTGTTAAATTTAGCTGGTGACACTGTCGCATTTCAATTTTCACGATTCATCTTTGTATTTGATGCCAAAAAAAGTCCATTAACAATCTACTTCGATTCACAATCGATTAATCGTTCTATCTTACATACAAACACAAACACATCCCAAAGAAATCGCAGAAGTGAAAAATAAAAATTCAATGATGTTGTGAGACTCGCGATAATCCAAACAACTTAGCTCGCTAATTGACGAGACTTATCCCTATTATGATTGTTTTAATTTCTTTGAACTTTCAGTTTCATGGAGGTGTACCTACGTCATATGGCACCACTGAGAGAACATCGTTGATTTTCAGTTTCTGAAGTCCACATGATTTCCCCTTCATTTTATAATTGCATTCACATTTTTCTTTACGTCTCTAAGAAGTCAAAAAAAAGATTTTTTTTATTTTTTTTTCTCAACATTAAACATGAATAATCTTTATTCGAAATAATGTTTTTTCAATTTTACAGAGCTAAACAATACCGTCTCTAGCACCAACGACATCCCCAATTTTATTCAATTAAAAAAAAAGAATGGATGCTTATTTCGTTTTTTAAAAGCATCGTTCATGTACTTCAACCGTTATGCGTTCTTTCGCAAAACTTTTAAATCGTTATACCAAAATAAAATCATCAATAGAGAAAATATGACGGTTGGAGTATTACTACGAGTTTATACTTGTACTATTTCTAATTAGTTGACTTTGCAGGAAATGGCTCAGAGTTCTTACCCGGCCCAATTTACGATCTCAGTCAAACAGGGCAGGTGGTTGCAGGTATGTATAATTCCTTTCATTAGTACTACCAACATTAATTTTTTTATGATGAAAAAAAATTGGTGAGACGTACAAAATAAGTTGAGTCCTTTTAGCATGTAAATGTTAAAGGTTGATTCCTTAACCGGATGAACATTTGCTGATAAGATCTGATTAACGTATCTTAAAAAGCAAATGTTCTGACGATTGTTTGTTAGTTGGATTAATTGATGATTATTTCAGGGCCTGGAGCCAAGTTCCAATCGTTGTCTTCCGACCAACAGGACACCGTGACACGGGCTAAGAAGTATGCTATGGAACAGAGTATTAAGATGGTGCTAATGAAACAGACTTTGGCCCACCAGCAACAGGTAAAATTTTTAATTTTACAGTGTGAAGTCTATTTATATTCACTTGTGATTTTCTAATATAGAAAAATGATAAAATATCGATTCAAAGAATTAAAAGAACCTTATATTGGAATATATATTTACGTTAATTATTAATAATTATCATTTAATATATAGTATAATAAATGTACATTAAGGAAATAATCATTTTTTGTTTTTTTGTCAAAACTTTTTTTTTATTAATTTTTAATATTTCACTTTACTTAGTCAAAGTACTTTAGAAAAATAACAGAAAGGCACAAGTGATTATTATATTTATTTTACTATTTATAAAATAGTCTTTGTACAATTTAATTACATTTCCATCAACAATTTCAAAAGAATTAAAAGAAATAAATAAAGCATTATTTCGAAAATATATTCTAATAATTAGTCTGAAATTTCATTAGAAATTCTACAAAGACATTTTTATTTTCAAATTGAAGAAAAATATTTATGCAATTAATTCTACCAATTTGGATAAATGATTAAAAATTTGCAATTAGTACAATTCCACGAATGAGAAAGTTTGTATTAATAACTACATTATCATTCAAGCTTGAAAAGAAAGTTTTAAATATTGTTAGTACATTCGAGTTACCGTTATACTAACTTTCATCGGAAGATTAATCTGACATTTCGTTTGACCGATCCTAAAATAAAGAAAAAAAGAAAGAAAGAAAAATGCTACGATTAAAAAATGTAATCTAACTGGATGGTTCCTTTCCCTGCAGAAAAATAAGTTGGCCCTCCGACAGCAAGTTTTATTATTGATGTGCAGGTTAGTGTTTTAAAAATCAAAATTTTCTCTGCGACCGTAAGCGTAAAAAAAATACAATTTAATGACGTGTTTCGCCTATATATCAATGAATCGTATACCCTAAAAACTCTAGTTTGGCGGGAGCAGAGCTGTACTACTTAAATTTAAAACTTCCAGGAGTATAATCGGTATTTCTTTTCGAACAAGCAAATAGATAGGATGGTAAAATGAGTGTAGAATTTAATATTTTGAAAACGTTCAAGTAAAAGGGTAGAGAAATCAATAGATGGCCATTGGTCCTTTGTGTTACAGCAAATGGCTAGTCAGCGGAATCAGGTGCAGAGACAACAGGCTTTGGCCCTAATGTGCAGGTTTGTTAGCTCTAAATGCCAATTTTATGATAAACAGAACGACAACTGAAGATCCTCAATCTTTTTCTATTTTTTTTTTCTTTTACATCTTTTTTATCCTCAGATTGTTATTATCAGCATTTCCTCTACGTGGTCCTGTTCAACTCCAATGTCAATCTCCTATCTCTTTTTTGACCTACGAAGCATTTTAGTATTATAAGTACACACTTTGTTGGCTCTAAAATTGAACCGATATACATGCCACATTTTTCTTCTTTGTTTCTGTTCACAAATAAATTTTGAATACATTAACACAAAATATAACATTTTAAAGTCAACAAAATGCTTAGTTATAAGAACATAGATCTAGAGCTACTAACGGTTTGGCAAATGAAATACAAATTTATCTATTTATTTATTTGGTGAAAGTGAAAGCTAATTATTTTTAATCATAGTTATCATGCAAATCTATTTAATGCTACTCGTTATAGTTCTCGCTAACTTTTCAATTTTACTACTCGTTTTATTAAAATGAAATCGTTAGTTGCAATAGTAATCACTAACATGCATGTAGAAAAATCATGGTTTTGTAAATAAAGGCATCATCTGTTGTGTTTAGTTAATAGTACATTACGATACAAGTGCGGGAAAGAGTTTCTCGTCTCGTGTACCTTTCCACCCTCGCTTCGCTCGGGTGTAAATGCCACACGAGACAAGAATCTACTTTCTCGAACATATGCCGTACCGTATTTTTTTATACAACGTGTGGAAAATGCGATTTTTAACGTGCATTTTTTGCCGATCGTGCGGGAAAAACGCACATTCCGCACAGAGTGTCGAAAAAAAACTTCTTTTATATAATCACGGTAATTTATTGACGTTAATTTAATTTTAATTCAAAGTTCAACAGTAATAGAATTAATAACAATTTTATATGGATTAAAATTGTCACATTTTTCAGATAAAAAAATATATATTATAGATCAATTTTTCATTATAAATGTATATATTTTTCTGTTAAGCTCGCAAACAAATCTGTGTACTGAAAACTCTTCAACTCTTTTTAAACTTAATTAAATTTAACTTTGATTTGTTTATTCGTATTACTTAAATATTTCATTTTGCATGATTTCATTTCCAGTGGTGCTCAGCTTTGGTTGTGGGAAGTTACATTTTACAATTTTTATTAACAGGATATGAAGTAACTCAGCTCCACTTTTAATCAATTGAATGAAACTTCAAAGTTATCAGAAATAATAAAGTTACTTCACATCGCTGTCATTTCATACCCTAATGTGCATGTATGCTTGAATGAAAAATTGACATTTTTCGAGCAGAATACAACAAATGATCAAATATAATAAGCACGTTAAATATATCATCCTATAATAGACAATAATTAATATATATACATAGATATATATATATATATATATATATTTCTGAAACAGGGTGTATGTAGGTAGCATAAGTTTCGAGCTGAAGGAGGACACAATAAGACAAGCATTTTTACCATTCGGGCCGATAAAATCAATCAACATGTCATGGGATCCAGTGACCCAAAAACACAAGGGTTTTGCGTTTGTCGAGTATGAGATACCGGAGGCCGCACAATTGGCCCTCGAACAGATGAATGGTGTCATGATTGGTGGACGTAATATCAAGGTAGCAGGACGTACCTATTTAACCAATTTCCTGTCCCTGCGCAATCCTAACAACTCCTTGGAGGTTAATTTTCTTTGGTTTTGGTCTCTCTTTCTTCCTATCATATATTTCTGTTCTATCCTTGCTTATCCTTTTTTGTTTGGCATGATTTGAACTTGCATTTTTATTAAGTAAAACGTAAGCATGTCAAACTATAAGAATCCTTAATATCCTTACAAAAATTATTTCACAGCGGTTCCATTCCTGATAATCTTTTCGGTTCCTGGTAACCTTTCCTTCATTATACGCTGCAATTTAAGGATTCTTTTATCGTAATCTGTACTCTGATTTTTCTTTTCAAATCCTATTTCCTAACTAAAGCAAAATGTATCAAATCTTTACACAAAATCTTTCTGTTGTAGGTTGTCGGTCGCCCATCGAACATGCCGCAGGCACAATCAGTAATCGACGAAATCACAGAAGAAAGCAAACACTACAACCGCATTTACATCGCATCAATTCACCAGGATCTCACGGAGGAAGATATCAAGTCCGTTTTCGAAGCTTTTGGACCGATAACATACTGCAAGTTGGCACAAGGTTCATCACCTCATCGACACAAAGGCTATGGTTTCATCGAGTACGAGTCGATGCAATCGGCTCTCGAAGCTATTGCCTCGATGAATCTATTTGATCTTGGTGGTCAATATTTACGCGTTGGCCGTGCTATCACTCCACCAAATGCACTGATGGGTCCACCAACTGGTACCAGCATGATGCCAACCGCTGCTGCCGTAGCTGCTGCTGCTGCGACCGCTAAGATTCAAGCAATGGATGCCGTTGCCAGTAATGCTGTTGCTTTAGGTCTAAGCAAATTAGGTGCCGCTGCTCAACCAATTTTGAATACTACGTTACCAGGCATTGTCAGACCGACGCTCGCCGCAGCAATACCAGCACTTGTGGCCGCACCGACGATTGCCACTGTTGCTCCTATTATTCCACCACCAGGTATCGCTATTCCACAGACGCTCAACAGACCACCTGCAATCATTCAACCGATACCTGGACAAGCCGTAGTTCTACCACCTCCAAGTGTTGTCACTCCGACCGTTGTAGGAGCACCTGTTGTAAGTTATTTTTAATTTGCTGATAATCAACGTGATGTTTGAGCAAAGTAGAGAAAATTAATTTTCTCGTGTTCTTTCATTTAGCCACTACCAGTTGTTACGGCAGCGCCAATGGTAGTAGCAGCAGCAGCATTAGCAGCTGGTCCAGAAGCCCTTCGACGAGCGCAAGAACAAGCAGCGCAGAAACAACAAGAAGAACTACAAAAGAAACTCCTTGAAGAAGCTGAACCACAGACGCTTCAACAACAAGAGAACATGTCAATCAAAGGACAAAGTGCCCGTCACCTTGTCATGCAGAAGCTCATGCGTAAGGTCGAGTCACGCGTTGTTATTTTACGCAACATGGTCGCACCTGAGGATGTAGATCAAAGTCTGCAGGAAGAGATTCAAGATGAATGCTCCAAATTTGGAGTCGTTGAGAAGGTGATCATTTACAATGAAAGGCAGTCCGAGGATGATGACGACGCAGAGATCATCGTCAAAATTTTCGTTGAATTCTCGCAAATGAGTGGTTAGTAGGTTTTGGATATTCTTGGTAAATTTAAGGTGAGAAAGTAAACTTAAAATTTATATATTTTTTTCGTTTGCAGAAGCAGAAAGAGCGCGAGATTCACTCAATGGACGCTACTTTGGCGGCCGATTGGTCAAAGGCGATTTGTATGACCAAGCTTTATACGACAACAATGACTACTCGGGTTGAACAATTTCCTATTTGCTGAATAATAATTTTTCGCACACCGAGTTCTTAAGTTTACGCACTGTAATAACTCAGGACAAATTAGCTGTCTGGTTTTCTGTACAAATGTATCCGTTAAGTATGCTTTATTTTACCCTTTCCTGCCGTAAAGTTTCCTTTCCTTTATGACTCGAATTATATAAGTTGCATCTCTTTTGGCAATATTTTCTCCTATGGAAGAACAAATGCATAAATATACGGGAGTATACCAACTAGATTTCTTATATATCCGCTAACGAAAATGTATAATTCAATTTTTGTATAAAGCGGACGGTACAATGCAAAGCATATGTAAATGGAAATTTAAGTTTAATCACTGTTGCTAGCCAACAAAAAAGCGTAGATATTGTATACTAGTGTCTTTGGATTATTCTTTTTTATTACCTTTTCTTGGATTAGTTTGATTAGTTTTTTTTCACAATAAGCTAAGTGAAGAATCTTTACTATGTTAGTTGTATAATTATTTTCGTGTAATTTGTACAGAAAAGGTTTATCTATTGCATACAAATCAAATGAATTTGACCATCTGCTGGTGGCCAAAGACTCGGTTAAAAGAGCAAATGTAATTGTATTTAAATATTACTTGTATATGTATTATAGTATTTAAATTACTAATAAATCGTTTTTCAATCAATGTTTCGCTTCAAGTTTTCTTTTTCATTATTGAATATTTACAATTTATTGATTTATCAATGATAGATATGAATAAAGCTTTGATTTGGCGCATGCGTTTGCCTCGATTACGTTTTAACCTAAAATCATGTCTTATCTGTTCGTTTGTTCTGCCCGGCATATGGTAAATGAAAAATAATTTTCAAGCTTTGTTATCCATTAATAATTAAACAACTAAGGAAAAACATTTACTGTATCACAACAAACGTAAGATAGTTTGTGTATAAGATGTATAAAAAGATTACTACAAATACAAAAGGTAAATAAATTTATTCACGATTCAGGTATGCATAAACTAAAATTACTATCTATATTTCATACTATAGATAAATAAAATTACATCTCAGTACTGAAATAACCAAAATCGTTGACAATGAAGAAGCCAAGGCAGGTAAAATCAAAAATGAAAGCAGAAAAGGAAGAGCGTGAGATGCAAAATACAGTTAGTGGACCTTGGGCTTTTCAGAATTTCGTCTGGAAGGTATTCGTTCCTACTTGTGTGATGGCTTTTGCAGCAGTTTTAGGCTACAAAGGTTACATCGAGACACGTGTTAATACTCCATTTAGCAGTGATAAACTAGCGGAAATCAGTCGTTTGGATAAGCATGATTACTATTGGGGATCATATAGGCCACAAGTGTACTTTGGTATGAAGACAAGAGAGCCTTTTTCGCTAGTGACAGGTATGATGTGGTACTTTCCTGCTACATTACAAGGAGATGGCAGGGGCTTTAGACACTGGTGCACACAAGAGGATGGTCTGAAAAGATATGGCTGGATGAAGCATGATGGAAAGAATTTTGGCATTCAAGAAATTGTTGATAATGATGTTTTGATCAAAACTTCTTTTGTTAAAAATATTCATGGGTTGAACGGAGGTGACTGGACTGCTAGAATTCATGTATCAAAATTAAACTTAACAAATAATAATAAAAAGATGTCACTCATATTTTATTCTGCTATTGAGGAGAAAACTAGTGGTAATATCAATCCTATTATTGACCAGTTAAGCAACTCTTTGATAGGCGTCGATGGAGAAACTAAAGAGTTAGGATTTTTCAATTTGAACTTTAATGTTATCAAAGGCTCTGGCATAGAACAATCATACTTAGTAACAGCAGCTCCAAGCTTAAGTTTGTTGAAGGAAACTGTCTTTCAGAATTTGAAGGCAGTAAGGCAAAAGAATCCTAGAGAACCAAAAATTGTATTGCCAGGTGAAGAGCTTAGACTCAAGAATGGAGAAATGCTATCACCCAATTTTATAGCAACTCAAATAACAGCTGAACTACCTTTAGAACTGGAAGTTAGATTTGAAAGAAATAGCATGAATCAAAAAGAGAGTCTCACAGGAGAAACTTATGAAAATGCCTTGATTAACTATGAATATACCTTTGATGAGAAGTTTGAGAAGATTTTTAAATTGAAAACAAAAGGCTACAAGGAAGATGAAATTAATTTTGCTAAATTAGCTTTTTCAAATATGATTGGTTCTATCGGTTACTTCTATGGTTCAGCTCAAGTACAGAGTATTTACACAGATGATCCAGTACCATACTGGAAAGCTCCTCTATACAGTGCAGTCCCAAGCAGAAGCTTTTTCCCCAGAGGCTTCTTGTGGGATGAAGGTTTCCATGGTTTATTACTTTCAAGTTGGGACTTGGATGTAGAAATGGATATTATTAGTCACTGGTTTGATCTGATGAACGTTGAAGGTTGGATTCCTAGAGAAATGATTTTAGGTGAAGAAGCATTAGCCAAAGTACCAAATGAGTTTGTAACTCAAGTCAATACAAATGCTAATCCACCAACATTTTTCATTACACTTCAATATATTTTGGAGCATAAGCGAGGTGAATTACTATCCAAGCATTTACATCTGCTTGAGAAACTTTATCCAAGATTGCAAACATGGTTCGAATGGTTCAACACTACGCAAAAAGGAGAGCTTGCAAGTTCTTACAGATGGCGAGGTAGGAATGATCAGGTAACAAAAGAATTAAATCCAAAAACTCTAACTTCTGGTTTGGACGATTATCCAAGAGCTTCTCATCCATCTCAAGATGAACGTCACGTCGATCTTCGTTGCTGGATGGCTTTGGCTGCAAAAGTTATGGCTATTATTGCTGATATCTTGCATAAACCATCTCATAAGTATGAGAATACCTATGAGTACTTGTCAGACAACAGACTGTTGAATGAACTTCACTGGTCACCCAATACTCATAGCTATTCAGATTATGGCCTTCACACAGATAAGGTAATACTCCAAAGGCCAAATCAGCCTTCAAGACAAATTCAACATCAACAAGACAAAATAAGAGTAGTTTTAGAGAAACCTGTGAATAGATTTGTAGACTCCTCATTTGGCTATGTTTCTCTATTCCCATTAATACTTAAAGTCATAGATCCTAGCTCAATTCAATTGCAAATGGTTTTGGAAGATCTCAAAAAGCCAGAACTTTTGTGGACTAAGTATGGTTTGAGATCTCTTGCGAAAAATTCACCAATCTACATGAAACGTAACACAGAGCATGATCCACCATACTGGAGAGGTGCTATTTGGATGAATTTGAATTATCTAACTGTAGCTGCCTTGCATCACTATTCACAGGTTGAAGGACCTTACAAAGCAGAAGCTCAAAAAATCTACATTGATTTGAGAAAAAACCTGATTGCCAATGTCATTAGTCAATATAAGAAAACGGGATATTTATGGGAAAATTATGGAGATAGCTTAGGTGAGGGTAAAGGTAGTCATCCTTTCACTGGATGGACTTCATTAACTGTTTTGTTGATGGCGGAACTTTATTAGACAGAATGGGATAGAAAGCTTGCAATCTTTGCCTTACTAAGTACATCTTTGAATTGTAAAGTCACAAAGTAAAAGTAGATTTTGAAATAATTGAGAAATTGAAACTACATATATAACTTTTCTATAGAGCCTTTACAAAATGAAGGGAAATATTTAAATCGCAAAAATAACTATTAATTATTTCATGTAGATTGAAGTCAATTTTCTTGACTTAATGTAACACCATTTCACGACCATTATATGATGTGTGAAAAACCAACTATGTACTTTTTAAATTGAAGTATTTAGTTAATAATTGAAGCATTTTATTTTGAAGTATTATGTAATTTTTTGAGCTTATAAATATCCTGCAATCGGTGCATTTATTTGATATAACTTGTTTTACACAAGTATCTTGTATTTAAAGTGTTCTAGAAAAACAAATTTATGTCTGTAAATATGAATTGTTTCAAGATTGAGGGTGTAGATTATTGAACTTGTTGATCGTTTACTCTTGAATTAAAGCGATATATACGATAATTAAATATTATAGGAATTAAGCTACTCTTATACTGCTGTATAAGATAAACTATTTTTATCATTATTCTTTCACATTTAACTTTTGCCAGAAAGTCTCTTTGAAAAACACATTTTAATATAAAATTAAGAAAAAAAATTCCGATTGATCAGTTTTTATTCGATATTATCAATAACAACATAAGCTACCTCGTCGTTATTATTTATCATATCATAACAATCTATGATCTTGAAATTTGAAAAACTTTTAACATTCAAAGACTGAAAAATTATTGAAATATTGTTAATGGATGATATGGACAAAATATATCAATATAGTGATAAAAAAATCGCTGTGACATTTAATATTTTAGATGTGAATAAAAAATTGCTAATCAATCCATGAAAAAAATGATTCACAAATGAAAAAAAAAAATTTTTTTCCGCCTAATTTTTATAACAATCACGTTGAAAAAGAAAAGCTTCAATACTTTTTTCTGTGAAAAATGAAACTCTTATCATCTTATAAATTTTTAGATAAATAGAATATTTCACGAGTTGCAATAATCAATTTATGAGCTTTTCTGCATTGATAAAATTTTAATTTTACATTTTAACTCTTTAACGAACCATAACGTGATTATAAAGCTGCAAGTAGTAATACATAAGAGTTAAGTATTATTAGTTAAAAATAATCAAAGAATTTAAAGTTAGACTTTCTATAGATTCTTCAATTAGAATTAATTGAATGTAATAATGTGTAAAATGCTATGGTGATTAGTTTTATGATGGCTAAAGGTCTCACCTAAGCTAAAAATATGTAACTTAAGTTTCAGGAGCAATATAAATAATGTTTAAAAATGTTTTTTTTTATTAATTGACTAATAAAGAAGTAAAATCAATAAAAGAAATCGTAGCCCTATTCAAAATTGTCCTTCACAATTTCTACTTTTATCAATAACATTTTTTTTAGGTACTTACATATATTTTGTGTGAAAAAAAATGTCTTTACAGGTGAACGAGAAAAACGATTAATTTTTACAGAAAGTAAGGGATTTCGAAATTATAAATAAATTTTAAAACTAAATGAAGCTAAATTTACTTACAATATGTTCAACAAACCTGAAGGTATTTTTAATCTGATGAATACTTAGAAAAATTTAGTTTAACCAAATAAAATAAAAAATTATGAAAATTTTGTTTACCATACCAAAAAATATCGTAAAGATTTGTTTGGATCTCATGATTTGTTAAAGTTTAGACTTATATTTCACGGATACCCTCGTTTTTTAAATTACCGAATCGGAATTTTTTTAATACATAGTACTCTGGTAATGATTACATTTCTTACTATATATTCATAAATCAGTTTAAGTTTGACCCATATTCGAATATAACTCAAATACAAAGATATTAAATCTTTAATTTTTACAAGAACCTTTGTAATTTTGTTTTTTATGTAATAAAAAATTAATTCTCAAATAAATGCAAGAAAAATAAATGATATAGATAATTTTTTTTGTTAATTTAATTTTTAATTTTAATCATGTTTAAAGAGAGTTATTATAAGAGTTTTTGTAATTAATATTTCTAAATGAAATGTAATCAATTTTCTACATACATTTTAAAATGCAATTAAATCGGTATTACCTTTGATTCATAAAAATAAAATTTAATGTATTTTTAACAGTGAGAAAAACAATCACAAAATTAATTCTCAAATTATTCTTTACACAATTTTTTCAGTCTTTAAAATAAATATTATTTATAATTAAAATTACTCTACAAACATCTACTTTTTCCACTTAGGTTGATAATTGCGTCCAAATTGCTTATATTCATCATAAACTGGATAATTCAGAGAAGCATGCTGGTCCAAGGACTTGCCTTTAGGATCTAAAACTGCCACACTATCAGTTTCTTTAATATAAGTAGCTTCTAATTCTGCTGCATTTTTCCTTTTAAGTAATATCATCTCATAATTTTGTTTCACCTAAAATTTTAATTATTATCATTAATATTTAGATATTTCACCTTGATTTAAAGAAAAATTGTTTGTAATTGTACCTCAGCTTCAGTTGGTGGTTCTCGTCTGCGGTTTCTCAACCAAGCTTCCCATTCAGCTGGAAGCTCTTGTTCAAAATCTTCTTTATTAGCTGGTTCAAAGTAACGATTAGATTTTCTTCTGATTGAATGGGGTGTATGGACTTCATAATACTTTGTTCCCATATAATCTGTACCAACATGCACACGTTTTGAAAATTTTGGACTAATGGATTTAATGAACTCTTTGAAAATCAGTTGAAATAGACCTCTTTCTTTAGCCATTTTGTTTGATTAAAATTATTTTTGCGTTATCTGAAAAGGAAATCCTATATTTTACACATAATCTTTATTGATTATGCTTGATTGAATGTAAAATAATCAAGAGTTGCTGAATAAGCACTCTGATATATAACAAGATTAGCCTGGATAACTCACAAGTTAATTGAAATGAACATTTAGCTTGAAAAGAGATTGTTTTAAGTTACAAAATAACGATCTTAATTCTTTTATAAAAATCTACTGTTTACCATAAAAATTGAAGAATCTTTTTGCAATAATGATCAATTACGACTTTTATTCTATCGTGTTCTAATGACATCTATGTAAAAATAATGATAGGTTGTAGATATCAATTAACACTGTTACAAATACTGTTTGCTGAATACAATTAAAATTAAGTGATTTTCCATCTATCACTATTTCCCTTCGGTCCATCATTATAAAATTTCTCATTTAAACAAATCATAAGGGAATCAAGACAGTATGTTACGTTTTTAACACTGTTACGATTTGTGTTGCAATAATAAAGACGTAAAGATATGTAAACTTTATAAGATAATAATAAATAAATTGTGTGATTAAAAAAATAAGCAATACGTTTTTGAAATAATTTACGCAACTTTTATTTAACTTCTTTGTTGCAATAGATGTAAATATTAAAAATATCCGAAAATCAACTCACAAATAATTGTCCTCACGCAATACTTTTACCACAACTAGTTGTAAGATCGACCAATAATACTTGAAAACAACAAAAACTTAATAAGCAAGTTCTGTTATAGTTATTATTGCAAAATAGTTGCAACAGTTAATTACGTACGTAAATATGCGCGCGCATCCGAGCAGAAGAGCACTCAGCAAATCGGAGAAGCGTAATAATACGATTTATCTCGATAATCGAAGTTGACGGCACGACTTCAAAATGTTAGAATCAGCCCTTCGAGTTTTCTTTCACTGCTGCTGTTTTTGATGTTTCACACAAAAATCCTATGACTTCATAAGGTTTGTAATTGTTTTACTTTGAATAATATAAAGAAGAAAAATTCTATTGTAGTGCGATATTTTCAACTTGTTCGATGAAAAAGATCAATACTTGTATAAGTTTTAAAAAATGTATCAACCTTATTTTTTTAGTAATACAAAGAAAGCTAATTTTATTTGTGTTTTTTATACTCTGTATCGTAGATATTCTAAATTTACCATCATTGTTTTACCAAATCAAACATAATTTTCCATTGATTCTCAAAGCGAATCTTTATGATAATCTAGTCCGATAAAATAAACTTAAAAGACGTCCAATGAATCGCGATCACGAAAACTATCGTATCCCCCCCCTCCCTCTAAAAAAAGGTCTTTTCTCATAATGATGAATGATGACGCATTGTGCATTTATAAATCCACTCGTCCACTGTGCTTAAACATCAATGAGGTAAGCCAGCGTGACTAACGTTGCTATCCTTTTTTTTCCCGAAATTCCGTTTCTCTATACACACATAGGCTTGAAACTTCTCAATTCGCACCTTTTCCCCCTTACTACTCGAGACACACTTGAGTCTCGCAATATCAGCGTAGTGTAGGCTGCATTTGCGTATTACGGACTTTATACACGCGACTTTAATTCGAATTAAGGCCAATTTTCTGACGTTGAATTAGGTCGAAAATTAGAATAGTATACTCTTATAAATATTTTTCTGTGACGCGAGCATGCGAATGTCAATATTTGCATGAAGCAACTCTGGAATTACAACTGGAATATCTGTGTGATTAAGAGAAACCCGCTGATTGTTATGCGTTGCATCACGTTTGCAGATGTCATGTTTGTGTTTATAGAAGTTTACGATTATTATTGAATGATAGAATATATAAAAATGCCTGAATTCTTCAGCCACAAAGACATTAAGTAACATTTATTTTGCGCTTACCATGATGTAGCATAAATATTTTTTTTCTCGAACAGCTAATACTACGAAATAAATTAAGGCAAACCACTATGCATATATCCACGACAATAAATCACATGGTGCAAAATTCCGGACAAGTCTTCGACCAAAATTATAATAAAGAAAAGCAAGCGTAAATAATAAAAGTTCTTATAGAGAGCAGTTTCCGCCCCAAAAACTTAAGAGAGAGAGAAAAAAAACTGAGAACCTCATCAAGCGTAACAAAACCCTAAGCCTCCGGGTCCACTCATCAAACGCGTAAATAAGAGACAGAGAGAGAAAGAGAGAGATTCTCCTCGAAAATCACGCGTCTCTTGCGCTGCACTTGCTCCTTGTATGAGTGTATATACGTGTTCATCACCCACACGTCCGCACCGCACCACTCTTCTATCCTCTGTCTTCTCTCTCTCTCTCTCTCTCTCTCTCTCTCTCTCTCTCTCTCTCTCTCTCTCTCTCTCTCTCTCTGTGCCGCGTAAGTGAGTGGTGGGGAGAAAACCAACACAGACACAAACTCCAAAAAGAGAACTCAGTTGAGTGAAACAGCTCGCGCTCCGCTGCTGATGTTGGGATAGTCGCTGCGGCTCTATGTGTGTGAAAGGGTATCCTAGCCGCGACACGAGTGCAATCGTCGAATTCGCGTACGCGACTCTTGCGTGCAAACTGTTCGTTTAACGCTCGCGTAATGCTCCAAAGCTTGAAGACGTGATTGTGTGTGCGTGTGTGCATGTGTGCTGCTGCTACTACTACTGCGCGCGCGAATGTGTCGCTCCGCTGCAAAGTGCCGACGAAAATCCGTAAGTGAACGAGGTTATTGTCACGTGTGTGATTAGTTCTTTCGTATCGCCGCCAAGGATAAAAGGAATTCAAGGAGAGTGATCTGTTTTTTCCTCTCGTCCTCGCTCGCGACGTTTGCGCCTGCAGTGCAAGACTCTCTCGCAGCTGGAAAATGGCCGCTGCGTCCTAACCTCAACAACGCGAACGAAGGAGAGAGAGAGAGAGAAAGAGAGAGAGAGAGAGCGTGAGCGTGTGTTGTATGTGCTGGGCCTATGACTGCCGTACAGGTGAGTGTGTTTCTCTACAACGGACAGGTCAAGTTTCTTTTTTTTACGTCTTTTCTTACACCTGTTACGATTTATTTTGTAGGCGTGTACAAGTACGATAGTCTAAGAATAATATGGTCGTTTTATCTCCGAGATGAGAACGAATGATGACGAATATCGCGAACACGAAAGGGAAATCCCTCTCTCCTCGAGCGCGTATATACTCGGCGTAAGAGTGCTTGTCTGTCTTATGTTATCACGGAAAACTTGTGAAAGTTTAGTGTCGTCCGAGTGTTTTTGGGGACGCAAAAGTCAACGAAGGAATTCGCGATCGATGCCGACTAGCGGTTAGCTAACGGAAAAGCTGCGGATACTTTTTCTGTCCATCTCTCTCCCTTTCTTGACGGTGTTGTAAGTGTAAGTAAGTGAGTGTGTATGTGCGCGTGCGTTGCCCGCCGCAAGAAAGATGAGGTTTTGCGTTTTTTGAGATTGCGATAAGGAATTTTTCCATTGTCGAATAAACTTTTAGCTTATCTATATACTTTCTCTCTGATTCGCTCTACGTCGGCGATGATATTATTGGTTAAGAGCACGAGAAATCGAAAGTTTGTTTTTTTTCAATTAGAAAAAATATTGCAATTCTATAAAAACTTGATATACATATGTATCCCTCAAATATCAAGTTTCTAAAACACGCGTGTTTAAAATATAAAAAAAAGATAACTCATATTCACAAAAAGTTACTTCGAAAGTCCGCCTGTATTCACGAAATAAAATTATTAAACCGTAAGAACATCGCGAGTGGCCAAAGAAAAACGCGCACGCCGGTGAAAATTACAGAAAACCATTAATATTTATCAATTTTTCATACACATTTTCCGTACGCTTATCCACGCGCCGTTAATCCTCGAAAAAGGATATCCTTTGGCTGCGATTTATTTTTTTGCGTAACTTCGACCTTGACGTTGAACTTTCCCGTTGGAGTCTTTCTTCTACGCCGACTCACTTGCGAAACTATCATCGCGAAAGGATTCAGGCTTCGATGATTTACAAGCGAATTGCCGTTGACGATCGCGATTCAATGCGCGTTTGTCTACGTATCTTCTTTTTTCTTTTTTCTTTTTGTTTGATTCTTTCGTTCGACGCGATAAGCGAATTTCATCCGGCGCACGCGGCAAGCTGCAATGCAGTATTTCCGCTAAGTTTGAAAAAACCATTACCAACGCCAAGCGCAATGAAGTATTTTTCTCGCTCTCGAGTAATTCATCAGCGAACGCTAAAGCGATCGACGCTTTATTACGAATGCCACGTGACTTACACAGTACGCTGATTTTTTTCTCTCTCTCTCCTCTCGGACGAGAATTCCATCTCTCGACGTTCGGCGTATTTGTTTGTTGTTGTCGTGTTATGCAAAGAGAAAAAGCGCTCGTGTCATCGTTCGACAATTAAAGACCGTTACGAAACAAGCGCGCCACGTCTTATATCTTGATTCACGGAAAAAAAAAATCAAAAAAACGATTCTTATCGTGGTTGGATTCCGCGCAGCCTCCCACCTGCCGTCGCTGCGACGGCCTCATATAATTGTATTTTTAGCAATGAGTCGCGAGGCAGCAGTTCCACGTGTGCATCCTGCCTTTACGAGTATTTTAATTGGCTTTTTTTGGCTGGAGTGTTATCATCGGCGAAGGTCATTTTCAATTACTATTCGATAGGCAGAGTTGTTGTGTATTTTTTGAGACGATAAAAAAATGGATGTAAATAACCTTGAGCGTTAAAAAGAAAAAGGTTATCTATCACGACGGATTACAGACTTGAATCATCAGTCAATTCTATTGGATAATCAGCGGCGAAACGAGAGATAAGAGAATGTACGGTGCCACGGCATAGCGTCACTTCGGCAAATTAGAATGCGCTCACGCCATTCAGGTGCTTCGCGCAAGTGCAACAATCGGGTAACGTGGATCCAACCGTGGCATCGATCAAACAATCTTTCCTCGCGTCCGTGAGCGAAGGAATGAAAAATCGGCGGGCGTCTCGCGCGTTTCCCCGCTCACTTTTTCCTCGCGCGTTGCGCAATTTCCGTCATCGCACGCCCGCAAATTGAATTTCCCCGTCGGGAAAAATGACTCAACTCCGCTCATTGTTCCACGCGAGCACATCCATTTGCGCGCGATGCACGCGCCACGTGACTCACGCCGTGGCTGTAGCGCCGCCGAAAAGGCAATTTCTTTTTTCTAGCCCGCTCGGATACTGATTTCGCGCGAGTCGCCGTTGTACACGGGACAACCTGCTGCTGCGTCCTAGTTTTCTCTATCCGATGGAATTTCTATGAGCCGCCGGCAAAGCCTCTCTTTCACTTCGGCCCCCTTTCTATATTGAAGCGTCTTGGGATACACGTACGTGCGCGCGTACACATTGACAGGTGGATTTTTCGGCGTGCAGGTTATTCTTTTCGAAATCCCGAGGAAAGCGGGTTCACCGACCGCGAGTGCATTTCTTCGAGGGGTTCTTTTTCTTTTTCGAAAATATACGCACGGAAAACGAAGTTTTTTTCCGCTTTTTTTTTAATGCTCACGTCTGCCTGGCGTGTGCATTAAAAAATTCTGCATAGGAATGAAAGCAACGAAACAAACCTTTGTTACTTTTTTCTTTCCTCCTCGCGTAGTCTGGAATCGTTAGGATTTTAATTGCAGGGAAGCTGTGCGCGCGCGTGTTCAAATTAAAATTGGACTTTGATGTCTGACGGGAGGCATTCGTTACGTTCCCCCAGCCCACTCTCTGCATTGTAATTTGTCTCTCTCGGTGTGTTAAAAAACGCAATTTCGCTGGCATTGCAGATCCCGTGACAGAAATGGGACTTGATCAGCGCGAACTCGCGAGCTCCCAAGCAGCAATGGCCCTCGTTTGAACGCCCGTCCGACTCGAGCTTCATTCGCAGCAGCGTCATCGTCAAGAATTCTAATCCCGAAAGATGCGGGAGCTAGCGGATTGTTGGATCCCCGGCTGCTGGTCGTCGTTGGGGATCTGAGGAAAATTCTCTTTTCGCTCTTCCGTTTTTTGTCTCTTTTCTATTTCTTTCTTTTTCGAAAAGAGAAGGAAATCTTATTTTCAATTCAGTCGGGGGAAAAAAAACGGCGAAGAGGAGACAAAGGAAGAAGCAATGTCGTTCCTGTCGAATCTGAAGAAGGCGTTCCACTTCGGTGGCAACGACGCCAAGAAGAAGAAGCTCTACAACAACATCAAGATGGACGTTAGCCCCGAGGAGTTCTGGGATATGGTGGGCGAACTCGGCGACGGCGCCTTCGGCAAAGTCTACAAGGTAACGCTGCGGAGAAACTGAGCTTCGTTCTTCCTGTCGTTTTCATTCGCTCGTAAATATCGCATTCGCGAAGTATTAACAATTACTCGTTTTTTTACAATTAGAAAACCGGCAGGCCGACTGATCTCTCCGAGCTATTATTTTTATGAAATATCGATTGTTTTTTTTTTACCTCGGTATAGCCAGGGTCGTGTGTATATTTCTTTACGACAAAACAATTGCAAGCGTACTCTTACTACTTTCGTCTCGGAGCAACAGGAGAAGAAGATCTCGAAATACATTATCGTCGCCGTCTCTCGAATCATCCACTCGACGAATCAAAGCAAAGTGAAAAAAAAAGAAAAATCAAAGTGAACAGGAAAACGAGGGTAGAGCGTAGCCTCGCCGAGCCTACGGACCCGTAAGGCTTCATAATTTAATTGCGCGAATGACGCAACGGGATTATCCTGGCTTCCGCCTCGGCGACATTGCCGACCTACTAAGAGCCGATCATTTTTTTCTTTTTTTCTTTTTTTCTATTTCCAATGGACTTTTCTTTCCCTTGCAGGCACAGCACAAGGCGACGCAACAGCTGGCTGCTGCGAAAATGTGCGCCCTCGAGGGCGAAGACGACCTCAGTGACTTTATGATCGAAATTGACATCCTCGCCGAGTGCAAACACCCCAACGTCGTCGAACTACACGAGGCTTACTTTATCGAGGGCAAACTCTGGGTCGGTTTAGTTTTTCTTCGTTTTCTTTTGTCTCGTAGCAACTAGCTTACGAATCTTTGGATAATCATCTCGTTCAGCTCGAATCGCGCTCTGGACAAGCCTCTTAAGATGAGTTAGTTCATTCTAATCCATCGGTTATTTATTCAATTTCAATTTATTTTGATCGCAACGTTGTCGATTAGTGAGCCTGCGATAGAGACGATTGATTTTCAACGTGCGATTCGAAACGAACGAGTTGAAAACGCACCGCACGTCGATCAACACTCTATCAAGGAAAAGAGCGGCGCATAGCGCCCAGCACGTGGAAATAGCTTGCTCTTTCTTTTCTCTAAATCGCTGAGCGAGGCGCGGTGTTTTATTCATTCATCGCTCGCTTCGAGCTCCTATTACCCTTGAGAACGAAACGTATTCTTCGCAGATGTTGATCGAGTACTGCGACGGTGGCGCGGTAGACTCGATAATGGTGGAATTGGAGAAAGCATTGACCGAGACGCAAATCGCCTTCATCTGCCAGCAGATGTGCAAAGGTCTTGCATTTTTGCACAAGGCTAAGGTCATACACAGGGACCTCAAGGCGGGCAATGTGCTGCTCACTATGGCCGGTGGAGTGAAAATCGGTGAGAAGCGACTTTTATTTCTCTTTTGAAATGCCTGTGCTATGCCTAACAAGACGACTCTTTACGCAGCGGACTTTGGAGTGTCAGCGAAAAACAAATACACACTGCAAAAGCGTGACACGTTCATCGGTACGCCATACTGGATGGCACCGGAAGTCGTTTTATGCGAGACGTTTAGGGACAAGCCTTACGATTTTAAGGTAATTAACAAGAAATTAATTCAGATAAAGATATTGCTAGGCTCATTACTTAGCACTAATTATACGTCATTTTCGAGAAAAATAATTACTTCATTTACGATTTTAATAATTGTAGGTGGACATCTGGTCGTTGGGTATCACGCTGATAGAATTCGCCCAGATGGAACCACCAAATCACGAGATGTCACCAATGCGAGTACTCCTAAAAATACAAAAGAGCGATCCACCAAAACTTGAGCACCCGAGTCGTTGGAGCAAAGACTTTAATGATTTCATCGCCAAAGCTTTGATTAAGGATCCTACACAGAGGCCGAACGCCGAGGAGTTACTCAGACATCCGTTCATCAACTGTACTCTTGATTCTAAGTCAGTTAGGGATCTGTTGCTAGAGTACAAGGCCGACGTTGTTGAAGAAGAACTCGTTGACGACGATGCCGAGGTACGTTTGTTTACTTTATTTCGTGTGTATTTATTTCTCAAAGTTCGGTGATGGATTTTTGCGACAGAAGATGCGATTGAATTTCGCTGACAAATTTATTCCAAAGTATATACTGTCGCATCTTCTCCGCGATGTGCAATTGTAAATAAGCAAAGCAAAAAAGATGCGAGGATTTGTACAGAAGATAACATGCCTGCATGTACTGCATCTTCTAACCAAAGAGTGAAAGCTTTAATACTAACAATGTTTGCGTGATGTCTGATACATTTTCTTTTCTTTGACAACTAAAAACTTGTACACTTCTCTTTCTGTCTCTATCAATTACTACAGCGACTTCTTAAAATTAGACATTGAATATCTCGTGTGGTTTAGATTGCTCTTTACAGTTGAGTACTACTTTCTAAAAATCTTTTTATTCTTGGAATAATTTCATGAATGCTGTTAAAAAAAGAAAACAACTAGAATTGCACTTACACGTGGCAAAAGATGATTTATATCCATCCGTCACAAATTTAACAACAAAAAATCAATGTGCCTTGAAATTTCTTCCACGCTTACTATAGAAGGCGAAAAAGGCGAAAAAGCACCGAGAACAGTATCAACGGATCGGTAAGCTGCTACCCAGTGATTCGATTGCCCTGTTCACTAAGAGCCAGTCAGTAATGTCCTCCTGCTTTGCTTGCAAAGTACATTGTGTGACAAACGATACTTAAATATTATGTCTTATTATATCTCGTTTTACTTTTATTTTTTCATTCTTGCCATGATTATTATATGTACATCTGCCAATTTATATATATCGGAGGTTTAAAAACCAAAACAATGCGACTTTTTGCCTTACTGGTTTAGAAAATACACGACTGAACTATATATTTATATATTTATCGTAAAGACGACAGACTTTGTATAAGCGTTCGTTTGTATTTTGTATCTTTAACGGGTAGCTATTTCTGTAGATTGAGCACGCAGCAATATTGTGTCTTTTTTTTTATGAATTTTGTTATAAATAGATCTATACGAATGAGCGTATTATATTGTTGTGAACATTGTTAATTATGTTTTTTTTTTATATTTGACAATTGCTAGAGTGCCATATTTGCGTAGCTTGGACGATAACCGTTACGAATTTACTTGTTTTTTCCATGATTTCAAATCGAAAGAAAATACAAAAGAAATGGTATTGTCTTATGACGCAATGGTTGCATTAAAACTGTTGATAATAAGTTTTTGTTGATTTTGATAAATTTTACGATGCGTTCTCTCTACTGATAGCTAAACTAGTACTTTAAACAAGTATTGTAGGATTATTGTTGAATAAATTTTGAAAAGTGTTCATAACGTGATTTTTGCCTAAATATTTCAGAATGGTAGTACATTTTTAATCGATATTTATTCAAATGTTGATGTGAATTTTACGAAAATAATATAGTGTTTTTAACACTAATCTTAATCGAGTTCTTAGTGAACAAAAATACGTATAGAAAGCTTACTAATATACAATAGTGTGATAGCTTGCGAAGGACTTAAATAAAAAACTCAGCAGAGAGAACGTTCAACTTTCAATTGAAAAGAACCTTTTCAGCCATATGTAGCCTTAAACACACACCAAATCAAACTTGATATATTAAAAACACGTTCGAATGAAAATATAAAGAAAGCCGAAGTGAAAAAATAATTTTAATCGATAGATATAAAAAACGATTTGCATGACCCAACAACACACCGCCGTAGGTAAGAGATTTGTCATTTTGTCCTCTTTTTGCCTTGTACAGTTATCAAATAAAAAGAAAAAATTTGACGATATTCGCATACAAAAACCATTTCGCTGTAGTTTCTCTATCTCCCTTCAAAGCCCTTCAATAGATTGAAACCCTTAACAAATAATGTTTTCTATGTGTAACCTTACTAACTCATTCAACTATATGATCATAAGAGATAAGGCCGATTTCTGAAACGAATGTGCAATCCGGTTTTGATGTCAACTACTATCATCGCCAGGTTAGTAATCAGACAACAATGAAAAAAAAACAACTGTCTTGCCTGTTCGTTTAACCTTCCGCTTGTTATGTGCTCGTTATTTTACTATTATTTATTCATTTCAGTTTCAATAATCTCCCTATTGCAGTTGTTTGATTGCGTAGATGGTTCAGTGATCCATTCGAATGTTTCTTTCTATTTGCCGTTTTATTAATTTTTACAGGAGCATCGCACCTCACAGCTTCCCCTGGAATTGGATCAAATCGGAGATGACTCTACATCTGTACGTAGCGACAATGAGCTTAAAGGTAACTTTTTGTTCCTTTTGTCACGTGTAATTACGCATCCGAAGAATTAATATACTAATCTTGTTATGAATTTTGTGACCGTAAAGTATCTCCAAAGATAGTGATTCAGAAAAAAAAGTAATATTTAGCTAAACTTAAATAGAAAGAGAAAATTAATTCACCAATTAAATATCAACTGATCTTTTCATAAACTTCGTGTTGTTTTTACAGTTGCGGAGAAAGAAAACAGCGTCACGCCAGCGGCGGCCACAGCAACAGTACCGGCAACAGCAGCTAAGAGAGAGGAAAGTAACAAGAGAGAAATCAACAGGGATGGTGAAAAGGAGGAGCGCAACAAAAAACTCCGGAAGGCCGAGTCAAAGGAAAATATTCCCGTGTCCACGGAGAAGAAGCCGGTAATGATCTTTCAGATGTAAAAGCGCGCACACAGACTCGTGACAAATTGACATGTGGGACGGTTCAACTAAAAGCGGAAATTGACTATTTTTCTTTCATTTCGTTTGAAGCGATACCGTTGGCTTAGATTAGATTTTTTTGGGCGGATTAGCGATATTCTTACGATTGTAATTGATTGGCTAACAAATTCGACTTCCAAGCTAAAAGATTTTTTTTTTTTCTAAAAATGTTATTTGTTTATTAATTTTTCAGGCTCCAAAACCACCAGTTTCGAACGTGGAAACTAACGAGCGACGTCTATCGAAGGGACCGGCTCCACCACCTCCGTCGCTCGCTCGACTGGAATGTAAACCCGAAGAGGTTGTAAAACCAAGTGCCATGGAAGCAGCGATAAAGCCAGTAAATGGTGAGAGTAAGCAACGCCGAAGCTCGGAAGGGGCCAGAAAACCACCACTCATCCCTGAGAAACCAGATCAATCGAGATCGAAGAGCGTCGAAGGTAAAAACAGAAATGTCGAAGAGAAAAGAAAGTCGGCACCAATAAAACCTGTAGAAAATATCGATGAATGGAAGAAACCAGTGTATAGCATGCAGAGTTCACTCGAAGAGAAAGAGCGGTAAGTGCAAATCGTAATAACTCTATAAATATAGAAAATAACATTTAACAATGTATTTTAATTGCAGCGAAAGAAAATTATCGACAGACTCAACTCCACAACAGCAAGTTGAAATGTGTAAACCCTTGGAAAGTGGCAATGACAGTCGACGTAGTTTGGAACAAAAGCGTAAGTCCGTCGAGGAGAAACTCAACGCCGTGTTGGAGAAACAATTGTCCCGCGACGTTGAGAAACAACAACAAGAAATTTTACGAAAACAAACGTCACGCGATCCGCTATCACTGAAAGCTAGCAGTCCATTAAAGGCTAGCATGTCGACCGGTGATATCAAAGCTGCCAGTAAACGTACAAGTAACGAGGAAGCTAGAAGTGAAGGTGGAAGTAGCTCAAGGAACGATTCGTTAGAAAATTTCGATGTTCTTACTCCTGCGAAGATTGAGGATACTGTCGATAAGGCGAGAGAAAATGTTATTGTCGGTGGCTCTAGTGTCAACGTGTCGGTCATCACGTCTACGCCGGTCAAAAGTAACGTGACAAGAAGTGGCAGTGGTGATATTGTTGTTATTACTGGTGAGTAACTTGAATTTCAACAATTGAAAAAGACAACGAATGAAATGGTTACAATCTTTCTTTCTTTGTTTTGTCTTGTAGGTACGCCACAACCGACTGATTCTGAACACCGTGCGAATACCTCAACGACAGTCCGTATAATGTCAGATAGTCCAGACCCATCAAATAGTTTAGCTAGTAACGTAAGTCAAGTCACAGTTGTAACTACTCATCCACCCGTGTTGATTGATGCAACGTCGACTCCACCACCACCTAGACGAGATTCTTCCGAAGTCGTTATTGTCGCTAATGAGACCAACAAAACGCAGGTATGTATTCATTTTTAATTAATAATCAATTTTCTACGTAATCATTATATACTGACGCGCAATTTTCCACGTTAGGTCAATGAAAGTTCTGCTGAAGATGACGGCTTCACTAGTCTCGATAGTCTCGAGTACACGCCACAAGAGGCAGCGATTGTTATCGAGCAGAAAAAGATTGGTAAACGATTGGACGAGTCAGAAGTGGTGATTGTCAGTCCAATCGAGAATGATCAACAGCAACTGCCACTTCATGACACTAGTCACGTGTCCGTCGTCACCGTCGGCGATGAACGCGAGCAGGTGAAGGACTCGTCGGCGTTGGCTGCTAGTGCTAATGACGATAGAGCCAGGAAGTTGGTCAATGGACAGGTATTAATTTTAACGCTGCCTGAAGTGATTTTTTTGAATTGATTTATCGATTCATTAGTCGATTAATTAAAATACACGAAACGTTAGAATTGCTTAGATAAAAAAATGCATTTTGAACTCGACCTGTAACTATATTAAATAAGAATGAAATTCTTCTTTTGAAGGATGTTTATGTGGTTCTTTTACAGGTGCGACAATCGCTTGACCAACCCATCTCTACGAAGTCATCTGCAAAATCAAAGAGTTCAACCGGGAGCGGTAAGTCCTCAAAGCGAGTATCACCGGACAGTTCGTCAACGGGATCGACGCGTTCACGTACACCAAGCAAAAGTATCGACCGTTCAGATGCTGAATCAATCTCGACGACCATCAGTCAAGACAGCCGAGGCTCGAACAAAGAAAGCAACCACGTTACAAATGGACCTAGCGAGAACGTTAACAATAGTGTTAACGAAAGCCATAGAACAGAATCCAGACAGTCTTCTGAAATGGACGAAGAAGTTGTATTGAGAAGGAAGCCGGAGTACGTTAGAGAAATTCCAAGGAGGACAAAAGAAGATATCGAGAGGATACAGCTAATGAATTTGAAGAAGAAAACTAGGAAACGTACGAGAAAGTTTGAAATCGATGGCGTGGTTGTTACGACAACAACCTCTAAGGTAATTTCAAAATCATCTAAATTGAATTTTCACAAATGAATAATGAAACTTACATTTATGCTTCATACTTAGGTTATCTATGGTGATGATGAGAACGGCAAATTCTACGATGACCAAATCTTCCGTAAACAGGAGCTTCGCGAACTTAAGATGTTGCAAAAGATGGAACAGAAACAATTCCAAGATTTGTCACAAAAAGCGCATTTCAACAAAGACCAGCTCGAGAAACGATGCGAACAAGAACGTCAAATTCTTGAACGTACCGCAGAAGCAGAACTAGAGACTCTTTTGAGGCAACAACGTCAAGCTCTTGACAAAGCCGAGGCACAGCAGGAGACAGATCTCAGGCTTGCATCAAAAAAGATTAGGGCTGAACAAGAGAGAGAATTGAAACAATTCAGAGAAGGAATCAAGCAGGATTTGAGATTACTTAAACAAGAGGTTGATCTTATGCCTAAGGTTTGTTTCAAACAAATACATTTTTTTGTCATTTGTTCGGTTACGTTATTCATTATCAAAATATTCAATATCACAGGAAAAACGCAAGAACGCATTCAAAGTTAGAAAAGAAAAGCTAGAAGCCGAGCACGAGGAGCGCGAAAAACTTTTCTTGGAAAAGTTGAACGAAACGCACGATGCATCGATGCGTCGATTATCCGACAGCCATCGTGAGAAGATCGCTTTAATGGAACGTCAATTCCTGCAGCAAAAGCAGCAGCTTCTACGTGCACGTGAATTAGCGATTTGGGAATTGGAGGAACGCCAGATACACGAACGTCAACAGCTTCTCAAACGTCAATTGAAAGATATATTCTTCCTGCAACGCCATCAAATGCTTATCAGGCATGAAAAAGAACTCGAACAGATGAAACGAATGAATCAACGTAAAGAAGAGGAATTAGTTAAGAGACAAACTGTTGAGAAGAGAAATTTGCCCAAGAGGATTCGGAATGAAATGAAAGCTCGCGAAATGATGTTTAGGTATGAATATAATCATAATAATTGAAGGAAAAGTTGTGTTTTACAAAACTAAATACCTCATTCCGCATTTGTAGAGAGTCGATGAGGATTTCGATATCATCAACGTTAGTCTCAGATCCAGATGCCGAACGTGATAAGTTAAAGAAATTCCAAGAAAATGAAAAGAAACGTTACCGCGCCGAACAACAACGTTTCGAGCTGAAGCACGCGAGGCAATTGGAGGAGATGCGCGCATCGAGCGAGTCGACGATCAAAGAGCTTGAACAGCTGCAAAACGAGAAACGTAAGATGCTTATGGAACACGAGTCAATTAAGCTCAAGGAACAAGAGGAGGCCTATGCGAAGGAGTTGCGCGAGTGGAAAGCACTGCTTAAACCACGCAAACAGGTACGTGATTTCGAACTGAGCATGATGAATTGTCATGATCGAAAAATTGGTTTTAATCAGTTTGCTAGCATGAATGCATACAGTTTTAAAAAGTGCGATTGTGTTAAAATTAAGCAATAATAAACTATCTTAAAAAATTTTACTTTAATATTGTTATAACAATTTTAATTTGTAAATAGAAATTCGCTTACTTTTACAACAATCTTGCACTAGAAGAAATATTTTCGAATATCCGCTAAGCTTTTTTTTTTATTTATAGTGCATACTAATGTTCTATTGCCTGGTTTTTACGTCAACTCTATTTTTAAACAAAACAACTACGTATCCTAAATGGAATAGATACAATCAGAAATATATTTTTTTAAACTTATATAAAAAATAAATAACGAACGGTTTTGACGAGACACGAAAAAAAAAACAATAAAACCTGTTACACAGAACTTAGAAGCCGAGCTGGCATCAGAGATGGAGGCCCTGGAGTCTAGGTACCGGGGCTACCTACCGTCACGACTAAGCGGCTTCTACTTGACCAACTTCGACTACTCGACCTTCACTACTTTCAAAAGCCCATCCACGTCCCCCGAAAAACGCCGTTCATCCCTTGCCAATTCCACTCCCAGTTCGCCCTTTAGTATACCAAGAGTATCTCTGCGTTTTGGTGGCTCAGATACGAGTTCACTTGGCACTGCTGGCACTTTGCCCAGGAGGTACTCGTCCGGTACTAAACCTGATCTCCTACCATCACCATCTCCTCGTCGATGATCCTCTGTGTCTTTTTTTCTGGCTTTCGTGCGTTTTTGGTCGAAGCTGTATTCGTGTATGTCTCACAGGTTTCTTGAGATTTAGAATATTGTTCTGAATAGCTAGTTAAAAACAATAACAATTTTTGTTCTCGTATTCGACTTTTCAAAATTGTATATATAACGATGCGAATGATAATTGATAAATTATATCATTTCGCGTAAATAGTTGAATGGCAAAATTTAGCTTTGAGTAAATGTACATTCTGGTGCATGCGAAAAAAAGTAATATGCAAATACAAAATACACAGGTACAGCTTCCAACGACCATATCTCGTCTCCGCTTCATCCTCTCGTGTGTTGTCTTCAAACCTCAAAAATCCTCCCGTAGCAATGAAATTAATCCGACTAAATATTGAATGTTCGAGTTTAAAATCTCGAACTCGAATGACTCGATTACTTTATCGTGATCTTTGTTTTCCTTTCAATTAATGAATTATTCCATTGTGTTTATTTAAATACTGCTTTTTGAAAATCTTAAGCCGTGCGGTTTAACACTTCAGATATGTTTTGATGATTAATATTTGAGTTTATTTTATTTCACACAGCATTTAGTTTCAAAACACTAATAATTTTTTGTGTTTGAATCGAGTTTCTCGTAATTTAACATTGATTTATGTCTCGTAATGTTAACGAGGAATCCGCCAAAACTGAATCAAAGATGTTCAACAGAATTTTGTAAAGGTTTTGACCGAGCTTACATTTTTTTTCTTGTACAAAATTTATTTACGTTCATTACTAATAAAACAAAAAATTAAATTTATTGTATTAATTTAAAATGTAATAATATATTAGTTTCAGCACAAAAATATCAAAATATTAGATACACAAAAACGTAGTATAGCATAGATGATAATCTACAATTACGCTGAATTTTTTTCTTTCTGTAACGTAATATACAGATTGAAAAATGTTGTATTTCAACGCGTCGTTTGCTCCGAAGAAACGTAAGCTTTTTACGTATGCTGACGTGATGTTAGTTTTGCTTTTTTCATTTTCTCACTCTGTTCATATTTCATCTGTACTCTTTTCGTTAGCTAAAAACCAACCAAGCCGCTTGCACGTATTAGTCGAGCGTCACCAGTCTATTTGCTTGTCGGCGTTGTTCTCTACAATACTTTGTTGACTGAAGTCATTCTGCTCATCTACTTCTCTTTCATCGTCATTATTGTCGTCATCATCATCCCCGTCTTTCGAGTTTCCTTGGCAGTCACTGATTTGGTTCTTCATATTATTATCATCACTTCCAGCTCCTGTTTAAGCCATTCTTATCAAAGAACCGTGTCACAGAAACAGCACTACTCTGTAAGTCACTTCAAGGTCTCTAATGTTTTTCTCCGCTAGAAGCGCTAGGATTGGTCTGGATAGGTGTAAAGGATGTGTTCCTATATGGCCTATTTTTTCCACCTTTGTGGAATTAAAACCATTTAAGTGCACTGTAGTTTTTGCCACAATTATTACATTGTCAAAAACTTACATTTCTAGCCAATACGAAGACGCTTTGCTGGAATTTCTTTTTATATTTAAAGTATCCTGCAAGATATTTTTTTTGTTTGAATTTATTTTAATAGTAAGTTGACTATACACGCCAGCTTTATACGCATCCAGGATGTTCGGTTTAAGTTTCCACTACTAAAACCACTGTTAAGTCTCAATAACGTAGCCGAGACTTGTGTTTATTGAAAATAAAATAATGTTTTATTTATTTTTATTATTACCGATCACTCGATAATCTATCTGTGTTTATTTCTGTTAGGGCAGGTCTTGGCAGTTTCCTTTGTACTTCTTTACTCGGCTGTTATTTTGTAGTGCTCTGCTCTGCTTACTGAGCTTTTTTGGTTGGCTTTGCTTGGATCTATCCTCCTCGATGAGGTTGATGACTTTGACAATAATCATATATGAACGCTCGGTTTTTGATAGTCAATAGAATGGTCTATTTGTTTAATAATAATAAGTAGGAATTGAGAAATAAATTCCATGTAAATGTAAATTTAGTAATGATCTAATCGAGTAATATTGATTAAATATTGAATGTGATTTCTTCGATTTCTTCGTCGTGGTCTTTGTTTTCCTTTCAATTAATTAATGATTCGATTGTATCTATTTAAGTTATACTTTTTGAGATTCTTAAGCTGCGCGGTTTAATACTTGAGATGTATTTTCATGATTAATAGTTCAGTCTGCTTTCATTCGCACAGCATTTAATTTCAAGACACTAATTATATTTCATGTTTGAATCGCATTTCTCGTGATTTAACATTGATTCATGCCTCGTAATGATAACGAGAAATCTGCCAAAACTTATTTAAAATGTTCAATAGAATTTTGTAAAGATTTTGTCCGAGCTCGCATTTTTTCTTGTACAAAATTTCTTTACGTTCATTGCTTGTAAAACGAAAAATTAAATTTGTATTAATTAGTAATAATGTAATAATAATTCGCTTCGGTAAAAAAAATATAAATATTGTATACACATCAAAAAGAAGTGTAGCATAGATAATAAGCCACAAATACGCCGAACGTTTTCCTTTCTGCAACAAGATATAGAGGTTAAAAAATGTATTTCGACGTGCTGTTTGCTGTGAAAAAAAACGTAAGCTTTTTGCCTATGCTGACGTGTGTTATTTTTGCTTGCTCCTTTCTTGCTATGTTCGTATTTCATTTGTAGTGTTTACGTTAGCTAGAAAATCGACCAATCCACTTGCACGAGTTAGTCGATTGTCGGCAAATATAATAGGCATGCAATATTTTTGCTACTTACTTCATAGAGTAATATATTTTTTGAAGTGTCTGTCATTGGAGCTACAATATCCCTTACCTACAAAATGATTATCCCTTGAAAAATGTTATTGTCCTGTGTGGTAAATCTCTTTTTATGTAATTTGTCTTTGTAGCCATTTACTTATTTTTATGTAAGTCATAAAAATCATGTATGTACATGTACGTCAAGGTAACGCATGGTCATAATACAATAATATCTACGTTTTGCAAATGCAAGTGTTCATTTTGGGTAAGACGAATCGGGCTAATGGTGATCATATATAATCATTACGTTTCATTATCCCATTATGTTTATTATGTTTTTGGGTGCTTGAACTTTTTTGTGTTCTTAAAACAATGATAACGTCCAAAAAAACATATCGATCCTTATTTCGCGCAAAGTACCCCTATGAACGGAAATTTGGATTTGGATTTGAGAGATGAAGATCTCTCGTCGGAAAATTTATCACGAAGGTTAGTCCTACAATTATAATTTTTTCGATCACCATTCGTCGATCATTACGAAAAAGCTATCTATCGAGCTAAGATTATTTTTCACAATTTCGGAAGAAAACGTGTTACGGCATTTTCTCATCGTCGTAAACACGTAGAAAGCGATCCACATAACGAAAACGGGGCGAACAGCGGAAAGAAATTAACGAAACTCTTGTGTGAATTGTTGCAGAAGCTAGAAGAACAATTTGCCATGCAGCTCGAGGAGCAAGAATCGGTGTACAGCCCGAGCGCCGTGCCTCTGTGCCTACCACCGGATCTGCCCGACTTGACTCACCACACAGCAGGCGGCGGCTCAACTCGTAGCTCGCTTTCGTCAGTCAGCGAAGGCTAGATATTTCTCTGATATCCTCGTACCTGTGATATACCAATTTTTTAAATTGACGAACTATCAATTGCGAGTAAAAATCTACCTTTCGTTTGTTTCCGGTATACGTGCGTCCACATTCGTAATTTATACTTACGAGGAAAATAACCAACAAAATATTAAATCCGCCCAAAGCCTTAGTCAATTTGATCGAAATTTGTACATAAAAAAGTTGTTGGGCTGTTAGCACGGGCTTACGAGTACTTCAGTACAAACAATGACTTCCAAAAAAAGAAGGCGAGACGTGCGCGTATAACTCTGAAAATTACATTAGCGACGAGTATTTTGTACAGAGTATATGTGTGAGTAGGTTGACGATGAACAATCGGCATCAAGTTGTTACACGGCAACAGCGATCAATGGCATTACGAATTAGTTTTCTACTTTTGTACTCCTCGGAAGCTTGTTTTTATCAAAACGAGCTTGATCGATGGTATTTCGTACATTTATGATGTCGAGACTTTGTCGCATATAAGTGTATCTCAAAAACAATGTTTATTGTGTATTTATATATTCACTTATATGCCACTTAAAGAATATGAAGCTCGAGTCATAAGTTTATATCGCTATAAGATGGCTTTTGTACATAATTTTTTGGAAGCCGATCATCAGCTATAAATTATATCGGTACTGCATCATCGATATCCATTGAATATTTGTTCTTTTCTTTGTAAATATCCGATAGAGGAAATAATTCCAAAACAAAATATACGTTTATTATACATTATTGTACTGATAGGATTTTACTCTGAATGTAACATCAAAAATTATGAGGTAATTTTATCAAGTCTATTCAAAAATTGAAGGCATTTTTCATTGAGTATATAATTGTTGACACTGAAAGCATCAGTCGGAGAGCACACGTGCCTATATCCATTACACAAGTGTCGTTTTCTTTTTCTAACAAAACTTTCAATACAAAGATTGACTCTTATTTAACCGTAATTATTTAAGAATATTGTTTGTAAATTGCAGTATGTAATATATTATTTTAGATCGTACACATTTTCGTTTGAAAGAACAAATGTTTACGTTACTTATATATTACACTCCATTTGTAAATAACGGTTTTACAAGTCTTCCTGTATATTCTCTGATAAGAAAGAGTATATAGATTTATACGTGGTAAATACAACTTGTATATACACTAAGTTTATTATCACCTACCTTTGTTTTTAAAAGTAAAACGAAAAAAATTCTCCTGGACTTTCAGTGTCGAGGCACATCTATACACATACACACAGGACTGAGTTTGTTACATGTATAGCATTCAAAATGCGTCACTAGATTAAGCGCTTCAGTTATGAAATATTATAACAGATATATCTTTATACGAAAGTAATGCCCGTCGTCATTTACTGTCCAGACTCTGAGTTAATTATTCGTATAATTTAGAGTCTGTTGACAAAAGAAATACAATTTTTGGCAAGTTCAAAGCATATTTATTATATTATACATGTAATTCCGAATAAGAATTGTAATTATTCTTTATTGGAAAAAACGAAACGAGGATGGTGGCTCTGTTACATCGAGTGCAAAATGAAAGTAAAAGTAAAAAAGGTGTTCATTGTATTATAAACGCATAGAATATATTTTTTAGAACTTGCTCAGAACTGGATTTACACATAAGATTAACACGAAAAAGTTAGCTGATAATTAATTATGATTAATATCGCTTAATTTTATCACATCATTAATCTTTATTAATATTATTTTTTAAAAGAAATTATGGAAATGATGCTTAGCTATTTGCGGTAATTATCATTATATAATATTAAAACAAATTTAAAGTATAATAAAACTTTCAATTTTACGAGAAAAATCGCTTTCATTACCTATATCCAGCGGGAATAGAGAAGCAAACATAAATTCAGAATTGATTAACTCGGTTGAGCGACTCGATCGAGCAAGTACAGTAATAACGAGTATTATAAGCAAAGCGGCTTCAAAAAGGGGGGACAGCGAGCAACGCAACGAACAAATCGGATTACCCGGTCGAGTAAATCCAACCGGGAGGGTGGATATGTATTGCACGCGTGCGAAGGCGCGAAATTCGAATTGAATTGAAGTGGCTCAGTTGTCGGCGCCTGGAGTGTCATTGAAGGTGTGACAAAACGTGTATATCGGAGCCCGCTATCTCTTTCCTCTCATTCAGCTTCTTTAGCATGGCGAGGACGGCCGGCGGAGGGGAGTGAAGAATTAAAGTCAAAGACATTGGCATCGTAGCGCGCGAATTGCAGAGAGAGAGAGAGAGAGCGAAGGGGGAGGATTGCCCCGCAGGATGATCTCCGAGTGAGACAGTAGCGACGACGCTGGAGATCAAAGGCGCGGCGAAGATCAAAGGGGATGCTCTGCTCGGCACGCGAAGTTGAAGAGAAGCCAAGAGGAGGGATAAATGCGGTGGCAAACTCTTCTTTTTTTTTTGCTTTGCTTTACGTGCCAGCTTCTTTTGTCCTTGAATCTCTTGTTTTTTTGTAGTCGCAAGAACGTTTGTAGAAGGTGTGAAGTAGAGAGAGAGAAGCGAGTAGGCCTTTTTTCAAGACGCCAACTAGGGTGAGTTTCCGAAAATGAAGACACCACGCGGTGGGACTGGCGCTGTCTGGCTCTCTCGGACGAGGACGCGGCGGCAGTCGAGCTAGAAGATCGGCGTATCGCCGTGCAGAGCCGAGCGAACGCGCGAGATAACGACAAAAGGGGGGCAAATTCCCCTTGTCGCCGTTGTTCAGTCTCTTTGTCGCGCGAGGCGATAGCTCGGCGCGCTTTGGCGCGCGCAATTTATAAGTTATGCGGCTCGAGGCGACGTTTTCGCTCGGCGAAACGCGCGGCGTGAGGGGGGTGGGGGGGGGGGGTCGCGCGCCGAGCGTAGGTGTGTAAAACGGCGAACATTCGGCTCGCGCTTATCGTTTCTTTTTGTTTTTTTTCTTCTTTCCTACCCGCCCAGCTCGGTCGCTCAAACCACTCCGACCGCTCGGGGCTGTTTATCCTGCTTTGCTTTTACAATGGGCCATATAGCTTATGACACTCGAGATAGCGCCGCTCGCATGAGTCACGGCTCGCTTTTATGCATTTTCGCCGGCACGCGGCTGCGCTCCTTTTTTTTTTCTTCCCCCCCTTTTCGGCGTTTTCACCACTGCGCGGCCGGTTTTCATTGCACGAGGATGGCCTTTGTCGCGTGGCTTTTATCGTGTCGCTGCGATTTTATTTTTTTTGCCTCGGCTCTCGGGCGGCCCGACCCAGCTCCGTTTGTTCTGAAAAGGGTCAAGCTGCCGCGCGAGCAATTTTCATTGTTAAAAATCGCGCGGTTTTCCAGTGCTTTTTCACCACCGCCCACTCGTAAATATACAGATGCACCGGAAATCTTTGTACACAGTCGCGGAAAAAACTTTCAAACGTTCCCTCGAGGCCCCTCTCCCTTCCCCGAATTATCTCGCGCTTCCCTTTCAAACCGCAAACAGCGAAACCCTTTTATCACTCTCTCACTGGAAGTTTTGCCCAAATTGTCGCTGACACATTTCCAATAGATGCGCTATATACACGCGCGTCTCCGCCGGGAGTACCTAAAAGGCATTTCAAACCATCTCTCTGCGCCGCACACACAGATTACCTCATTAAAAAAATAAAAACTGCAACGCGGCAATGGCAGCACAACTAAATCATCAGAGGTCTCTCGCGTGTAATAAGCGGATAATCCTTGCAGCGACGGCAGGCGACGGCAGCCCTGAATAGGAAAAAGAGGAGAGAGGGAGAGAGGGAGAGAGGGAGAGAGGGAGAGAGGGAGAGAGGGGAGAGAGAGAGAGAGAGAGAGAGAGAAGAAAAGAGAAGCCGCTGTGCAGAGCAGCAGCTAGCGGCGGCGTCGATTGGCCGCGCAGAGGCAGGCGCCTAACCTTTTAGCGTTCGCGACGCTCGCACACAACACACGTACACGCACGCTCGGCAACCAACACACACCCAAAGGAGAGAACTCGCGCGGAGTTCGGCCACGGGAGGTCGCTCGGCGACGCGACTTCGGTGCAGCTCTCTCGCTCAGTCGTTTGGCCGTCGTCGCCGAGGTGATCGCGGAATCCGCGCTTGGGAAGCGAGCGGCGTCGTCGTTCCCTCTCTTTGTGTGTCTGTGCGCGAGCGCGAATTCATGGGGTTCATCAGCCTCTAAAAAGCAAGAGAGAGAAAGAGAGAGAGGCGACACAACAAACCCATGCATGAGCGAACGCGAGAGGAGTATGGAGCAGAGCGATATAGTGCAAACGAGTGACACGTATAGTGCTTGCCGCTGCTGATGCTGTCAGTGCCTTCGACAACGACGACGACGACGACGACCCGCGCGAGAAGGTACGAAAAACCGATTCACCGCTTATTTGCATAAAACTCCTTTAAAGTTCTCGCGGAGACACTTGTTCTCCTCGACACCCCCTCCCCCTCTTCAGAGCCTGCCGCTGCACTGCCTGCGATGGGGTTGAGGGAGTGGGTAATTTTTTTGTCCCAACGCTTTTTAGCCTATTCGCACGGCACGAGAGGTTAGCGAGAGAGAGGGAGAGAGCCGTGCAACGCTCGCGACCGGAATCTTCGCTCCGAAGCGCACTGGCCGACGTAATTTTTCATTCAAGAAATTGGACTCCGAAAAGGAACGTACACAGACACGTACGCGCGCGCATATACAAAGCAGCGCACGCTCACTTCGGGCGATAAGATAAGCGAGGAGAAGAATCGCGCCGCGCGGTGTCGGTGTCTTGCGGCTGATCCGTGGTGAATGGGTTCGCAGGCGCGCGCGTTGCGAAACGTCCGCTGATCAATGAAGTTTATCGCGCGAGCGCATCGACGCGCACGCGAACGCGCACACACGAGCTCTTGAACTTGATCCTCGCACGGCGAAGCGCATAATCAGCCCCGGGAAAAGCTCCTCGTAAACGTCGCTATTGTTTTTTCTTCGCTCTCTCTCCGCGCCGCGC